ATTCCTTAACTACTTCACTAACTTCTTGAAACATAAGTTCATAATTATATACATACCATATATACGTTTCAATTAAAGGAAAAAGATATTACATAATTACATACTACAGTTACATTTTTTTTTTATAAAGAACAACTACAAAATAACGTAAAATATGAGGAGAATCTCGAAACCGAGATCGTCACGAGACGTGTGTTAAAAAAGTTGCTATTAACGTTAAACAGAATAAATAAAAAGGAAAGAATATTTGTTTAGGGAATGGGTCTCATTAACTTGTCAAAAGCTGGAAACTTTTTTTTTTTTTTAATTTATTTATTTCAACCTTCGTTTCTTTTTAATATTTTAATTACAAATACCTTAATTAGAAAAATGGTGGATTACTTTTCCCTTTCGGCTCTAAACCTAGATGTCTTTTTTTTCTTAAACTACTTGTCTTCTTCTCAGTTTTCACACATATTTCATATATACTCGGTTTGTTTTTTTCTTCCATATATAATAAATAGTACTTTATGTTCTTTATACCTTTTCATACCATGATGGATATTTTTGTTCCCTCCATAAGAATTATTCTTTTCGTCGTTAACACTCTTAATGTTGACCGTTCATATTCAAGTGGAGTTCGTACCATACTAAATAACTACTATAGTTGAAGTTGTTAAAAGTCGAACAAAAATGAATTGTTTTTTTTTTCAGATCATTGATTCTAACTACTAGACTACTAGAGACCCAAAAATTTGGACTGATATTTTTTATTTTTTATTTTCTTTAAATATGAGTTTTCTCAACTGCTTTAAATACGTTTAATAATAAAGTTAAACAGTAAGGTCGATATTGTTTTTTCTAATGTACAATTCAGAGAACATAATGTACTAATCCCACTTACTGGTACACATTTTTAATTTATCTTTTTGGTACAAATTTTTAATTACAGAAATAATCTTAACATCACAAAGTCTGGACAAAACATACCAGCCCTAACAGTCCAGCTAAGGAGAGTTAGTCATGACAAGGTAAGAAAAATAGTTTAATCTATCTTCTTATTTTATTTTCATTGTATTTTTACAATATTCATAATAATAATTTGTTGGTTTTCAGGTGGTAATTGATAATAGTATTATTCAAGTAACTTTCTCGAGCCCACAAGGCTTGATAACTGGTATCAAATACAAGGGCATCGATAATGTGTTGGACGACGAAATTGACGATCGCGGGTAAGATTTTTATTTTACTTTTGCTTTAACATACGAGCAAAAGACATACGTTCCCTTAATTAATGCACACAACACAAATATTCAGTAATTATTGTCGTATTGCATTTTTGGAATTTTTTACAATGGAAACAGGTATTGGGACGTAGCCTGGTATGAACCGGAAAAGCCATTGGAAATTGACAAGTGAGTTTTGGCATCTCTCCTCGTCTTATTATCTTAGTGATACTAATTATTGCCGCCATTTTTAGTAGTAATTAATTAGGCTTAGCTGGAACTTGGAAGTATGTATTTTTCGATGTTTCTGTTTACATATGATGATATTATGTAAGACAGACTGTAGTTTGATGATAACATATTTTGTAGTGACAGTTGCAATACTAGTTTGACAAATAACATTTTTTTTTTGTTTTTTTTTGTATTTCGTAGATTAGAAGGAACTAAATTTGAAATCATAACTCAGAACGAAGAACAAATTGAAATTTCGTTTACAAGAACGTGGACTATCTCCAAACGTGGCTCATTGGTCCCCCTAAACGTAGATAAAAGGTACCTCAATTATTCTTGAGAGAGAGTAATTAACTATGACCTCCAAAGTGAATAATTATATTTAATTGAGTGTAATTTTTCGTTCAAGATATATTATTCGAAGTGGTGTCTCCGGAATATACATGTACGGTATATTAGAGAGGTTAGAAGGCTGGCCTGACGTTGACATGGACCAAATTAGGATTGTCTTCAAGCTCAATCCAAAAAAGTAACCATACGCTTTTATAACTGTCTCTAGCTATACTTATATTCCAAATTTAAAGTTTATTTAGTAGAATTGTTTGTGCATTTCAGGTTTGATTTCATGGCGATATCTGATGATCGGCAGAGAAGCATGCCATCGATGGCGGATCGAGACAATGCTAAGATATTAGCTTATAAAGAAGCTGTTCTTTTGACCAATCCACGCAACCCTATGTTCAAAGGAGAGGTATGTACATAATGGTCCATTATTAAATTTGTCCTCTACAAGACTACAACTCACATAAACATATTTTGATATTTGTATATAACTACATCTTTTTTTATTTTACTTAGTACAAGTACAAATACCAATTTCTTACATATGGTAATGATATGAGTGTGTTTGTAGGTAGACGATAAGTATATGTACTCGATGGAAGACAAAGACAACAACGTTCATGGTTGGATCTCATCGGACCCACCGGTTGGGTTTTGGATGATAACTCCAAGCGATGAGTTTCGTCTTGGTGGGCCCGTCAAGCAAGACCTCACCTCTCACGCGGGACCCATCACTCTCTCCGTGAGTCCATTTATCATCTTTTACATTTTCTACACTAATCATGATAAATTAACAAGTAATAAGGTTTATATTCATAACAAACATACCGTTAATTTCCCTAAATTGTGTTTTGTAGATGTTTACGAGCACGCATTACGCTGGGAAGGAAATGAGAATGGATTATCGAAATGGAGAGCCATGGAAGAAAGTTTTTGGACCTGTCTTTGCTTACCTCAACTCTGTCTCTCCCAAAGAATCCACTCTTCATCTCTGGAGAGATGCCAAACGACAGGTTTTTCTGTCGTATCACTATGTTCTTTTCAAAATAAATCAACTACTATTTCAAAAACTAGACTTATATTTATATAAACTAGCTATACTATTATGTCGCAGATGGCTGCAGAGATCAAAAGTTGGCCGTATGATTTTGTAACTTCAGATGATTACCCTCTTAGACATCAAAGAGGAACAATCCAAGGTCAACTCTATATCAAAGACAGGTAAGTAAACTAATATCCACCTTTTTTTTCTATCTTTATATACAGTATTATTTTGGTCAAGTATAATTTTTAGATATTTACTATGTTTTACTCTTATTTTTCTTGGATTATATAATGTTGTAGTTACGTGTCAAGATTAAACATATATGGAAGATATGCTTTTGTTGGTTTGGCACCAATTGGTGAAGCTGGTTCATGGCAAACCGAATCCAAGGTATATTAATAATAATTATTACTACTCATACTTTAAGTTGTACTGTTTTTTATGGTAATTTTTATTTTTCATTTTTTGGGACAAAAAGGGATATCAATTTTGGACGAAAGCTGACAGAAAAGGGCAATTCATAATAGAGAATGTGAGGGCAGGCAATTATAGTCTCTACGCATGGGGTTTTGGTTTCATCGGTGACTATAAATATGAGCAAAACATTACCATCACGCCAGGTATACATTTACACACATACGTATATAATTTTCCATTATAAGTACATTTTGATCATAGCTAGCTAGAGAAAGCATGCTTGGTCTCACTATTAATGTATCTTCAATTCAGATTGATGTTTTTAAAATGTCATGATTTTGCTTGGGCATTAATAAGTGACATCGAATCAATTTATTAGGTATGGTATACATACAAATACGTCATTCTGTGTGGATATATCACATGCCCATTTGAATATGATTGTTATATTTTTCATATTCTAGCTATCATAACATAAAATCGTAAACGCAAACAATGGGGATTTTATAGTTTTAATCTCACTAAATGCTCTTTTTATTCATTTGGGTGTGCAGGTTGCGATATGAATGTAGGGCCTATAGTGTATGAGCCGCCGAGAAACGGTCCGACGTTGTGGGAAATCGGTGTACCGGATCGAACCGCCGGAGAATTCTATATACCGGATCCTTACCCTACACTTATGAACAAGCTTTATGTTAACCCACTTCAAGACAGGTTAGTACTTTGACACGTAGCTACAACATTACTTAATGCAATCTAATCACTAAAACTTTTAAAACTATTGCAGATTTAGGCAATATGGATTATGGGATCGTTACGCAGATTTATACCCACAAAACGATCTTATCTACACAATCGGTGTAAGTGACTATAGAAGAGATTGGTTCTTCGCACATGTCACAAGGTAACAATTTACTTGCACTAATCATATTATTTCAATGCTTATATTAGAACTTATCTAAACTAATAGTTACTTTTTTGTAATAATATAGAAACGTTGGAAACAATACGTTCCAACCAACGACACGGCAAATCATATTTAACCTAAGATCCGTGAACAAGAACGGACTCTACACACTCAGAATAGCTCTAGCCTCAGCAGCTGATTCCGAGTTACAAGTCCGTATCAACGATCCGGAATCCGATCACATTTTCACAACCGGTTTAATCGGAAAAGACAATGCGATTGCGAGGCATGGGATTCACGGGCTATATAGATTGTATAGTATCGACGTTGGTGGAAATTTACTAAGTGTTGGTGATAATACGATATATTTAACTCAAACTAGAAGTATAGGAGCGTTTCAAGGTGTTATGTATGATTATATTCGTCTTGAGAGTCCTTCAAGAACTTGAATAAAGAAAAGAGAGGTTAGAGTACCAAAAAAAATTACTGTAGACAGAAAATAAATTTCTTTGTTTTTTCATTGTATTCAATGTAATATCAATAATAAGATCGAATGTATCCTTATGCAATCATGTGATTTTGCACATCACTCTATAGTAAGTGATGGATTTTAGCCATTTACCCGGTCCGACCGGCCTGTTTAAAAACATTTTGGTTCAGATTCCATTAACACAATGGTGATGATGATGATATTGAGGAACATAGCAAAGCTTAGGATGTTATTTGTTACATTACATTACTATCAATGTAAACAATGTAACCAAACCATATAGAGAAGAATCACAGAAGAGATTTAAGAGTTTCTCTCTATGCTTTTTTTAGCTAGTAATAAGGAATTTAATAGCTATTTTTATCATGACCAAATCTTCTTCCTGGACTCTCCTCTCTCTTTGCCGACCGGAACTTGTGGTTGTTCTCTGTGACTAATCCTCTTCTGAGTCACTTGATGGTTTGACGAGCCAGAAGCTGTTGGTCTTGTTGGTCGGAGAACTCTGTTGAAAACTTTTGGTGGGTCTGATTTCCTGATCCGTTTCTCCTTCATATGAGTATCATCACCATTGTTGCTCTCTGTTTCTCCGGTTCTCGAGACTCTCTTCTTTCTAGCCATCTCGTTGAGGTTCAAAGAATCGTTTCTAGTCTTGAGACGGTTTGATGTTCTCAGGATGTTGCTGTTAGATTCCGTGTTGTTGTTCTCATTGCCGAAGTTGTCTTCTTTGTAGCAAGTCTTCACTTCGCTCGCTACATCAGGGAACTCTCTAGTCGCTGCCATTTGCTGTATATGGTGCTCTTGCTCCTTCAGCCTCATTTCAAGCTCTTTAATCTGCAAAAAGAATACAAACTTTTAAACATCTGTTGAATCAGAAGCTCAGAAATTTTGAGATAATCCATGAAACTAACCTTCTGTCGTAGTAACACTGCTTCTTGGCTTTGCTCATCTTTCTGTTTCATCTCAAACTCTTTAATCTATGAAAATCGTATCGAACAAAAAGAATTAGATGTTGAGATTTTACAAGTTTGAGAATGAATCAGTTCTAATCCTAACCTTCTGTTGCCATGCAAGAGAGTTGCCTTCAGATTCTTTCAACTTGTTCTCAAAGTCTTTAACCTTCTGTTGCCACACAAGAGAGTTGCCTTCAGATTCTTTCAGCTTATTCTCAAGTTCCTTAACCTGCATGCAACAATTTAAGAAGTTTGGTAACTCTCAACAAACCATTATATGAGATTTTATGTAACTGTGAACATTGATCTCAAGAAACCTTCTGGTGGTAAGTTGCAGAGTCGGATTGGTGTCTCTCCCGGAGCTTGCACTCTAGCTCCTTGACCTTTAATGGGGAAATGGTCACTGTTAGTCATATAATGGTGATAGAGGAAGTTGAGCAGAGAAAAAGAGAAAGAACCTTTTGCTGGAGATTGCTACAAGTCTCATCTCTGCTCTTTAGTTTTTCTAGAAGCTGTGCGTGTTGTTTTTCTGATTGGGTATGCAGCGACTCAAGCTGGCCTTCAAGTTCTTTGTTCTTTTCCTGGAGACTTCTGTAAGAGTGGTCTCTTCCTTTATTCTTACCCTCCAGGTTTTGCATGTTCTCTTCCAGTTTCTTTATCGATTCATCTTTAGATCGGCTCTCTTGCCTTGCTTTCTCCACCTTTAAGAAAATTAATACATGAAGCAATAAGGAAATGCTGTGACACAATCCAAAAAGACAGATCCTCAGGAGAAGTCATACCATTGCTTTCATCTTCTGAATCTCACCGGTATCAACTTGCTTCCTCGCAGGACCCAACTCAACCCCTCTAACACGAGTTGCAAAGTTAAGTGAACTTAGAGTCTCACTCACATCATGCTCTGAGGGACTGATTTGCACAAACATCAGAGTTTTTGAGTCACCACCTGCATCGTTTTCACATACACATCAGTTTAACAAAAGCACAGTGTAACCATGGATTGATCCTTAGGTCATGAAGATTCTTACCCAGTGAATCTTGAAGCAAGTGTGTTAATTTTGAGTTCCTGATAGTTATTAATTGGAAACTGTTAAAGCAGACAACAAAGAGATGAAAGGAGAGAGAATTATGCAACGGATTTGACGAACCTGTATGGAATGTGGCTACTCTTTGTAGCTAATGCATAAATCACATCCCCGAGAGCTGAAAGTGACCTATTGATGTTCTGTGCTTCCTTCAGACGCTCACCTTGCACGTCAGTCTTTGCCAACCTTTCACTTCCGGCTAAATCTACAAGCCAAAGCTTGCTTTTTGTGCAATCACCATTCATCAGGTTCTTTGCTTTTACCATTATAGAGAGCATGCTGCAAAAAGAGAACTTAATAATATTAAACTAGCAACATATTGAAAGAGAAATGTAACAGAAAATGTGGGAAAGCCAAACATTCAAACAACATATTGACAGAGGCATATATCACAAAGTACCAGTGAGATCGGCTACTATGTTCATTCACATTATTGGATCCAACAGCTCTTGCGTTGCTCCCAGCCTGAAGCACATTCCACACTTCATTTATGTTATCCACTTTTGCTTCTACTAATCCAGGAACATGATGGGACCCCTCAGAAGATTGTTTTATCTCCAACCTTGGAAGAAAAATCCATAAAGTCATATTAATCTCTATCTCGAAAGTTCCTGTTTCAATCCTAATGTGTGTAAGACTTAATTAAAAGTAGAGTCTTACTTCTTTGATGCTGGTGAAGTTGCCAACAAGTCTCTTATCTGTTCATTGTAGACCTCAAGGACGCTAACTGATATATCATATGAAATTGTCTCTCTTCTTTCTCTAGCAACTTCAAATAATTGCTCGACTGTTCTATAGTTGACACCCCTGTTCTGTGGAGTACCTTCCATTGTAAAGGTCTTCCCTGTTCCTGTTTGCCCGTATGCAAAAATACAGACATTGTATCCGTCTAGCACGGAAACAACCATAGGAGAAGCATCCGCAAAGACATCAACTGCAGGATCAAGAAAGAAATTTCATTAGTCATATGTGTTGATTATACTTAATGATCTAACCAAATCACACGACATATTAGACTACCTTGACCATCTTTCGGTGTATAAACTCTGTCAAACTTGAAACTTTTCTTGGAATTATTTCCAGTGATGACACCAAGATCTCCATCTTTTGCTCCATCAAAGTCAACAATCGTGGCACTCTTTGTTGACGTCTCCTCCTTATTCAAAGGGCGGCAACGACAAAAGACCCTAATATTGCCTGATATAAGTGAAGCTGTCAGAAATCTGTGTAGGTTTAAAGGAGTGATGCCAAGAAGCTAAAAATCAAATCATCAGGAAAAGTTAAGCATTCGTTGCCTTTAGTCTCCTGAATGTAGTTATATAGCTCTTTCCGCTTGGCTTGCTCTTCACTGTACTTCTGCTTGAGATCCTCGCACTGTGAAACTGTTTTACGAGTTGATAAGAGTATATTAGTTCACGTAATTTCATTCTTCAGACCTAAAAGAGGTAAACTACTCACCAAGTGCCTGAACTCCATCGACCATTTTGTACAGTTCTGGAATTGTATCAACGCATTCATGTGCATCCTGAGATAACTGAGATTGTTCCCTTTTCATTATCTGCATAACAATAGATTCATAAATATTATAAACAAATATTTGATAAACATGTCCATTGCAGAGAGGCTATGATACAACAGTACTTGAGGAAACATCAAACTACCTCTATTTTCTCCAGTAGACTAGAAATTGCAGTTTCCCAACGTCTCTTGTCATTCTCATATCTGCTAGTGATACTCTTCAAACTATCAGCTTGCGTTATCACAGTTTGGTCTGATTCAACCAAGCACCAAATTTGAATTAACAAATGAATGGGGATTCTCTCACTTTCACCAAAATATGTAAAGTTTTGCATTACCTAGGGAGCGTGCCTCGTACATCTTATTGTCAAGTTCCATCATCACTTTTTCTAGTCGCTCATTTGCTGAGGTCAGTGACATCCAAGCTTCGTGACACTCATTTGTCTTATGTTGGTATCGTTCAGAAAGCTCTTCTATCTTCTTCTCATACTTGTCATGAGCTTTGGCTCGCATAAGCCTCTTCTGCTCAAATATCAACATAAAAAGAAGAAACTCAGGTCATCCATAATTGCCTATATTTTTTAGGAAATAAGAGCCAGCAGGCTAGTTTAACAGTACCCGAGCAGGAGAAATAGAGATTTCCGTAGCACAATTCTCACACTTAATATAATCTTGAGATGTCCTCACAACTGTATAGTAATGCAATGATATGTGTTAGAAACTGAAAACTATGAGAATTCCTTGAATAAAACCAAGCACAAGAGAAGAGCACATTACCTGCAACTGGTGATGCTTTCCTCACACAAATCCCACAAACCACTGGACTTCCACATATTCCTTCGAACCTTACCCTAATCAATCCATCATCCAATACCACGACTCTTAAATCAACCAAAAGGAGCGGCCTGTTTGCGCCAACAACCGAGAAGATATCGAATTCAGATAAGACCTGAACAAAACCAAAAGGAAATTAAAAACACCATCTTTCAGGAATTACGCAAACTCTTATCCAGAAGACAAGAAAAAAACACAATCTTTCATCAGTTTCTCAACTTGCCTTCTCATCTTGAACATAGACATTGAATACCCTAATCCCTTTAGGTCCATTTGTATTAATAATCTCTGCGAAATGGAAATCGACGACGTATTCTCCGGGATGAAGATTGTTTAACCGGTAGCTAAAGTTCCCCACACGAGCTGACTGGTAAATGAATGGACAGTCTCCTGCTTCAACTATAGACTCATCTGTTCTCAGCACATCCCCTCCTTCGAAATAGTTGTCTCTGAGGATAGTCAATTCAGAATCCAATACCTTTGAATCATCATCTCCACCAGCATTTATGAACATAATTGTCTCATCTGCTAACACTAACAACAAACGAATACCTCAGTACATAAAGCTAAATTGAAAGTTTGTTGGCTCAAATGCATAATTCTCTTTAGGGATTTAACAAGTAATCGGGTAAAAACACGAATCATGATCCAAAAACCGAAATTGATTTATTTGCTAATGTAAAATCCCAAAACCCCAAATCCAAACCTTAGGGATTTGAGAAGAATCAGAATTCAAAAACCGAGTCAACACTGTTTAATTAGCTCTAGGTGAAACGGAAATGGAGCTGAAAACTCGATTTAGTGAAAAATTGATATCCAAAATGAGAGAAATCCAAACCTGAGCAATTCGGTTTTGTGAAACCAGTGAGCACCAGCCTCGAATTCGGATCACACACCATTGAATCGTCACATTCATCCATGGAAGTATCTCGAATCTCTAATTTCTCCATTGGATCTCCAACGGACTGGGAATTAGGAATCTCCATTGAATCAAGTGACGTCACTTCCAGAACTGCAGCGTCGATCTGAACATCTTCCATTGAAGCGGTAACTTGTAAAACCCCAGAACGAAATGCGAATTGAGTCTCTGTTTCGTTATCTCTCTATTCCAAGAATCCAAAAACTGAGAAAAGGTTTAAAAGCAAAAAAAAGAGAGAGAAAGAGAAAGGCGTGAGCGGAGGAGGGATATTTCTTTTTCCTTTTCTGCGTTTTGCAATTTAAATTTTGAAATCTCTTCGAGAAAACGACCGTTAAAAAGACTAGCGTTACCGTTAACGATGATATTATGGGCCTCAATTTTGAAATAATGGGCCATAGTTCGTATAATCTTAAAATCCAAACGAAAACAAATCAGACCGGTTAAATGACAATATAAACCGGTTTTGCTCTTACGTGGACCGGAATCATTCAAAGTTGTTGATTTCATGCTCGTCTTCTTCTAAATACAAGCTTGAAGTAGATGAAACAAAAACAAAAAACTGCACTAGATTCTGATAAGATTGTGATAAAGATGAGTTACAAAACGCAAAAGGCAACAATAGTTCTAAGTTCTAACCAAAAAGAAGCAGAAGCTTCACTAGCATGTGTTGTTTGTGTTTGCTAACAAGTGGATTTGTCATTACTGGTCATCAAGGATTGAGACGATCAAAGACATAGCTAAGCGGGTGTGCTCAGGGACACCGGAGATTAAAACCGTTGCTTCAACTCCTGTAAGATCCTTGACATCCACTCTAGCTCCTGAAATCTGTTTGGTTTGCAAGAAAACTTAGCATATCTAGTAAAGAATCTGTTTAAGAGAAGGTATGATTCAAAGAACAGAAGAAAAACCTGTTGTAGATTATCTAGACCGGTGCCATCTCTGCCGTAGAGTGTAGCAAGAGCATCTTTCTCAACAGCTAGCTCAAAGGTAACCTTTCTCAAAGATACACCTACACTTCTGCTCCATAGAAAACAAGAAAAAGCACTGTTTTAGTTTCAAGAGATTGTTAAAAATGGATCTTCATTGTTTCTTGGCAAGAACAGACCTTGGTGGTGAAGAAGAAGAGACATCTCCATTGCTAGAAGAAACTTGAAGCTGTTTTATTCCCTGTGTCAAGTCATTCGCGCCTGTCTTCCTTAGATTATCGACAGACTGCATTAAATCTGCACCGCTTCTTACCATCTTCAAGTCAAGTTCACCATCTGATACCGACAGAGAATCACTTCTGTGTGCTGCCTTCTGTGGTTTTGTCGAACCACCATGGTTCTTAGATGGAAGAAAACAATTAATCATCCCAAGAAGAACATACAATAAAGAAAACTCTAGCTTTAAGGGAAAGAAACAAACTTACTTGATGTGATGGTTGTAGATTATATACACTTTCATATGGATTACTAACTCTAGCTCTCATTTCTTCCAAGGCCTTCTTTGGCAATAGGCTCTCTCTTAACTTCGAAGAAACATGAGACAATGCCTTCTGTACATACCTATACTCTCCCATAATCTGAAAAAACAATCAGAGAGTCAATAAAAGGAGCAAAATCTAATACTGATTATTACAAGAACATAAAAAAGCTTACCTCTATGAGTAATTCATTCTCTGAAACACAATCAAGAACTTGGTCACCTATTGGAATGTGTACATCAGCACCAGTTGCTATGACTGCTTCTCTGTTTCCAATCAAGTCATTAGCAAACTGTGATGGCACCAACAGCTTAGCTTTCACTAAAGCACTGTGCAGCATCCCCGAGAATTTCCCCACATCAATCTCAACAGATCTTCCATATACAAGATCCAGAGCTTTTTGTGCTTGAGAGTAACGTGACTCTAGGTTCTATACAACGGTAGACAAATCTAACATCAGCAAAAAAAAACAATGTAAGCAGCATAAGAACGCAAAGAAAGGAACCTACCTCGCGTGCAGAAATGGTAACAACTCTTTCACCGGTTTGTACTCTTAAAGGAGCTCCAATGGAGATAGAAGCACCAGTTTCGTTCTGAAGAGCTCTTATAATAGTTCCTTGTTTCCCAATGATGCCACCAGCTGCAACACTTGTGCAGATTAGTTTGAACACAACCTTCCTATCTGTATCTTTTGAGCCCTGAAGATAACTGTTTCCTTCTTCATACGGTGATGGTAAGTTGTTCCTACTCAATGCAGCAGTTTCCGAAGCATTAGGCAACGAAGAAGAAGAACGCAAATCAGGGAAAAACTCAGAATGTGGATCCTCTGATGATTCATAAGCTTTGCTGCAAAGTGGCGGTGGGTATGGATTGTGAGGTGGACAACTCTGAAGAGAAGATGACACCATAACCAATGCCTTCTTCACAGCCAAGACCTCGCCGGTTATCTTAAAGAAGAGACATGCACAAATCAAAACCAAGAATGTGAAAAAACAACAAATTTAACAACTTTTTTCAGCAAAGTGATGAACTTTATGAATGCTAAAGATGTCAACTTTCCAGAACAGAGTGTTTTCAAATAAAGTTACGAACTTTACATTCATCACTTTGTTCATCACATTCATACATTGCTCCATTATCATTTAAAAGAGCAAAAAGCCAAAAACTTTTTCAAATTTGATTTTGGAAAAACCATAAAGACTTTAACTTTTGGTTATACCTGAATCAATTCTTCGTTGTTAGTGCCACAGATCGGCGGAGGCAAAACCCTAATCATGGCGCCAGAGTTTCGCCGCATCCACTCCACATTCTTCCCTCCCTTCCCCAGAACGGCACCAATCTGATTCCGATCAGCGAGAATCCCACAGTAAGCTTCTCCGTCGTCACCGGCGACGACTCCGCCGCTATCTTTCGCCGCTAAAACCGCCCACGATCTCTCCAAAACCCTAATCAGAGCCGTCTGAGCAGCGGAGAGATCACAAGTCACCCCATCTTCGTGTTGACCTCCGGAGAAATCTCCGACTCTGTCAGTCAGTAGAAAGCTTTTGTTAACGGCGGTTGAGCCGACGATGAAGACGATCCAGTGATCGGAGCCGTTCACCGGAGGCTCGCAGTGGATTTTGGTGCCGGTTTCGCGCCGGAGTTTGGAGACGACAGAGCCGTTTGATCCGATTATGCCACCGATAACTGACGCATGGCAGACAACTCGTAATGCCATCTCGTCCGGTAAAACGTGAATCACCGGGCGACGCTGCGTTCGGTGGTTCTGATTCGACACGGTGGTGACTCCTCGGCGGTTATTCATGGCGGCGCAGTTTAGCAGTTCGCTCTCTTAAAGTGTGTGTGTGTGTGTGTGTGTGTTTCTTCTTCCTACAAGACACGGTGAAGAAGCGGGAAGGACAATAAGACCAGTTTTGCTTAAAGGAAGACTTTTTTTTTTGCTTTTCCTCTTAAACCACGATTTTGCAGAGAACGCCGTAAATCTCTCAAATCAACATTAAATTTTCTCGCAGATTTGTCTACCGAGTGCGTTTTAATGTTTTAGGAAGAGGAAAGTTTTGACGGAAATTGATAAACTTTAAATTTGATTGAGACTTGTTTTGTTAAACGTGAACTAGGATGATTTGCGATTCTGCGTTTCAAACGCTATCAAAACACGGCGGCGTTTAGACTCATTAGTATTTGTCCAGTGGGGTAACAGACTAACAGTTGTGCGACTATTATCAAATGTCGAATAAAATTTTAGCTTTTCTATCACATCTTTCATCTCTGCTGCATCCGAACATCAAATGTCTTTTGTTGGTCATTTGAATTTATTCTGTCCAAAATCTGACAAGCTAAATTTTTGACATGAAAAGAAGAGTTTGAGGATAATCAAAACCAAATAACTACAACAACCGCTTCAACATGAGAATATACTTGATGCTTTCTTATCAACTGTAGTGGAGCTCATCAGAGTTATATTTTCTTTCACTGGCCCTTCTTACCGATGAAAAAATTGCTATGGAAAACAAAAACATTCACACGTGGGTGTGATTGAAGACTACTATCATTTACCTTTTCTAGCTAAATTATTGATGTATACCGTTTTATGTCATCGACACGCCAGGTAGCTACCGATTTGTTGCACATAAGACATAACATGGTCGATATGACTCCATTGTTTGTCTTTAAAGTTTGTTACGGTGAGTCTGTGACTATGAAGTATCCATTGCTGTCTTCAACACTTACCATTTTAAAGTTATCATATATGATTCATTATTCATTTAATTATTATAACTGTATCATAAAATCTTTCAACAGATTTACCGTTGATTTCAAGACTTATGCATGCTCAAAACTTAACGATTAGCAACAAGATAATCCAAGAAAGAATCAACATAACGATCTTGCCTGTCCATGTCTCCAAACACTTGTTTCATGTCTTTCACATTCTCTCTATAGATCTTTCCTTCTTCATCTTCCATTACCAATCTCAACGACTTAGCAACACTTTCTTTGGTAAAGAAACCTTCTGTCTCGTCCCGAGGGATCATGTACCCAATCTTCTTCTCCTCTATGACTCTCGCAATCAGTCCTTGGTCGTACACAAAAGCCAGCACCACCATCGGTTTAGCAAACCGGATAGCTTCAATTGGCGTTCCCACACCGCTATGAGTAAAACCAAACCGATCGAATCGTGGCTCAACGTTCTCAGTAGCTCAACCCAGCCTCTCCAAACCATCCCTCTCTCCTTGGTCCGCTCTTCGAACCCTTCGGGAAGCTCGACCGGTTCGGTATCCCAAGGACCGCGTCGAGTCTTTAACACCCAGAAGAAAGGTAAACCGGAAAGCTCTAAACCGAGAGCGATTTCGTTTAGCTCCGTCTGACTCGGTTTAGCTTCTGAACCAAAAGATACGTGGACAACGGATTTGGTTTTCTGGGAGTCCAACCACGCCTTTATAGCCAGCCACGTGTCGGTATCCTCATACTTTTCTTCCAATTTGGAGGTAAGACTCCCACCGGTATAACCGGTTTCCTGTAAAGACCCTGTAGAAGTTCCAACCATTGTCCTTCATACTCGTAGCAGCTTCGTACGACGATGACGTCACAACCGTTCAGTACGCCGGCATACGGTCGACGTCGGGGATATTCCCTTCGGTGGTCTCCGCCATGAACCTTTGAATAGTTCCGGCACTCGTAAAGCTTGAAAGCTACGAGTTTCGAATGGGACCCACTTAGGCGGCGTCAGAAAATCTTCCGGCGACGTACGGTACTCGTCGAATCCCGGCGGTTTCACAAGCCCTAAAGTCGAGGCGGTAAAAGCGCTGAAGAATCCCGTTTTGCATCCGAGGCGGCGAGAGATTGGAGGAAGCCAATAGGCACGAAATCCTGAAGAATCCAATCAGGTTTCGAAGACTCAAGAAACTCCGTCACCGGGATTCGCATTCCGTCCATGGCGATTTTCAGATAAGGTACGAGATGGAAAGGAACGTCGGTGGTGGCTTCGCAGTCCTCCGGGAGTTTGTTGTTGGAAGGAAGTGGGATTTTGACGAAACTGATGGCGGAGGAGAGATTCTCCGGCAACCGGGGGAGGAGGCGGTCGATGTTGCGAGGAGTGGAGATGAAAGAGACGGTGTGACCCTTTTGAGCAATGAGCTTGGAGAGCTCCAAGTGTGGAATCATATGGCCAAAGGCTAACCATGGAAACATTACCACGTGGAGGCGGAGCTTGGCTCCATTACAGTCTTTAGAGCTTGTCATTGTGTTATGATATCGACTTGAGACGACGATTCAGTCTAATGCTTCTTCTTGTTATATTAAGGGAGAGAAACTCTTTATGGAGAATATATATCATGTAAAAAACTAAAAACATAATAATTTTAATAGTGTCGCTAACTAAAAACCAAACATACATTAATACATGTAGGGACTTCTGTTAGATATTTTGAGTGAGAGAGTACAAAGGTTTTGTTGGAGCTTCCTCTGACACACAAAAAAACCTTAACTTGACTCTATCCTTTTTTTGTGATCCTCATTCTCATTCTGTCAATCCTTGAAGATCCTTTCTCAGAAAAAAGAATCAAATCGCCCAAACAAAAACAATGACGTTTATGTCATTTACCTTTCTCAATTATCTTCCACTTCTTTTTTTAGTATGTATACACCTAAATTCTTTTTTGGATTTTTTTTTTTTTGGGTGAAATGGAGATTTCTTGGATTTTTTATCTGTTGCAATTTTCCCTCTGAAAAAAAAAAAAATGCACCAATATCTGCCATAAAAGGGCCGAGCCATAACAGATGAGAAGCTATACGGCTCAATTCCAGCATAATTACTCTGATATAGCTGGCCCTTTTAGGAACTTGAATATTTCCCAACTGTTCGGGTCCATTTACTGTTATTGCTTCTGTAAACATAGTAGCTAAATAATCCCATCGCGTTACATAAGGTAAATATTGTATAATTGCTCGGTTTTCCGCAATTTTTTCCATTCCTCTGTGTAAATAACCCAATATTGGCTCACAGTCAACAACATCCTCACCATCTAGAGTAACAATTAAGCGAAGAACGCCATGCATGGATGGGTGGTGAGGTCCCATATTGATTATCATAAGATCTTTTCCTGTAACGGGTTTCTTCATAAGTTTTTCCTTGATTCGTTCTGGCATGAATTAGATTGTTGAAAAAGAAGTTTATCAAAAAATTCAAGATCTAAAAAATTAACTAAATTCACAATTTTGGAATTTAACGAGTTTTTAATTCTCGAATATTCAACTGATTAATTAATTCTTTATAAGTAACAACTAACAACAATGACAAAATCAGACTTCTTAAAAAAGTGAGAAATCTGAAAAAGTCGACAGTCAACTTTCGGCCACTCCAAGTCTCCAACATCCTTGGAAAGCATGTCACACATGTGATTTTGTAAGAAAATCTTAGAGGAAGACATGCAATACTCTCACTCCACTTTCTTCTTTTGTATAATCAAAACAGTGGAATGGCAAACGATAGTTCGTATTTTAATAAGTAATTCTAGTAGAAAAAAAATTATTTAAAACTCTGTTGAAAGAATTTTTATTAATATGTACCCACTTTGGAAGCAGATCCGCCATTGCATCAAAACTCATGCACAAAATTAACGGCAAGAGTTCAAAATAAACTCATAACAAATCCAAGAAATAACGTTTTGCCTTTTCATGACTCCAATACTCCAAATCTGCTAAATTTCATGTAAAATGATAGTTCGTGATGTGTTGATGAAACGCGTGATAGTTTAATCGTAACTATCGAACATTCCCATTTGAACATTACCATATATTATTCATTTATTCAGTTACTATTATTATAGTCTTTCAACAGATCCACCGTGGAATCAAGACTCATGCTCAAAGTAACGATTAGCAACAAGATAATCCAAGAAAGAATCAACATAACGATCTTGCCTATCCATGTCTCCAAACACTCCTTTCATGTCCTTCACATTCTCTCTATAGACCTTTCCTTCTTCATCTTCCATTACCAATCTCAACGACTTAGCAACACTTTCTTTGGTAAAGAAACCTTCTGTCTCATCCCGAGGGATCATATACCCAATCTTTTTCTCCTCTATCACCCTGGCATTTAAACCTTGGTCATTCATAAAAGCCAACACCACCATCGGTTTAGCAAACCGGATAGCTTCTATTGGCGTTCCCCAACCGCTATGAGTCAAAACCAAACCGATCGAATCGTGGCTCAACGTTCTCAGTAGTTCAACCCAGCCTCTCCAAACCATCCCTCTCTCCTTGGTCCGCTCTTCGAAACCTTCGGGAAGCTCGACCGGTTCGGTATCCCACGGTCCACGTTGAGTCTTTAACACCCAGAAGAAAGGTAAACCGGAAAGCTCTAAACCGAGAGCGATTTCATTTAGCTGTGTCTGACTCGGCATAGCTTCTGAACCAAAAGATACGTGGACAACGGATTTGGTTTGTCTTGAGTCCAGCCATGCTTTTAGAGACAGCCACGTGTCACTATCTGCATACTTTTCTTCCAAATTTGGAGGTAAAACTCCCACCGGTATAACCGGTTTCCCGTGAAGCTTCTGTATAAGTTCCAACCACTTTGCTTCGTACTCGTAGCAGCTTCGTACGACGATGACGTCACAACCGTTGTACGCCGGCCATACGGTCCACGTCGGGGATATTCCCTTCGAAGGTCTCCGCCATGAAACCTTTGAATAAGTTCCGGCACTCGTAAAGCTTGTAAGCTACGGTAGTTTCGAATGGGACCCACTTAGGCGGCGTAAGAAAATCTGCCGGCGACGTACGGTACTCCTCATCGAATCCCGGCGGTTTCAGAGTCGCTAAAGTCGCGGAGCTAAAAGCGCTCAAGAATCCAGTTTTACATCCGAGGCGGCGAGAAACCGAGGGAAGCCAATGAGGCACGAAATCCTGAAGAATCCAATCTGGTTTGGAAGATTCAAGAAACTCCGTCACCGGGGTTTGCATTCCGTCCATGGCGATTTTCAGATAAGGTACAAGATGGAGAGGAACGTCGGTGGTGGCTTCGCAGTCCTCCGGGAGTTTGTTGTTGGGAAGAAGTGGGATTTGACGAAATTGATGGCGGAGGAGATTCTCCGGCAACCGTGGGAGGAGGCGGTCGATGTTGTGAGGTGTGGAGATGAAAGAGACGGTGTGACCCTTTTGAGCAATGAGCCTTGAGAGCTCCAAGTGTGGAAACATATGGCCAAAGGCTAACCATGGAAACATTACCACGTGGAGCTTGGCTCCATTATAGTCTTTAGAGCTTGTCATTGGTGTAATATCTATTTGAGACGACGATTGAGTCTAGTGCTTCTTCTTTTTATAGCATGGAAAAAAAAAAAACAAAATACATGTAGGGACTTCTATAAGATATTTTCAGTGAAAATACAAAGGTTTTGTTGGAGCTTCCTCATCACAACTTCACTCTCTTTCCTTTCTTGTGATCCTAGTTCTTTCATTCCTTTAAGATCCTTTTTAAGAAAAAAAAAAGGAAAACTAGCTAAATAGGTCATACTTTTGATGGTGTTGTGAAACTACACCTTTTAAACTTTGACCTTTTAATGACTAAAAACATTTCAAAAAATTATAAAAATTTAAATTAACCTTTAAAAAGTAAAGAATTATGATTATCTTATGTTAAACTATTTAAAAATAAAAATAAACATGTGTTTATTGTATAACTTACCTCTCTTAGTAGTAGTATTTTGGAGATATCAAAACTACTTTTTATAGAAGAAGTATTATGACTTACTCTACATAGAAAGCCCTTCTATTTAATCTACATTTTCAATTTGCCTCATGTAATATCTGTATTCTGCATTATGTAAAGTAGAAGACAAATCTAGCTTATCTAGAAGACTAACGTAGTTTACCTAATATACATCACTTTTTAGCTTACCTAATCTAGAAAAAGATTTTTTAGTCTCCAAGTCTGCTAAATTTCATGTATAACTGATAGTTTCTTAATTTGTAAAACAATAAATGTTTCTTAATTTGTGTGAAAACTCTAGATTAGGTAATTATAAGAGTAAGTAATTCTACACAACATTATAATTATAAGAGTAAGTAATTCTAGTTGAGAAATTTATTTAAAACTGTTGAAATATTTTTCAATTAATATATACACACCCTCTTTGGAAACAGATCTGCCGCCATTGCATCAAAACTCATAAACTCATGCACAAAATTAACGGCGAGCAACATAACCAATCCAAGAAATAACGTAATGTTTTTTCATGACTCCAGTACTCCAAGTCTCCAAGTCTACTAAATTTCATGTATAACTGATAGTTCATGATGTGCTGATGAAACACGTGATAGTTTAATCGTAACTACTTAAAACATTCCCATTTGAACATTACCATATACTCCCCTCTCTGTTTTTAATTAGTTGTAATTTTATGCTTAGTTTTTTTCTTTCGTTTTAGATTTTGTGTTTTCAATGTAAATTACTGCTATATTTTCCAGTTTATATTTATTATTTTAATTTATTAAATACTTTTATCAAACAAAATAATATCTTAAATAGGAATAAATATAAAATTTAATTAGTTTTTTTAATCTGCATGAAAAACTCTCTAACAACAAGTAAAAAAAAATGGGAAAGTATATTATTATAGTTTATTTATTTTTAGATATATTAAACTTAAAACACATTCAAATATATTTTTTCAAAACGATAATTAATTTAAAACGGAGAAAAAGTACCATTTTTGAACTTATAATTACAATGTTGTTGAACAACTTATTACAACGGAAATAAATAAACAACAAGAAACAAATTCCAAGGCACTACACAACGAGCGAAAGAAGACTTGGAGAAGCGAAGTAGCTTATGCTAGAATCAAGACCATATTTATTATTCATTCATTCAATTATTATTATTATAGTCTTTATTTACCGTGGAATCTAGACTCATGCGCAAAGCTAACGATTAGCAACAAGATAATCCACGAAAGAATCAACATAACGATCTTGCCTATCCATGTCTCCAAACACTCCTTTCATGTCCTTCACATTCTCTCTATAAACCTTACCTTCCTTGTTAGAGGAGAAATTAGCACATTTCCCTGAGCCCGTCACAATTAGTAACAATAGCAAGGTCAGCCCGCCTTCATCATTAACCTCCTCAAATAAATGGCAAGTCTTGAGGAGAAAGACAAATATTTGGGAAATTGTAAAGAGAGATATATGCCGACTTGAAGAATGGAAATAAATCAAGGACAAGAGGAAGTTTTCCAATTGGAGAAAAGGAAGAATATCTTGAAGAAGCCAACCTCCTCTCCATATAAATAGAAGACCCCCTATTCCTTGAAGATCCACAAGATCCAGAAATCCTCTGCAAACACCTAGAGCATTGCTACTCTTTTCTCCTTTGTTCTCTTTATTTTCGTATTCCGTCTTGTCGAGGCCTGTTCGACGAGACCCCCTCTTTATAATTGCATACTTCACCTCGCCAAGCCTATTTGGCGAGAGCACCATCCTTGTAATCCTTTGATATTTCTTCGAGTGAAAGTTCTCAGTTCCCAAAAACTCAATCTTTGATACTCGCTCTTAAGTGTGCTATCTCAGATCTAACAATTGGCGCCCACCGTGGGGCTGGGAACGCTTTTCACTTTCAAACTCGAAGAAGTTCTAGGATTATAAGAAGACAGCTGATGTCAAACTTAGAAGAAAACACTCCCGACAGGAGCCCTCGCCGAAACCGGAAGGATCCTGACGATGAGAGAGACCCAGCAACGGTCAAGAAGGCCCTACGCCGAGACGAGAAGAGCCCATCTCGTCGGTCGACCTTGCCGACTCGAGGGGAAACGCTGTCGCCCTCCCCTCGTCGCGGCATGCCGCGACGAGACCATCTCGCCATGACGATATCCTCAAGACGATTCAGACGCTCCTGAAGCCACTAACCGAGGGCTTCAAAGCGATGCGAGCCCAGCAAAAGAAGACCCAGGAGCAGGTCGATACCCTGACCCAAGAAGACGACGAGGAACCGTTGGACCCCGCTGCCGCGACGACCAACGGAACCACTAATCGTCCCGCACGAGTTAGCAGACGAGCAGTCTTAGAGCTCGAACGAATGCACCGTCGCCTCGACGAGTTCGACTCTAAAATCCATCGCATCACTAGCTCAGCCCCGGAGTTGACAAAAGCACTTGCCGACACCCGGAGGAGCCCACTCACAGCAAGGATTCGCCGAGTCCAACTCCACGACAGAGTACGACTTAAGATCGAACCCTTTGCTGGCGACCAAGACCCGAAGAAGTGGTTGACGGCATTCAACCTCGCCATGACGAGAGAGAAATATGACTCTCTCGACGAGAGGGATGCAAACTATTGTCAAGTCTTCGTCGAGCATATGACGAACGAAGCCCTTGTCTGGTTTTCAAACCTCCCTGCCGAGACGATTGATAACTTTGACGATCTGACCAATGCTTTTCTGAAGCACTACTCCATGAACATGACTAGGATCACCCGAAACATGTTCACTGTGACGCAATCAAAAGGCGAGCCCTTAAGAGAATTCATCGAAAGATTCAAGAAAGCAACACTTGATCTCGACGACATGCCAGATAGTGTCCCGCTCGAAGCACTTCGTAACGGTCTCTGGTACAACTCAAAGTTCAAGGAAGACCTATCGCTGAGACCATCGACGAACTTGGAAGACGCGCTCCACCGATCCCAAAACTACATTTTCCTTGAGGAGGATAAAGACTTCTATGCCGAGAAGCACGGCGTGAAGAGATCATTCCCTTTTGCAGAAGATGACAGCCCCGAGAATCACTGGGACGTGACCGAGATGCCGTCACAATCCGCTCCGTCAACCCCATCTCGTCTCCGCTCGACGACACCACGAATGACGAGTGCGATCATACTTTGTACTGTCGCTTCCACAGAAGAACTGGTCATTCTATCGACACCTGCACGGAACTCATCAGTAACCTCTTGGAGCAGTACGAGAAGGAAAACTTTCCGGTGGAAGACTTCTCCCACGTTCATGGATCTCCATGAACTTGCGAAATTTCTGGTCTAGACGCGTAGCCTCGCGTCGTGCAAAAAAAAAAAAAAAAAAAGGTTGTTGTCAAGACGCGTAGCTTCGCGTCTCGTCAAAACGAACTACGAATGGCTTGATCCCGGCATGGGTACGTAGGCAGTCTTTTCACCAAGACGCAGCTGTAAAACTAATAAAAATAAAAAGCTATTTGTTTTTATTAGTTCGCTCAAGCGAACGCACCTTTCTGTGACTCCTTAAAGACGTTTCGTCTCAGCAGAGAACCCGAACAATAATTTTTTGTTCGAAATTGCCATGATGGAGAAGCATCAATCTCATTCTCAAAACCCCCCGAAGAAATTATGTCGTCAATAAAAGATCAGCAAATCGTTTCGTCGACAGACTCGTCTCGTAAAAGGCATCGCGACGAACGGCGACAAGACCCAGAAGTGGCCAAGCTGCGCCGCAACCTCGATGCAATCAGCTCCAAAGTGCACGACGCTATCAGCTCGGCACCCGAGATCGCCAAAGTCCTCGCCGAGACGAAAAGAAGTCCCTTCACTCGTCGTATCGCCGCGATACCTCTAAGGGATCAAACGGCTCTCCGTCTTCAGTTCTACAACAAGGGTGACGATCCTCGAGGCTGGCTAAGAAACTTCGAGATCGTTATGAAAAGGCAAAAATATGCCTCCCATGAAGAACAAGACGCAAATTACTGCCAAGTGTTCATCGAGCATATGAACAAAGATGCGACGAGCTGGTTTTCAAATCTTCCCGCCGAGACCATCGACAGCTTCGACGACCTCAGCACGGCATTCATGAAACATTTTGGCATGTTTATGTCGAAAGGCAGCACCAATCTTTTCACTATGGCACAGGGAAAAGATGAGCCTCTTCGCGAGTTCGTCGAGAGATTCAAAACAGCAGCAGCAGAGCACTCAGACATCCCTGACGCGATAGGAATCAAAGCTTTCGAAAACGGGCTTTGGTTCGAATCAAAGTTGAAAGAGAGTCTGATGCTCGACGAACCCGCAACCCTCCAGGACGCTTTGCACAGTCCCAAAAATACGTCTGCGTCGAAGAAAGCAAGGCGCACCACTCAAAGATTCATGGAATGACGAAGGAGTCATCTGGCACGCATCATCTCATCAAGATTCATCTCGTCAAGAGAATAAAAGGAGGCCTCTAAGGAGTCTTTCACAACAGGACAGCGACGAGTCCAAATGGTGCAAACTCCATGGACGAGCCGATCATACTACAGAAGAATGTAGGCACGTCATGAGCTTGATACAAGAGTATAGCAATACTCTGCAAAGCCAAAGTAATGCTGAACGCCGCGATGAAAATCGACGAGCTGCAAACCAGCGCCGACGTAAAAATCCGTCACGCCAAGATGAAGGCGACGACGCCGAGAAGAACGCGCCTGCATCACTCCCTCACCAAGATGATCTGCCTCCGCCGCCACCGGTTCCTGACGTAGAAGCTCCCGTCACGACCGCCGCGTTAACCGCCGCCATGCAAGGCTTTACTGCTCAAATTGCTTCTCAATTCGCCCAGATGCAAGCTCAGCAGCAAAAGTACAACGACACGAAACCGTCGCATCCGTCTCGTCAATGGCAGAAACATCATCTCCAGCATGTCGTCACCTTCAAACTCATCAGCAACTTAAGGTCAGCATAATAACTTTATTTTTTAAATATTTAATAATCTCGTCGAAGAACGACGGCGACACTTGATTCAACCGCAATCGCAATGCAATGATTTATTTCGTCAACAAATGAGTAAGCAACACGCCTCTTCATCGATAAACAAATCATCGACGAACCTCTTCGTTGACGAATAATCAATGAATCCTACTTTGACGAGATAAGCAATCTCTGCATTGCCGAGATAAAACCTCGCATGGCCTCACATGTTCTGTAGGAATAAGTCGAAACAGCTAGCTTTCGCATTAATACGGCTAAGAATGACTTGGTCGAGTGATCTGCTATGATCAACAAACGCATCTCGAGTCATTCGTTTTGCATCGCCGAAATGAAATCAGAAGCATCTGAAACGAACTACGATTGGCTTGATCTCGGCACGGGTACGTAGGCAGCCTTTTTCACTAAAGGCACAGCTATGGATTAATAAAAATAAAAAGCCTTTTTATCTTTGTTAACCCCAATGCAAGCACTTCTTACAGAACCTTTTCGGAAGGGTTCCCGTCTCGGCAAAGACCCCGAAGTGACAACTTCACTTTCAGCTGGTAACTGAAACTCTCACCGACGACGTTAGCAACGCAAGCACAGCATGCAAAGCAAAAATTCCGAAAAAACGCAACTCCTCCGACGTTCTGGCCCAACGTTCGGACGCACTTAAGCACAGCAACCCGTGGACTGATCACCCACAAAAGACGAGAGCACGCACGCATCCTCCATCACCAATCTCAACGACTTAGCAACACTTTCTTTGGTAAAGAAACCTTCTGTCTCGTCCCGAGGGATCATGTACCCAATCTTCTTCTCCTCGATTATTCTCGACCGGTTCGGTATCCCACGGACCGCGTCGAGTCTTTAAAACCCAGAAGAAAGGTAAACCGGAAAGCTCTAAACAGAGAGCGATCTCGTTTAGCTCCGTCTGACTCAGTTTAACTTCGGAACCAAAAGCTACGTGGACAACGGATTTGGTTTTCCGTGAGTCCAACCACGTCTTGATAGCCAGCCACGTGTCGGTATCCTCGTACTCTTCTTCCAATTTCGGAGGTAAGACTCCCACCGGTATAACCGGTTTCCCGTGAAGATCTTGTAGAAGTTCCAACCATTCTGCTTCGTACTCGTAGGAGCTCCGTACGACGATAACATCACAACCGTCCATTACGCCGGCGAAACGGTCGACGTCGGGAATATTCCCTTCGGTTGTCTCCGCCATGATACCTTTGAATAGGTCCCGACACTTGTAAAGCTTGAAAGCTATCGGGGTTTTGAATGGGACCCACTTAGGTGTCGTCAGAAAATCTTCCGGCGACGTACGGTAGTCGTCGAATCCCGGCGGTTTCAGAGTCCCTAAAGTCGCGGCGGTTATGACACCGAAGAATCTGGTTTTACATTTCAGGCGGCGAGATATTGGGGGAAGCCAGTAAGGCGCGAAATCCTGGAGAATCCAATCGGGTTTGGAAGACTCGAGAAACTCCGTCACCGGGACTCGCATTCCGTCCATGGCGATTTTCAGATAAGGTACGAGATGGAGAGGAACGTCGGTGGTGGCTTCGCAGTCCTCCGGGAGTTTGTCGTTGGGAAGAAGTGGGATTCTGACGAAGTTGAGGCGGAGGAGAGATTCTCCGGCAGACGTGGGAGGAGGCGGTCGATGTTGCGAGGAGTGGAGATGAAAGAGACTTTGTGACCCTTTTGAGCAATGAGCTTGGAGAGCTCCAAGTGTGGAAACATATGGCCAAAGGCTAACCATGAAAACATTACCACGTGGAGCTTTGCTCCATTACAGTCTCTAGAGCTTGTCATTGTGTAATACCCGATGAGAGACGAATCACAGTGCTTCTTCTCTTATATAAGGGGGAAAAAAACCTTTATTTAAATTTATCATTATGAAAAAACATTGTGTAATAGTCGGCGTGTCGCTATACATTTATTCTTTTGCCAGCAAACTAAATAAATCTAATATATTATTTGCAAAGTGATTATTTCGTTTCGAGGCACCACGTTAACTCTCAGCTGGTTGATTACCCAGCTACCCTTAATGAAAATCTTTTTAAAAATCTTCGTTATTTCCTTTTTTTTTTTAATGTCACGATTTATATTTCTAATTAAAATATTTAACGATAATAATAATCCTAATTACCATATTGCACGCCACAATTATGTAAAAATTAAAAAAATTGGAAAAAAAAGGAAAACCTAGATTTCTTAACCGACTATGTCTTATATAAATAGATAGCAATAATGAAAATCAAAACAATCCACGATTCTTCAACCTAGAGGTGAGATAATTTCTTCGAGTCCATATCTCATCTTTTCTCATGTAAGTTATTTGTTTTTAATTTGATCTTACTGTTATTAGCTATTATGATGATTAACTGATTATTCATTATTTGCTGTAAATTTTATTGAAGGATTCCATCTAACATCTTAACAGTATATTAAGGTTTGCTAGCTAATGGAAACAAGAAGCTCAAATATGGTACCAACTAAAAACAGTTCTAGCCAAGAAATAGTGGGTATGTACATCTTTACTTTTTTTTTAAAAACTTGGATCTCATGAAACCCTAATTCGACTAAGCGGCTCTTTAGGATTTTCAATATTCGTTTAAGATCCATCATATTATCGTTATATTTGTAGAGAGAGACAACATATGTTATGGTGCAGAGAGAGAGAGAGCCTTTCAAAGTCAGAAAACGAGAAGAGCAGTTCTTGATGAAAGAGCTTCCAATTCTATGTAATCCTCACTGGAAACTTGAATTTATCTCTTTTTTTGATAAATTGTTTCACGGATTTTGTAACTTAGGTCACATTCAAGGGGCTTCCGTTGTCTTGAGTTGCAAGCTTTGAGGTTTTATGTGAGAATATTGTTGATTTGATTCCCGTCAAAGTCTGGGATATCTTTATGAAGATGTTAGCTCCTCAATTTCATACAATGAGGCCATCCATGGTTAAAGGATTGAAATGATGCAAAGGTTTAGTTGGATATTATGGTTTTCAAGCTTGAGAGCTTATTTACAATCATTGTCTATTCACAAAGTTGCTTAATGGTGAGTGGATCAGTTTTAGTATTTCTACTTAATCGGGCGTTTCCTTTTTTGCTTACCGTAGACAAACTGTATTATCTGAGGGAGCTGTTTGCTTTACCAGAACCTAGGAAGACCGTAGAATATCAAATCGGTGAGTTTTCTATCTTCCATCGTGTTAAAAACTTAAGTTTTAGTTTCTTAGTTTCTGGTTTTTTTGGTTATTAGCAAAAAGAAAATTTAGTTTCTTGTGGGCTTTGGTTGATAATCATGACATTGTTGTTGAAATTATGATTACAAAACAGAGTAAGAGAAGAATAGAGACAAAACAGAGCAAGAGACAAGAGTTTGTCTCTTCTCTTATGAAGAAGAAGAATGTAACGAAATAGAACTCTCTTTATTGATCTGAAACTTGATAACAGTTACATCACGTGTTACATCATGGTTATATACTAAGACAAAACACATCGAAGAGTTGTGTCTCTTCCTCTTGTGTGTGAACCAATCTAACCAAGAGTTGCAACTTTACTAACACCGTTTGATACACACATATGCTAACTTAGGACTAAACTCAATTAATTCCAACAATTGTTTGGAACTTTCTTTGTTAGGCTTTGAAGAAAATGGCATCAGACGCAATGAATGATTGGCATATACCTGAATTCTTAGCACAAGTAAGAACCTTAAATTTCACAAACTAATGTTTGAAACACAGGATTTGACTTTTTATTTTCTGGATTATCTATATAGCTAAGTGCTCTTCAATATAGAAAAATAGATTTTGAAGAATTTTGTGCAGCAGGTACTGAGTGTTCATCAGCCAGAATCTCTTGATCGATGGGAAGTAGCTCACTGGTCAGTCTCATTGATCAGTTACAAACAACTTCTTTATCTGTAACGGTAATTATATTGTAAAGTTATTTTTTTCCTTGGGAAGCTAGCCAAGATTTGTTGTTCGATGAGGCATTAGCTAAATGTCCTTTATGTGATTTTTTATTTATTTATTTACAACAAGGATTCAAGGGTTACTATATATGTGGAGCTGGGATTACTGAGTGGTACATATGCGTTTTATCACCAACCATATTCCATCATAAACTCTATTTGATGTAAGCTTCCAGATTAACAAATCTAATCCCTCAAGCCTCCGTTTTCAGAATTTTTAGGTATACAGTATTAGTTATTTTGATTTTGTTAATTAAGAATAGAAGTCGACTTAAAAAAGTTCAAATAAACCATTCACGAGAATGGTGATTTCTTTTATGGGTTGTCTCACGAGAACACATGTAACGTAGCCTGACTTTGGTGGATCTCATTCATTTTATCTCTTATTGTTTCAATTCAATATTGTGAATTCCATATGTCGATCTCTTAGTTTTTTTCTTCTTTGAGAAGACCTTGATTTTTGGCTGTAAATTCCTCTTGGCAGCGGGTAATCACTAATCAGGAGGCGCTCGGCCCCAACGCTATTGCACTAAACATTGATCGTTGATTGCATGTTCAGATTGGTGATGATTGTCGGAAAATCGCGACAGACTTGAACACAATGATTACTTCTGTCCGAAGAACTTGGTAACTGGTAACAAAGTTTAGTTGGTTACTTATCAAACAGTTTCTTCGGCCTATATTTACTAATAGAGTTTTTTTTTGTAACTCAGAAACACAAAAAGAACAATGAGAACCCTTAGATTTGGTGAACAGGCTAAATCCATGGGAAACAAACGAGTGATAAATGAGATATTCGAAGAGATGTGAATGATTTGAGTGACCAGATTCGTTTTCTCTTCCACCACAGCCCATTTTCTTTTTTTTTGTCTTTCGGTTTTCAAGTTGGCTATCATTCAAAGATCATTTACCATATGCTTTGCAGGAAGAGCTTATAAGAGCCGAAAACTGATGTTTGTCATTATGTTGGAAGTAAACTAAAACTGATTATTTCAGAGCAACAAATACACGAAAAAATTGAATCAACAAAGAGTTAGTCTTAACCACTCTTTATTGCTGCCAAAATTTGATATTGACGAAGAATAGATATAATAAAACAGTTGATGAGGATGACAACTCCAAAAAAGTCAAATTTTGATACTGGTGACTGGTGAGAAGGAGGCATTACTCGAAGAAATTGGAGATCTGGAAAGCAAGTTGCAGACGCCAAATAACCATGTCCACCAACGAACTGAGATCATCTTTGTTGACCCTTTCGTTTCAGCTATGTAACAAGAATTTTGAGAAAGCTATCAAAGAAGAAACACTTAGGTACACCGAAATGGAAAGCAAGTGGATATCGACGTGTTAATTGAATATATATTTCGTGGGTTATTGATTGTGTGTGTTGGTGAAACTATATTTATAACTTGGATTCAATCATAGATTGAAGAAGCAAAGTATAATACCCGAAAAGATGGATTTAGATAAAAAAAACACATATAATGAAGAAGAAGAACATAATAAGGAAAATTTGAAAGAAGAAAATCGGAGGATAAATAAGACGAAAGTAAAGTACGAGAAGATAAAGACAAAGAAAACCAGAAAATTAAGATGTTACATAAAATAAAGAAGATGAAAGAACTACAACTGAAAAAAAAATAGCAAAAATATAGAGGAGATGAAGAAAAAGAAATATGACGAAGACGAGAAAAAAATAAAAAGTAAAATAAACAGGAAGACGAAACTGATAAATAAGATGTTGCAAAAAAGAAAAAGAGTGATACTAGAAAATGATGAAGTACAAGTTGAAATAAGAAGGAAAACTTGAATAAAAATAAGGAAAGACAAAAGTTGGAAGACGAAGACAGAAAAAACGAACAAAAAAACAAAACAAAAAAGAAAAGAATTGAAGAATATGTGAATAATAAAGAAGTGGAAAAATAAAAAGATAAAAAATGAAGAATAAGAACACAAAGCCAGTTGAAAAACAAACTGTAAATAAAAGGAAGAAAACGAATAAAAACCAGGAAATAAAAAGATATCGATGAAGAGAGAGGAAAAGAAAAAGAGATTATAAATTTTGATAAGAATAAGGAAAAACGGTAGAAAATGAAGGAAAAAATATGAAAGAAGTAAAAAAAAATTAAAAAATGGGGTTGGGGTACACGATGTACGGTTTATACTGATAGGCGCAAAGTTTAATTTTTGTTGCATTTTAAAAAATTTGAATACACTACATTACCGATTAAAAACAAAAAAAAGGAAAAAAAATAAATAAAAGCAAATCCAGAACCAGTTTGTAAAATGTGGGGTTCAGGTGTGCGGTTTAGGGGAGAGTTATAACGTGGGGTTTGGGTTTTAGGGTTTAGGGTTTATATTGGTAAGTGTAGGGTTTAGTTTTTGGTGCATTTTTTAAAATTTGAATTATTATAGAAATCAGAATTATAAATCTGCTCAAAAAGAAAAAGAATTATTGATTATAACTTTATATCTACCTTTCTAAATTACATTACAAATAGAAAAAAGACTATACCAATTAAAGCAAATCCAGAATCGAAAGATAACAAAGATTTTTAAAAGATCTCAACTATATAAATATAAAAAAAACTATTTCATAAATCCTTGAAAATCTAAACTATCAGATGAATTGATAGGTGGAATACAAGACGTACACAAGAACTAATAAAAATACGAGTAAAAGAAAAGAAGTCAATGGAAAAGAAGATGAGAAATATGGAGAGGAAAAAGAAGAAAACTCGAATATGAGGAAAAATACATCAAAGAAGAAAAATGGAATGTAAAGAGAAAAAAAAAGACAAAGAAGAGATAAATAAAAACTAGAATAATATGATGTCTCAGAAGACGAAGATGATAAAGATAGGGAGTGAGGGGAATGAGGAAGAAGAAAAAAACGTAAAAAGAATGTAAAGAAAATTAGAAAGAAAAAGAAGAATAGTAAGTTGGAGGATATGAAGACACAAGAAAGGATTGAAGAACGAAAATTCAAAAAAAGAAGAAGTGGGAAAAAAAGATGATGACAACGAATAAAAAATGGAAGAAAAAAAAAGATGGGATCAGTGAAAAAAATAAGAGGGAGAAGAAAACAACCATTACAAAATTTAACTATTTTTTTTGTACTTTCACAATTTATAAGTTCTTATCAAATTAACAAAATATTAAGCTATTACTTCCATGGAAAATAAACACATTACAAAAATATGAAAAGTAATTAAAAAGAAAATGCGTTAATCTAATATTAATTGAATTCATGAATTAACAAAATCTTAACTATCGAATGAATTGATAAGTGAATACAAAACGTAGACAAGACGAAAAACAATAGTAAGAGAAAAGAAGACGATGGAAAACAAGATGGGAAACTTTGAGAGGAAGAAGAAAATTTAACACGAGGAAAAAGAAAAAATGGAATGTGAAGAAAAAAAAAGACAAAGAGGAGATAAATAAAAACTATAATAAGATGATGTCAGAGAAGACGAAGATGATAAAGATATATAGAGAGAGAGAGGGAGAATGAGGAAAAGAAAAATCGGAAATAGAATGTAAAGAAAATTAGAAAGAAAAAGAAGAATAGTGAGTTCGAGGATATAAAGACACAAGAACCGATTGAAGAACAAAAATTGGAAGATGAAGAAGAAGCAGAAAAAAGAAGATGATGACAATGAATAAAAAAATGGAAGAAAAAAGAAGAAGATGGGATCACTAGAGAAGAATAAAAAGGAGAAGAAAACAACCATTAAAAAAAGCTTTTATAAATAAAATAAAAATAAAAGCAAATCTAAAACTAATTTATAATATGAGGTTGATGTTGAAGTTGAGGGGGAGTTATAATGTGGATTTGGGTTTAGGGTGTAGGTTCTTTAATTAGGGGGAGAGGTTTATAATGTGGAGTTTGGGTTTAGGGTTTATATTGATGGGTGTAGGGTTTATTTTTGTGCATTTTAAAATTTTTGAATTATTATAAAAGTATATCAAAATTAAAAATCAATGATTATAAATTTATATCTACCATTCTAAAATATACTCACAAATAGAAAAAACTAAAACAATGAAAGCATAACCATAATCAAAAGATAACAACAAAATTAATTAGATTTTTAAAAGATTCGACAATATAAAAATAAAAACTATTTCACGAATCCTTGAAAATCTAAACTACAGAATGAATTGATAAGTGAAATATAAGACGTAGACAAGAAGGAATAAAAACACGAGTAGAATAAAAGAAGACGTGGAAAAGAAGATGAGAAACTTCGAGAAGAAGAAGAAAACTCGAAGAGGAAAAAGAAAACAAAGAAGAAAAAATGAAATGTGAAGAGAAAAAAAGACAAATAAGAAATAAATAAAAACTAGAATAAGATGATGTTAGAAAAGACAAAGATGATAAAGATAGAGAGAGTGGAATGAGGAAGAAGAAAAACGTAAAAAGAATTTAAAGAAAATTAGAAAGAAAAAGAAGAATAGTAAGTTGGAGGATATGAAGACACAAGAAATGATTGAAGAACGAAAATTTGAAAAAGAAGAAGCGGAAAAAAAAAGATGATGACAACGAATAAATAAATGGAAGAAAAAAAAGATGGGATCAGTGAAAAAGAATAAGAGGGAGAAGAAAACAACCATTACAAAATTTAACTATATTTGTTTTCTATATCTTTCACAATTTATAAGTTCGTATCAAATTAACAAAATGTTAAGCTATTACTTCATTGGAAAATAAACACATTACAAAAATATGAAAAGTAATTAAAAAGAAAATGCGTTCATCTAATATTAATTGAAAGGATTTAGAGTTCTAAAACATCTCTTGCCCGCGCAGGCGCGGGCCAACTACCTAGTATACATTAATACACACATAGGGCCTTCCACAAAAGTTTTGTTGGAACCTCCTCTGACACAAAACAAATAAAAACCTCACGTCACTCTCTCTATTCTTGTGATCCTCGTTCTTTCGATCATTAAGATTCGGATGAAGAAAATCAAAATCAAATCGCCCAACCAAAACAATTACGTTTATCTGAATATCTTCCACTTCGTTTTTAATGGAGATTTCTTGTTGCAACTTCCCCTCTAAAAAACCTACATATTTAATGCTTTTCTTGTAAGGAGTGAGATAAGTTATCATTTAACAACTGCTCGATTTTCATTCATTTGGGCGATCCGTCATTGCATCCAAAACTCATGCACAAAATTAACGATGACCAACCTGATAAATTGATACTCATACTCCAAGAAGAAGCGACACAACGTTTGCAAATCCAGGACTCCAAAATGCAAATACTCTTTTAAGTCTGCTAAAATATTTTAATCGCAATTATAGCACATTCAACAATAAAACCTTTCAACAGACCCGCCGTTGAATAAGACTCATGCATGGGGAAAAGTTAACGATTAGCAACAAGATAATCCAAGAAAGAATCAACATAACGATCTTGCCTATCCATGTCTCCAAACACTCCTCTCATGTCCTTCACATTCTCTCTGTAGACCTTTCCTTCTTCATCTTCCATTACCAATCTCAACGACTTAGCAACACTTTCTTTGGTAAAGAAACCTTCTGTCTCATCCCGAGGGATCATATACCCAATCTTTTTCTCCTCTATCACCCTGGCATTTAAACCTTGGTCATTCATAAAAGCCAACACCACCATCGGTTTAGCAAACCGGATAGCTTCTATTGGCGTTCCCCAACCGCTATGAGTCAAAACCAAACCGATCGAATCGTGGCTCAACGTTCTCAGTAGTTCAACCCAGCCTCTCCAAACCATCCCTCTCTCCTTGGTCCGCTCTTCGAAACCTTCGGGAAGCTCGACCGGTTCGGTATCCCACGGTCCACGTTGAGTCTTTAACACCCAGAAGAAAGGTAAACCGGAAAGCTCTAAACCGAGAGCGATTTCATTTAGCTGTGTCTGACTCGGCATAGCTTCTGAACCAAAAGATACGTGGACAACGGATTTGGTTTGTCTTGAGTCCAGCCATGCTTTTAGAGACAGCCACGTGTCACTATCTGCATACTTTTCTTCCAAATTTGGAGGTAAAACTCCCACCGGTATAACCGGTTTCCCGTGAAGCTTCTGTATAAGTTCCAACCACTTTGCTTCGTACTCGTAGCAGCTTCGTACGACGATGACGTCACAACCGTTGATTACGCCGGCCATACGGTCCACGTCGGGGATATTCCCTTCGAAGGTCGTCGCCATGAAACCTTTGAATAAGTTCCGGCACTCGTAAAGCTTGTAAGCTACGGTAGTTTCGAATGGGATCCACTTAGGCGGCGTAAGAAAATCTGCCGGCGACGTACGGTACTCCTCATCGAATCCCGGCGCAATCAGAGTCGCTAAAGTCGCGGAGCTAAAAGCGCTCAAGAATCCAGTTTTACATCCGAGGCGGCGAGAAACCGAGGGAAGCCAATGAGGCACGAAATCTTGAAGAATCCAATCTGGTTTGGAAGATTCAAGAAACTCCGTCACCGGGGTTTGCATTCCGTCCATGGCGATTTTCAGATAAGGTACAAGATGGAGAGGAACGTCGGTGGTGGCTTCGCAGTCGTCCGGGAGTTTGTTGTCGGAAGGAAGTGGGATTTTGACGAAATTGATGGCGGATGAGAGATTCTCCGGCAGCCGTGGGAGGAGGCGGTCGATGTTGTGAGGTGTGGAGATGAAAGAGACGGTGTGACCCTTTTGAGCAATGAGCCTTGAGAGCTCCAAGTGTGGAAACATATGGCCAAAGGCTAACCATGGAAACATTACCACGTGGAGGCGGAGCTTGGCTCCATTATAGTCTTTAGAGCTTGTCATTGTGGCTCCATGACAGTCTTTAGAGCTTGTCATTGTGTTATAATATCGACTTGAGACGGTTCAGTATGTTGTTCTTTTATAGGGCAAAAAGTAACTTGCGATTTACGTTTTCTCGTATATTATTATTTTTCGAGTTATTGGAGTGTTAGCTATATGCTTTTGGTTATATATATAGTCTAATACGATCAAAATTTTAATAGTATGAGGCCATACTTACTCCACTTTATTTTGTCGTATTAAAATTTTCTAACAACATTCTATATTTAGGGATCTTGATGTTACATGCTTGAGTTGAGTTGTGCATCGAAGAGTTATGTACGTCGACCTACGTGACGTGATACATAAGACGTACTAGTGACGTATCTTCCGTTCGTTTAACATGCATAATCTTCTTTCCAAGAATATGATTATATTTTTATATTTTTGATGAGCATTATGTGCCATTAGGTGGCTAACTTGTGTCGCGATGCTTCTTGTCATGGAACATTTTATATCACGCTTGTCTTCGTTTTATTTCTTTATACACTTGTACACGTATTTTTGAGTAATAAATAGACACTATTCGTATTAGTTTACTACACGAGTTTTCTTACCTCCAAAATAAGATACCAACTAGTTTATTTTTTTAATTCAATATAAAAAACTTTTAAATTGTACTCGTTTAACATCACTAGTTAGTTTAGCAGAAAACTAACATTCGTAAGACTTTTTATATTTATAACATTCACTGCATGGATCTTTCCATGTAGACAAATTGGGTGATCATATGTCGTTCGTGACTTTTTTACACGCATAGACTTAAAACTGAGCCTTGGGCTTGCATTTAAACAATTAAACTCATACACAAAACTAACGATGAACAACATAATAATTCAAGAAAGAACCGACATAACATCTTACTTATCCCATACTCTGATACTCTAATTAAGTTTGCCAAACATTTATAAATGATGGCTCGTAATTATTTGATGACACACATGATAGTTTAATCGCAACTATATCACATTCATCACTAGACCATATGATGCATTTATTCAACTACTATTATCATAGAATCTTTCAACAGATCCACCGTGGACCAACACTCATGCGCAAAGACTGCAAAGTTAACGATTAGCAACGAGATAATCCACGAAAGAATCAACATACTGGTCTTGCCTATCCATGTCTCCAAACACCCCTTTCATCTCCTTCACATTCTCTCTATAAACCTTACCTTCTTCATCCTCCATTACCAATTTCAACGACTTAGCAACACTTTCTTTGGTAAAGAAACCTTCCTTCTCGTCCCGAGGGATCATGTACCCAATTTTCTTCTCCTCGATTACTCTCGCGTTCAATCCTTGGTCATACACAAAAGCCAGCATCACCATCGGTTTAGCAAACCGGATAGCTTCAATGGGTGTTCCCACACCGCTATGAGAAAAAACCAAACCGATGGAATCGTGGCTCAACGTTCTCAGTAGCTCAACCCAGCCTCTCCAAACCATCCCTCTCTCCTTGGTCCGCTCTTCGAACCCTTCGGGAAGCTCGAGCGGTTCGGTATCCCAAGGACCGCGTCGAGTCTTTAAAACCCAGAAGAAAGGTAAACCGGAAAGCTCTAAACCGAGAGCAATTTCGTTTAGCTCCGTCTGACTCGGTTTAGCTTCCGAACCAAAAGACACGTGGACAACGGATTTGGTTTTCCGCGAGTCCAACCACGCCTTGATAGCCAACCACGTGTCGGTATCCTCGTACTTTTCCTCCAATTTCGGAGGTAAGACTCCCACCGGTATAACCGGTTTCCGGTAAAGATCTTGTAAAAGTCCCAACCACTCGGCTTCATACTCGTAACAGCTTCGTACGGCGATAACGTCACAACCGTCGAGTACGCCGGCGGCACGGTGAACGTCGGGAACACTCCCTTCTGTAGTCTCCTCCATGAATCCTTTGACAATGTGCCGGCACTCGAATAGCTTATAAGCTACCCGAGATTCGAATGGGACCCACTTAGGCGGCTTCGTAAAGTCCGCCGGAGAAGTACGGTACTCCTCGAATCCCGGCGGTTTCAGAAGAGTCCCGAGAGTCGCGCCGCTAAAAGCGCTGAAGAACCCTGTTTTGATCCCGAGGCGGCGAGAGATTGGAGGAAGCCAATACGCCGCGACATCCTGAAGAATCCAGTCGGGTTTCGAAGACTCGAGAAACTCCGTCACCGGAGCTTTCAAACCGTCGAAAGCTATATTCAAATACGGTAAGAGCTCGAAAGGCACGTCGGTCGTGGCTTCGCAGTCCTCCGGGAGTTTGCTGTCTTTCCCACGGGGAAGAGGGAGCCTGACGAAGTTGATGGCGGAGGAGAGGTTCTCCGGCAACCGTGGAAGGAGACGGTCGATGTTGCGAGGAGTGGAGATGAAAGAGACTTTGTGACCCTTTTGAGCCATGAGCTTGGAGAGCTCCAAGTGTGGTAACATATGCCCAAAGGCTAACCATGGAAACATTGCCACGTGGAGCTTTCCTCCACTACAGTCTTTAGAGTTTGACATTAAATTGGAGTTGGAACTATCGTTATCGTATTTTTTGATTGACTGAAAAAGGTCCAAAAGATATTTGCGATGTGACCGTCGATGAAAATCGGTGTTTTTTATAACAACTTTTGAGAACTGAAAACATATTTCGTAGGTAGGATTAACGGTGAGATTAAGTTGGAAGGTAAGATGTGTGGTTTAATAACTAAACATATTTCGTAGGTAAGATTAACGGCTGAGATTATGTTGGAAGGTAAGATTAACGGCTGAATTAAATTAATGCAACAAATCAAAGAAAGTAAAAAGTTTTTAATGGTGAAAGGGCCTAGTGTTATTGGGAAGTGTTGTACAGATATTACAATGGGCTTATTTAGTTACGGCCCATAATCACGTTTCGTATGAACAGTGGGGACAAGTAGTATAAAGGAAGAAAAAGAAATGATTAAAATTAATGGAGGTGCGGGGAATCGAACCCCGTGCCTCTCGCATGCGAAGCGAGCGCTCTACCATATGAGCTACACCCCCAATCGATAAATTATCAAGTAACTAAAGAATTAAACGTTATTTAAAATATTATCTGTTACTAGAAGAAAAGTATTATCCGTTACAAGGAGAAGTCAAACTCGATGACCTGGAATTTGTATAAACAAGACCACGAATTGTATAAAATTGGGATTTTTGAACGAAACACAGAAGACTAAATCCAAAAATTTCTGATTTTCTTTTTTTCTTCTGCTTATTGATGAGTGTTCATATGGCGAATGATGAATTTAAACTCGATCAGCTGAAGAAGGAGATTCCAGTGGATGAAGAATCTCTGGTTTTGAATCGAGACTCTAGCGTCGGTCTCGTCATCGTTGACGTCGTTAATGGATTCTGCACTGTTGGCTCCGGCAATATGGTTTACACTTCTTCTCATTAGATTTTGTTTCCGTGTTCTAATTTCTCCGAGAAGTCTGGAAATTTAGCTGATTTTGGCTGAGTTTTCGTTTTTGTTTTTGTTTTTGTTTTCTTCATGCCTACCAAGTGTTTGTGATATTGCTTCAGTCAGTCATACGTTTTTGAAATTGTTCGTCTTTGTGATTCCACAGGCTCCAACAAAGCATAACGAACAGATATCGAAGATGGTGGAGGAATCTGCAAAGATTGCAAGAGAATTCTGTGATCGGAAATGGCCGGTTTTTGCGTTTATCGACTCTCATCATCCTGATATATCTGAGAATCCGTATCCTCCTCATTGTATCGTAGGAACTGAAGAAGCAGAGCTTGTTCCTGGTAAATTTTGCTCTTTCAAATTCAATGTCTTGTTAGATTCTGAAAACGAGTGAGACATTCTCTTTCTTCTTCTGATAAACCAATCAGCTCTGAAATGGCTTGAAAGTGAGGATTGTGCTACTCTTAGGCGAAAGGATTGCATTAATGGGTTTGTGGGTTCGATGGAGAAAGATGGCTCTAATGTTTTTGTGGATTGGGTTAAGGACAAACAGATCAAAGTTGTAAGTTTTTCTCCTTTTTTGACCAAGTTTAATGCTTTTTTGGTTGATCTTGAACTTACTTGAACATCCCTGTGTTTTGGGGATGTAAAGATTGTGGTTGTAGGTATATGCACAGACATATGTGTGTTTGATTTTGTGGCTACTGCACTCTCTGCTCGAAACCACGGTGTTCTTCATCCTCTAGAAGAGGTGGTAGTGTGCTCTCATGCCTGCGCTACTTTCGACCTTCCTCTTCATGTTGCAAAAAACATCAAGGGAGCTCAGGCCCATCCTCAGGTATTATTGCTAACTCTGGTGAAGAAATTTTGATGCTTCTGAAATTACTGTATTTTTCTGCTGACTCAACACTTTTGAATTGGCTCATCTTCTTTCACCAGGAGTTGATGCACCATGTAGGTCTGTACATGGCTAAAGGCAGAGGAGCTAAGGTAGTCTCTGATATTTCTTTTGATACTTGAAAGACTTATATCGTTGGATAGCTTAGGCGAGTGATTGGTTATCTTCTTGTTGAGTTTTCCTTTTTTTTTGCCCTGTAAATTGTTCATGAAGCTTCTTTGCTTATAGATCAACTCTTATGTATACTGTTTAAATGAAATGTTCAGTCTGATTTTACACTGAGTTTTTTGGGAGATAGTGAGTCTTAGCATACCAGAAGTATATATTGTCTATTTTTGGGTCATCATGAAAACACAGATCAACAAATAAAAATCACAAACTCTATTTCCTGTAATGGTTCTTGACATACAACTTTTGAAGAAGAAAATGGCAAAAATCTGGGAGACATTCCTCTTGCTTCACCAGTTACAAGCTGTGAACAATCTACAATACTTGAAAAAAGGATAACCAACACACAAAACTATTGTTTCAATCTCGCAAACCAAAAGAAAAAGGAGATGTGGGGGGGGGGGGATAAAAAGATTCAATCTCCCCAGTGAAATACAGTATAAAAGAAAAGACTGATGATTGAATCAAATCCTCCATGAATCTGAATGGTATGTATTATATAATATGTAAATATGTGTACCTATGTAGAATTCTTCATCTTTCTATATAGTGAAGGATGCATGCAGGAGAATATCGACGGCTTTGCTCTCTTCTGTTTGGAGCCAAAGATGAATGACCTTAAGGGAACTCTTGAGCGACTATCTGAATGCTGGAGATCAAGATCGGATTTCTTCGAACCAGAAAGACCAAACTCCTCGCTTAGCTTTCCTAAAGTCTTGTCAACCTCGAGTTGAAGCGTGGTAATGTGATCTAACCCTGCCTGTAACTCATCTGCCACTTTGTTGTTCTCCTGCTTCATGTTCAACACCTCACCTTGAAATTTAGCAGCTTGATAGCTCGTGAATCTGAAGTCATCGTCTTCAGCACTAGACTTGAGGGCTTTTGTTATCTCCTCCTGTATGTTACACAGCGACTCGAATCTTGATTTCAGTTCCTCTTTCAAGGATGCACCTTTCTCCAGCCAGAGACCAAGGTCTGTGTTTATCTCCCTTAAATGTGAGAAAAGTGGTCTAACATCTGACCTCAGTGCATATTTAGCTGTGCTGCTTCCATCTTGCTTTCTTCTCTGCTCCAGCTTTGATATCTCACCCTGTAGATCTTCGATTGATGTGTCGTAGCTCTGTATCTGTCCAAATGCTGTACTGAACCTTAACCAGAAATCCAAATTCTCCTCTAGAAGCTCATCGATATTCAACCTGAACTGTTCCTCAACCAGGGACATGTTCACGTTCTCTGCAGCCATGAATCCGATGGAGTAGTCGTCGTTTGACAACTGATTCTCCAACAACTCATTACTGTCTGCAAGACCCTTTTGCAGGAGGTTCATTTTCTCTCTTAGTAGCTTGATCTCATCGTCTTTAGTAGCGTTCTTTGATTTTGTCTCATCCAAAGTTTTCTTCATGTCCTTGTAGTTCCTGAGAATAGTTGTGTACTCTGTGAGCAAATGCTTTTCTCTATTTTCCATTCCCTTCATGAACATCTCTTTCCAATCTGGTTCACCTTCTTTCTCCTTTTGTTCCTCTTGTTGCTCGCCATTCAAAGCAATGTCAGATTCTTTAGAAACATTATCAACAACAGTCTCTTTCTTGTCCGATGCAGCTTCCTTCTCTAAACCATTATCAAGAACAGTCTCCGTTTTCTCAAATGTAACATGCTTCTCTGGAGCAGGATCTACTTTTTCAGTAGCTTCCAAAGCAACTTCTGGACTTGTACTTGGAATGATGATATCTTCTGCAACTGTTGTAGAGCTTTCACTCTTCTCGGCCATTTCCTTTTGATGTTCCTCTGTCTTCTCGCCTTCCAAATCTTTCTCCTTCACTTCATGCATCTTCCCACCAGAGAGATTATCAAGATTATTACATGCTTCATCAAAATGTGTAGAGAGATTGGTACTCTTCTCCATAACATTCCTGTCCAAATCCTGCAACGCCTTGAGTCTCTCCTCCATTTCCTTCAGCTTCTTCCTCAGATCACTCTTGTCGTCTGCTAACACCGCCTTGTCGGTTTCAAGAGTACTGATCTGCGTCTGAAGACCGTTGGTCTCGTTTCTCAGCCTCTGTATCAAAGCAGTCTGCGAAGAAACCGCACTCTCCAAGCTAATCACTTTGTTCACAAGCTCATCTACTTTCTCAGCCATCTCTGCCCCATTGAGCGAAGAATTCACACCAGACTCGAAATGTTCTCTAATCTTCTCTTTAACAGACTCCAACTCTTTCTTCTTCCTAGACATCTCTTTCATCTCATGCTCCAGCTCCTCTGTTCTTCTAACTTCATCACCACCATCGTCGACCACACGTTCTTCCCCAAGAAACTGGCTCGCCATTGATCTCAGCTTCTCTTTAGACTCCTGAATCTTCGTATGCTCTTCTCTAGCTTCTTCATAAGACTTCTCTTGCTTCTCCTGCAACTCCACAAGCTTCTCCTGACAAGACTTTATCGCTGTCTCGGTCATCAATCTCCGAGCTTCATCGTCTTCAATCGCAACACTCTCACCAAACTCATCCTGCAAACCACAAATCCTGTCCTGTTTCTCCTTGATACTCTTCTCAAACTCCCAGTACTTTGACAAACCTCTCTCGTAAGAGCTCTTCACAAACTCTTTCTCCGTCTGCAACGACAGAATCTCCTTCTGCAACTTATCAATCTCTCCCATCGCCTCCGGTTTGCTCAAACCGGAGCTCTTGACAACCACATTCGCAGAACCGCCCGTGTACTTCATTGATTTCCTCGGCTGAAGCTTCTTCGTAGCCACTTTCACCGCGCTCTTGAAGTCCTTCACTGGCAGTTTCGGAACATTGGGGACATTAGCACCAGAAACATTCGATTTCTTGGCGAATTTGGACATGGCGTCATCGTCATCATCCATCGCAAAGTTTGGGACTTGGTCAGGAAAAACAGAGGCGATCGTGGTGTTTGCATTTTGAAGCTCTGTTGAAATGTGATCGTAACGCTCAGCTAAAGCTCTGTAAGCTCTGTAGGACTCTTCGACGAAGCTTATGAGCTCTGGTCTCTTCTTGTAATACATCTCTGCACGCTTCGCAAACGAATCTCCATCTTCTTGTAGAAGCTTCAACACGTATTGCACCTTCTCTTCAATATCTGTAAAATTCAGATTACAAAAAAAAATGAATAGACTTTTCACAGAGATCATATCTACACAACCTTAAAGATCAGAAAGATCTAAACTTTTTACTTTAAAAGATCAGTAAAAACGATTCATACGTTAACCAAAACGATCAAACAGAGACATATGCATATATAGAGAGACAGAGAGATTGATGAAAAAAGGAGAGACCTTGAAGGTTTTGTTCGAGCCATTTAGATTGTTTGGTTCGAATATGACTCGCCCACCACCATGAATACGCATTACTCGCAGCTCTCTGCAGCATCGTCTTCCTCTACGAAAATTATCACACGGTTTTATTTTTTATGTCAAAGACTCAAATTTTCAACTCTCTTTTATTCTTCTCATTCAAATTTCCCAAGCAGGACCAGAGAAAAGCTTATGACATGTATGTGTCTGATCCTTCTCTCTCTCTCTCTCTCTCTCTAGATCTCAATAAGAAAAAAGGAAATTTTCCTGAGAAAGAAAGAGGAAATCTTTCGGTTAGGCTTAGACCCACAAAGAAAGTTGAGTTTTTGTTTTTTTCTTCTTTTTTTGGATCAAGAAAAAAAGTTTGGGGTTGAGGAAAGAACGTGGAGCTAATTTAGAAATGAATCTGCTTTTGCTTATTTCTCGGATAGGACTTTTTTATGAATCTCTCTTTTCTTTAGCTGAGCTGTTTGATTTTGATCATGGGTGGGAGCAAACCTCGGTCCTCTTTCTTTCTTTCTCCACCTAATATATTTTGGTAAAATATTTCAATTCTTTCCCCTTTTTAAGACACTAAATTAATTTGATATGTTGTAATGTTTGAATTTCTATGAATGTCTTTATTACCAATCTTATAGTGCCAGCGTCGTGGTCGGAGAAGTCAGAAGCATTCTCTCCGATTATTCTTCTGTATCAAACGTTACAAGAACATGTCAGAACCAGATATTAATATATAGTACTAATTTATTATGTCTGAGAAAGAATCTCAGCGAATGAACATTTGAAAGTGTCTTCTAAACAAAAGATGTTTTAGCAAGCAAAGCCTTTTTTCTTCTTCTTAATCACTAAGTAAATTGAAATCTTACAGAACCTTTTTTGACGGTTTAACCAAAAAAAAACGACACGTTTTTGATGAACTGGTCAATGGTCGGTGTGACACGGATCAGAACCTTCTTTGTTGTCCAAAAGGAACTCTGATACTTCAAATCTTACACATGGAACAAACCAAGAAGATGCCTCAAAAAGGTATTATATATATCAAAGAGATTTTGTTTGATTTGATAATATCAAAGATATTAATTAGAAGATAACAGATAACTCTTTACGTAACATACTGTAAGAAAATAATGAATTTTTAAAAGAATTTAAAGAGAAAAATAGCCAAAACAATACTTAACACAATAACACTGTTATTTTGCCAAAATAAAATACAAGAAAAATCCTCTAATTTTAATTTGCCAAAATAAACTTTCAGTCTAGTAAGTAGTAACCAAACACGAACTAGATTGGTAACGTTTTGGGCTTGCATGCATTTTTGAAGCCCATGTATGTCTCATTTCCAAAGGTCTTCAAGCTATAAATTGTTGTCTATCTACCGATCGAATACCTTATACGGTTATACCTTACATATAGAGTCATGATTAGAGAGAACGGAGTCGTTAGAACTTGAGAGACTTCACATGCATGTTGGTTTGAAGGACTCCAGAAGAGATTAACGCAGAAAGTTGGTCACTGACAATCCAATTGGTGAACTACCTGATATACGGATTTTACCCTAAACAGAGAAGATTGATAATCTAATTTCTACAATATTTCATTTACCAACTTATCATCATCATGTCCATACAGTTTGATGGTGACAAAAACCGAAACGCAAGATAGATAAGTGAAAACCATAGAAGGAAAATCTCTTCATAAGACAGAGAGACTTACAACAAGCATATGGATACTATTTAGACATTGTCTTTTGTTATCACGGAGTTAAAAAAAAAACAGATTTACTACATTCTTCTCCTCGCTCCATCAACTTCTTTGTGTGGTTCCATCTCTAACCACCATACGGTAAGCTGCAAATAGCCAAACATTAAACCAATTAATTATTTTGAGAATGATTTAGGTATGTGACCAAGTTAATTGTAGGTCAAAATATTCCCACACAAGTGGAGCTCCTGTCCAATTAATTATTAAATCAAGAAAAACGAAAAAAAAAAAGATGAATAAGTAAATTCTTACCCAAGTCTAAGGGAAGTATCGGAGCTCTCAGAGTCAACAGGAGCGCCGGTGGAGTTTCCGACGTTAGTAATGGACTCCGACGAGTGTCCTTCCTCGTACACGGCGGTGTTCTCCGATTCCATACCACCGTATCTTTCATGCACATTATTACATATCTACACAATAACCAAACAAAATTTCCAAATTTAACATTAACACCCAAAAAGTATAAAACTCGAAATTATACACACGTACCTGCTTGCCAAGTCGCTCGTTTTCTTCCGTTAGTTGAGTTCCCTGCATAATCAAGATAGGAAAGAACAAACATAAATGTGCATTCATAACCAGAACCATGCACACACACTCTAGGACCAAGAGTCCAACGTTCGAAGCTAAAAGTCAAATCCTAGAGACTCAACTAGTTAAATGTTTATCATTAGATTTAAAGACACTTCTCAACCTCGCTAATCACTTGGTTTATCTATTAATCTTAAAGTATGACCAAATATATGCGTTATATAGACGAGCGGAGTTTTTTTGGTTTTAATGTTAAGATAGACGAGCGGAGTTTGTAGCCTAGTTCACAACCCGGCTTCAAACTTGAGAATGTAGTGAGTCGTACACGGTAAAATAAGTATAGATTAACGACAATATGTTATACAAAAGGGTAAGAAGCGTACTTGCTGCCTCAGCCGCTTGTTCTCATCCATCAATTGCATTCCCTAAACACCAAAGGAACAAGAAAATTTTTCACTATCAAAATTTAGATATTTATAGAATCAATCAGTATAGATATAAACGATATTTTGATTCTTACCTTTTTTTGAAGGTCACCGATCTCACTCATGATCTTCTCACTCTGCAACAACAATTTACAATATATAGTTAACTACATAGTCATAAGCTTAGAGAGATCTTATTCATGGTACGTAACGTTCATTTGCTTAACAACCTTTGTTTCAATCACGCGCGTCAAACCAGCTTCAAGTGCCTTTTCCAGCTGTTGGAGTTCTTCAATGTTAAGTCCTTGTAGTTCCTCTCCTCTCATTTGCCTACACATATATATGTGATTATATAAACACATATGTAGTTAGTGTTGTAATTTTTTAATAAAAACACATACATAGATAGAAAATGACATGTATTTCAGAATTCATAGAATATGCATCTGTAGTGTACCTAAGTCGGTGGCTCTTGTCCGCAATTTCTTTGCTCAACCTGGCGTGGTCGCTGTTCTCAACCAGCTGACAGATAAATATTGACTTAAGCTTTAAATCAAATCCATAATGATCTAAGCTCAAAATCTCTACACATGACTCTACATGCATGTAGAAACGATTAATTACAAAGTATGAACCAAACTATTAATATACATATATATACACACATATATAGAGAATCCCAAATCTAATATAGTATTGTAAGTCTTTTCAATACTCTTAGTTCATTTGGATCGAGTAGGTTAAAATGTAGTTTAATCATATGCAATAAATAAAATGGTTTAGGCTAACTAGTACAACGTTTTAACTCCTAAGTGATTCTTGATAAAAAAAATTGAGCATGAGGATACATTAAGCTTAAATAGGTAATTAAACGGAGCTATACTCTAGTTTGCAAGCTACAGAAATTGGGAAAGAGTTTGGTGAATTCGAGAATGTAGCTAACCTGTAACTCAAGAGATGGCTGATCAAGCTTCTCCAAGTTCTTTGACTGCAAGTTGTGCCTCTCTAATACTTCCCTCATGCTTCATCATAAAATGCAAACACAATTCAATAAATATCTTAATTATATAAGACTGTAACAACTAACAATGATCTTCTCATATCTATGTTAACAGCTACATTGTTGATATCCCATTGTGTATTATTAGTTAATAAAATTACATATAAACAGACAATGAACCCAAAATGTAAAATCAAAAGATATAAAACCTAATCCACAAAACACAGTTTAGTTTCAAAACACACATTATTTCATGTTGAAGTTAAACACTGTCATTTTTAGATATATCTATATATCTGCGACTGTGTGTATAGCTAGGTGTCCCGGAAGATAGGAACTGAATTGTGATTAAACTCGTGGGTCTGAAATCCAAAATCGTATCTTTATGATATGATAAGTCATTTTAGACTCCCAATATCTATGACTTTTCCCGATACTGATATAGATTCTAACCTGTTTATAAGTTTTATTATTCACTTCTTCAGGAAAATAATACTTTCCCAAAGGTTTTATACATCCACATATATTGAGATATCTCCTAAATTCCTAATGTTAAGTTGTCACCACATATTTCTAAATAAATATGACATTGATGGCTTCCACATATCATCCACAATATATCTACATACATATATTTATGCAACACAAAAATATAGAGTATTTATGTAGATTATTAAGATTAACATGATCTCGAATATTACTGTACTTAGATACCTTATATTTGCCTAAATAAAGAGTTTACTATAGTTTATCAATGACATTTTTAGTCATTAACAATATATCCTCCAACTTTATTTTATATAAAATAACTAGTGGTCCAATAAGGTTTGATACAGTAAACTTCTTTGTATCACATATTATATACATCTGAAAACTCAAAGCTCTGGATCTAGACACGATTCCTTCAAAGAGTTTGAGAAATCTAATGAGATGGATATAGCTAGAGTGAAGATGAGACCTGGAGCTGCAGAACTCAAAGAGCTTTCCGGTGGAAGAGAAGATGATGAGAGCGACATCTGCGTCGCAGAGAACAGAGAGCTCTTCAGCTTTTTTGAAAAGTCCTCTTCTTCGTTTCGAAAACGTTACTTGCCTCGCCGTTGCGTTGTCTATCTTCCTGATCTGAATCTTCTCTCTCGCCATCACAAAAAGAGAGGAAAGAAAACCCTAGGAAAAGAAGTTGAATTTGATCCGAAACCCAAGAAGATTTGTTTTGATGAACAGAAGCAAGATCTTGAATTAAGATTCAAGAATGAGAGGTGATTAAAGAGAAAGTAAAGAGAGAGAGAGAGGGGAAGAAAAAGAAGAAGAAACCAGAAGGAAAATTGTGATAGAGGAGGAGAGAGAATTTTGCTAAAAAGGGTGACTTTAAAGATGAGAGAGAGAGTGACAAGACGACTGAAATGGAAAGTAAATCGTGATCTTTTTGCTAAATTTAGAAGAATAATATGATTTTCAAGACAGTAAAAACCCTAGTTTTTGAAGGATTTGAAAGACTGAAAATCAAAACATTGTGAGAATTATATCTAGATGATAACTCCACAAGGAAACTTAAGATTTGAGATAGAGAGAATCAAACAAAAACTAAGAAAGAAGAAAACAAAAGGGGAAAAAGCTAAACGAATATATCAAATTTTAAATATCCACCTCAATTGCCAAGGAGAGAAGTAGACATGAAAGGGTTTTGATTGGTGAAGATGAGATATTTATCAGGAAGGGTTTATTATTTTAATAATTTTATCAACATGATGGGGTTTCTTAAATGATTATTTTTGGAAGGAGAAAAATTTATTTTTAATATATTTATATTTTATGGATATTGGTTTGTGTGTGGTGGTAATTGGATATGGTGGTGAAATAGGATTTACAAGTCTCCAATGAGATGAGAGAGAGGAGAGAAGTGTTTGTTTGGGTCAGTGGGGAATTTCTTTTTATAGGGAAGCATAAAATGAGTTGTCTCATTTTGTCACTTACACTCCGGTAACTTATTTCGTCGTATTTGCTGTAACAAAAAAATAAAAACTCTGTAAAACCTCAAGGGTTAGTATATGGGAATATGGTGAAATGGATGACAAAAAAAAAAAAAAAGTATATGGGAATATGGTAGTAATTACAATAAGGTTTGATACAATAACATTTTTTAACTTGAATTTACGATGACAAACTTTCATTCATTCATTTGGACATTTTATTACATAACTCCAACATTATTATTAACCTTTGATCACTTGTATATTTGCATAAAGCCGTTTCTGACAGTATATTGGCTAAAAATATAATTTGTTTTTATGAACTGAAAAATGGTCAATGAAGAAGAATGTTTCGAATCCGCCATACCAACTAGAGGTTAGAAATTCATGTTTGGGCTGCTTGCATCCAAGATAGGCTTTGATACTGCACTAGTTTCATTAACCGAACCAACCACTAGTTTCATTCGCCACAATCATTCCATAGACAATAATAGAAAGAAAAAAATGATAACAGAAAAAAGATAAAATAGTTTTAAACTAATAATGTTTGGAGGATTCCTTAATGCGAAGAAACAGTGAATAGAGGGACCCTTAAGCAAGAGTAACAAACAGTGTCGACCACTAGCTAGAAAGGGACCCAAACCAGACCCCAAGCATCCACAAGAAATCTGATTGGGACACGATCCATTTTGTCCGTACAGGATTCATGTTTATTAAAAGTTATAAATAAGTTTAAATAAAGAGATACTTCACAACTACTCAAACAACCCATTCTTTCACTCGAAGAATACAATTATTTACCCATTTTCATGTGGCTGTATTATATTCCCTCCCTCTCTCTCTCTATGTTTGAATGTTTCTGTTTTGCCAAAAGTCTCATGTCAAATTATTACGAGTTTACAATTCGATAAATGAATTGAATGGTATAAGGCTATAGCCGTATGGTTTATGTGATTAGTATGGTATAAACATGTAATAATTAATTATCTAAAATTCCTACCATCAAATATTAAATACGTATAGTCCAATGATTTCTTCAAACGTTTTAGTCTCATAAAAAGATCAAGTTCCATCATCTATAGATGTCGATTTGTTTTCTGTTAGCTCCTGTAAAAGTCTTAAACTGCATAAATATCTAGTAAAAAAGAACAAATATAATCCCAACTGGGTTATTTATAGGTTTGACTCGATCAATGATTATAATTCTGATATTTTCAAAGGATTTGGTATGAATATCCCACAGTAGCATTGTTAATCACAAAAAAACCCAAACTGAAACTATGTAACATGTATACGAACTTTTTTCAAATTGTTTTTATTATATAAAAATAAAAAGAACAGTTGCCTATGGCGCAAGCAGCATGACAATATCATCTTTTAAGAAATAATAACTTTATCTATTCGATTCGATTTGATACTATACTGACTTCAGCATCATAGATGTTACATTTAATGTATTTTAAGAGAACGTTGTCTCAATGAGTTTTGTTTTTTTTTCTGTCTCAGTTTGGTTTAGTTATGATGAAAAACTGTTTACATTTGAAGATGTATGTTTTTTTTTGGTTCCATTTATTAAGTAATGTTCACTCATATAGTTTTGGTTCCTTAAATGTCAAGCAATTCCCTTAGGCTATACAATTCAAATTAACCATTAATGCTAGTACTACTATCTAACAACAACAAAAAGAAAAGAAAAGAAGTGAAAACGCTTCAAATCGTTTACTGCGTTTGAGACGCTTAAAATGATTAATATTTTGAAAAAATTAAACAGTACAGTAAGAACCGCACGTGACAAGATTGTGTGTGTATCTCTTTGCGTTTTGATTGGTCAAAGTGTCAGAGTGATTTTTTGACTGGACTCGTGAGTCGCTGCAGCCTCTAAGCAACATTGTCCCTAACCTTTTAGCTATTTATAGGCTTCAACAGTTCCCCTACTCAGTGTACTCACTGACACTTTCCATGAATCAAACAACAGTGACAGTTACACTTGCACACACACACAAAAAAACTATTAAAATACTCTCATGGGCTTTTTATTGGGCCGATTTGTAAGCCCATTTCGCTGGTTTCTTCTTACGAGAAATTTCTTTTTTCAATTTCTTTTTCTCTCGCCGGATCTCTGAAATGACGACGGCGATGACTTGTACGAGACTGACGATTTATACGGTGGCCGGAATATTCCTTCAGGTCATCGGATTATCAATATTCGTCTTCGGTTTCTTCCCCGTCAAGCCGACTCTCTCTGGTGTCAGGTGCAGTTGATAGCATTTTAAGGCGAAGAAAAATATACTCTATTGGTTTGTTTACTCTTTTTTTTTCCGGTTGTTTATGTGAAATGGCAGTGATTTAGAGAGCTATCGAGATCCTTTCTGTGATTCTGCTCCCAATCCGAACGAATCGGAGCTTCATCCTGAGAAACTGAGATTGCTCTACCAGGTTTTTTTGACTGTGTATTTGTCTTTGTTTGTGAATCATAATCACAAATGAAATCGGAGCTTCATTTTTGTTTCGTTTGAGTATACTTTTGCTGCTTTCAAGTTTTGATATTGGTGAGTTTGTATTGTAGGAGTTATCTGGCATCTCTTCTAAGTATGATCGACTGATTTTGATGGTATGCACTTTGTTTAACATTAAGATTTTGGAGCTTTCTTGTTTTAGTCTGTGAGAGAAATGTTTGTTTAAGAGTGTTAAACAATGGCTTAGTTTAGGTTATTGATGGCCTTCCCGCGGAGTTTGTTCTAGGGAAAGATGGTCAACCTCCAAGGAAAGCATGGAAGGAGTCTATGCCTTATACTCAGTCACTGTTGGCTAATGGAGATGCAATTGGTTACCATGCTAAAGCAGCTCCTCCCACTGTTACAATGCCGAGGTTGAAGGTATGTGTGTGTGTGTGTATCTTCGTTGCCAGATCAATCTTTTTGCTCGGCTCGCTGAGTTGTTATATTTTGTTGTTGTCAGGCAATGGTTTCTGGTGCAATTGGTGGTTTCTTGGATGTGGCTTTCAATTTTAACACGCAAGCTCTCTTAGATGACAACCTTCTTGGTAGATATTAGTTTTTGGTCAATGAGAAGTGTTTTCAAGTTTTCAAAACAGATGTTGATTGAAAGAATAGCTATGTAACGGTGATCCAAATGCTATCAGGTCAGTTTTTTAGGATTGGTTGGAAGATGGTGATGCACGGCGATGAGACATGGCTCAAGTTATTCCCAGGGCTATTTATGAGACATGACAGTGTTAGCAGTTTCTTTGTGAGTTTTAATGTGAATTTTTGTTTTTACATTGTTGATTGTTCTTCTTGTGTATATCATGGTCATATGAACAAAATATGTTTGTCCTACAGGTCAAAGATACAGTACAGGTAGACAGAAATGTGTCCCGACACTTGCCAAATGAGCTTAATAATGATGACTGGAATCTCTTGGTCAGTGTCTGTTTTTCTCTTATTCCCTTGAACACCAATTGGTTGCTCGCACTTTCCTGCGATATATAGTGGCTTAGAAACAAATCTCTCTTGGATAATATCATTTGAGTTTTATTCTGTCCTTTATTCTTACTAGATCTACACCTTATCAGATCCTTCATTACCTTGGTCTGGACCATGTTGGACATACTGGCGGCCGTAACAGGTCCTTGCTAGTCTCATAACCCATTTGTGAGTAGAAGGTTACTAGTTTTATGGCCGGAGCATCTTATTATTTGTTTCTCTATTGTAGCCCCTTGATGGCTTCAAAACTTAAAGAAATGGATGACGTAGTTAGAACAATGCATTTAAAAGCCACCATGGATCATAGCCAAGATGAAGGACAGACTCTTTTGGTGAGTATTTCTTAGTATTTGATGGTCCATTTGGCTTTTGTATGTCGGATTTATCTTATTTGGGTTCCATACACAGATAATAGTCAGTGATCATGGCATGACTGAGAGTGGAAATCACGGAGGATCGTCATATGAAGAAACTGACTCCTTAATGCTCTTTATTGGCTTGGGTAGCAATATTTCTGACTATGCTGCAGCTACCAATAATGTAGCTTTCCAGGTAGAACAGTCACTGCAACTTTCATGATATGTTTCATCACTTTTCATATCAGTCAAGCATCTACCTTTCTGGAAAGAGTATTGATGATAATGAGGTATGCATGATATGTAACCGAACGGAATTTTTGTGATGTAGGTAGATTTGGCGCCAACTTTAGCTATTCTATTTGGTGTGCCGATCCCAAAAAATAATGTTGGAGTCCTTGTCCCAGGAACACTCGATTCTTTAAGAGGTTATACACCTTTTACCTCTTTACTTTTTTAATCTGTGAGAACGCATTTGACTGTTTTTTTTCTTCACGATGTCTGGATCATTTCAGATTATGAGCAACTACGGGCACTAGAACTGAATTCCTGGCAGTTACTTAGACTAATGCAAGCACAGCTACCGAGCTCCTTGTTTGGAGGCTTTTCCTGCAATTGCTTCCTTTACGGAGCTTGTGAGGGTCTTGGTTCGGATATTAATGAGTGCTTTGGGGATAAAGAGAAACAACTTATTTGCTTGTTTAAAAACGCTGCTGTTCTCCATAGCATTTGGAAGTCCAAGAAATTGATAGAGTGCGTGATTTCTATGAGATTTTACTTGCGGTGCTCCTGATTTTGAGTTCCATAAACTTAATTCGAAAAATGGCTTTCATGTTAATAGGTCTTCTAGTTCCATGGAAGATTTCAGCAGAGCTTTAGATGCATATAACGCCTTCTTGAAAACTGCAAGTGAGTGGTTAGCAAGCAAAACCACTGAAGTATGTTTGACATCTTTTCTTAATTCAAAATCTATAGTATTTTCTTATTTTTAACAAAACTCTTATATGTTTTCAGAAACCAGTGCTCTTACTCGGTCTTGGAGTTAGTGCCATACTTCTCTCATGCGTCGTCTGTGTCACTCTCTTTCTGTCCTTATTCAAAGAGGTTTACCATGAGCCCAAGGATCGAGTCTGCAGAGGGAGTCATCTGTTGAATTCTGAAGACGTGTTCGTTTTGGCAGTTCCTTTGATATTTGTTATAAGTATGGGATCTAGTTCGATGGTGGAAGAAGAGCATTACATATGGCATTTCATGGTCGCGACATTCTATCTTCTATTACTCTTCAAGACAGCAAAGTCATTCGATTTCTCCAAGGGAATGAACATACTCAGAGACTATAAACTCGGTTCCATCTTCTCGCTTCTTATTTCCGGTAGACTACTGAAAGGTTGGCATCAAGGAGGCGTGAACTGGACTTACCTTCCTGATATTTCCAAGTGGCTAGAGCAAGTTGGCAGTGGTTATGTGAAACGGATCCAGCTCATCTCGAGCTTCATCGTTATCAGCCTCGGGCTATTTACTCTCTTTCGAACAAGATCAAAGAGAAAAATTGTCTGCGTCCTAGCTTTTGGTTTCACAACATGTGGATTCCTAATTCTGCTGCATGCCTGGAGATATCAAGATGATATGTTTGAAGTGTCAACCGTAACAGCAAAGCTTATCTATCTGCTTCTTTCTATATCCGCCATTGGAGCTGCTTTGGCTTTGCCATGGTCTATGCTAAACAAAGACAAGTGCTTTCTAGCTGAAGCAGGTGATTGCTTGTATCTGATTGGCTCTGCGTACACACTATCCTGGTGTCTTCTACAGCTACTTCTCCAACAACCGATCAACTCGGTGCCCATACTTTTGCTGCTCATCCAAATCTTAGCAATCTCAGGTCTTTCCTCTAAAGATTCGCAGGTCAACGAATGGGTTAAGGTTAGTTTTTACTTGTACCGCAACACGTTCATCGATTTAATAAGCTTTAGGGTTTAGGATCATCTCTCTTATTCTTGTAGATTGCTGCACTCTACTACATGGGAATGGCAGGTCACTTTGCTCTTGGAAACAGCAATACTTTAGCTACCATTGATGTTGCCGGAGCTTTTATCGTAAGCTTCTTGCTTCCTCTGTTTTTTTCTTTCTGTGTTTGCTTCTAACCAAAACACTGACACATTTCATCACAAACCTTTTTTTTTTCTTAGGGAATCTCTAGTCATTCTACAATACTCTCTGGGATCTTGATGTTCATGATCACCTATGCATCTCCCATGCTGTTCCTATTATCACTTGTCATGCACATTGGTGCTTATCTTAGAAACCACTCGCACTCAACGATATCAGCTCATCGAGACACAAACCTAGGGGAAGCTTTGAAGCTCAGGCTCGGGTTCCCTTGTCTCGTTCCGCTCTGCATCAATTCAATACTCTTGACAGCTTACACTGTGGTCTTGCTACTCATGAGAAACCATCTCTTTGTGTGGAGCGTCTTCTCTCCCAAGTAAGTTCTTTCATGCTCTTCCTTTTATGAGTTTAGCTTTTTAATTTTTGAACCGGGTCCGGTTTATCTGGATTGAACCACCCTAACCGGATTTCAACAATTGTTGTTGGTGAACAGGTACCTATATGTGTGTGCAACAACTCTTTGCACATACATTGGAGTATTTGTTGTCGCTGTGACTGTAACTTACACATTCTCTGTCACTACCTTCCTTAGAAGCAATACAAGAACATGACAAGACACAACAATTATGTAGGCAGAGATATGTACTAAAAAGATTTGATGTATGTAGAAGAACACTGAAGTCTAAATCGATTTTTTCTTATTAACTCTCATATCAGAAAACCTCCATAAACATTGTTAATCTTTCACATCGCAGTTTGGGTTTTGAACTATTACAATTAGTCATTACTGAGTATACAACTACACTCAACGTAGAACATAAATTTGCCACAAACAATGATTATAATTGCTTAACAAAGCCTAAAAGATTCATCTTTCTGCTCTTTCTTGTCATTCACGCCATTAGCTTTTTGGAGACTACTTTGATCGGAAACGGTACGTGTCTTGGCGACGGAGCAGCACTCATTGTGACAGAACCAGCAAACACTTGTCGCTCTTGGTTCTGCGGCGGTGATGCAGTCCTGATGGTGCTCGGAGATTGAATTGTCATTCGATGATTTGATCGGAGAATAATAGACTCTTCGATAGGCACTTTTCTTAACGAATGATTTTGAGAAATAATGAGGAGAGGCTTAGATGTTTGATGTGTATTTATATTTAAGGTTTGTGTGCTTCAATTAAGGAAAATAAAGAGTCGATTACCAAATATGGAAATATCTGGTCTCGTTGTGTTTGTGTTCGTGTGATGTTTCCTTTTTTCTCTGATTATGGTATCTAAAGTTATCTTAGGACCGCCCTCATTTTATATTGCCTTATTACAAAATTGTAAGATTTGGTATATCGAATTGTAATCAAATCAACTAAACCGGTCACCACTGGACACTGGTCCATATTTCTTGTGGAATAAGTAACTGTAAGTAAGTTGCACCAATTATAAACATCTTCAAACTTGCCCTCACCTGCTTCTCATCTAACCTTAAATTACCCTAATTAATTCCTCTATAAATACATACAAACTCCTTCATCATCGCTCACAGTCACAATCAAACCCAAAAACACAAACACTTGTCTCTCTAGTAAAGAACTGAAACCCTAAACCTCCAAAATGGCTCACTGGTTTTCATTTTCATCCCTTGTCCTTGCACTGACTCTCACAAGCTTTTTCACCGGTCTCACAGCTCGTCGCGATCTTCTTCAATCAACACCAGCGACTCAGCCACCGGTTACAACAACGTTTCCACCTCTTCCCCAAACCACATTGCCTCCTTCTCCTCTTCCTCAACCCACGGCGTTTCCACCATTACCGAGCACACAAGTACCTTCTTCGCCTAACCCAACACAACCCAATAATATCCCAAACTTGCCACAAATCAACATCCCTAATTTCCCAATTGAGATTCCAGACAACTTCCCGTTTAATATGCTTCCCACCAGCATTCCTACAATTCCATTCTTCACTCCACCACCTTCCAAATGAGAAGCTAAGCTCTTTAGCACTTTCCCATCTTTGTCTCACACATTCTGTTTACTTAAGTTAATGTTTGTAATGTTTCTTATTCTTTGTTTTCTATTGTTTGATGTTGTCTTTGTTGTTGTTTCTGCCATGTAATATATACAAACTTGATTAAATTTTAATTAGTAGTTGCCTTCTTGACTATTAGACGATTATCTTCCATATTTTTTCCTGCAATGTTCGCCTAAACAAGGCGTATTCCATGAGACATTCTCAGAAAAAGACAAGTGCTTGTTGCTATAATTCTTATGTAAAATGATGATTTGTCAGCAATAACCAAGGGAAATGAAATTTGATAACAATGTCTTCTTCTCATGTATCCTTTGACTGTTGTTTCTTATGGAGAGGCAGGCCCATAAATAAGCCCAATATATAGCCCATGAGAGTTTTTCGATTTACCCGTTTATTATTTTTAACATATTGATGCAAATGGTGCATTATAAAAAAAAAACTGTGATTGAAGTAAGACTAAAATGGTGTTGATTACTTCTTCTGTTATCATCCAAAAACAATAAATTTTATGATGGTTGCACTTGTTGGCATTTGACGTTATTATCTTCTTTTTTTTGTTAAAAGGCATATGACAATATTGTCAAAATATCAAATATCGTTTTCTTCCAGTATCTCACACATTTGTGTTTTATACTAGTGGAAGTTCGTAATTTTCTGTTCAACAAATTATCAGGTTCTTTAACAAAAAAAAAACAAATTATCAGGTTACAAACTCGTATAAAGTACAGCCATCTTTTACACTCGAAAAAATTAGTTGAAAGTTTCTAACTCAAAGAAGAAAAAGCTTTTGATATACCTTTTCCCAATTTACTAGAGACTTTTCATTTTCCTGCTCAAGAAAGAGCCTTTCATTGAACAAAATATAAAGAGAGGGAAAAGGTCAACAGTCAACTCTCAGCAACTCCGATATCTTAGGCGACACGTCACACGTGCAAGTTTGTAAGAAAGATCTAAAGAGGAAGACGTGCAATGGCGTTGGATTATTTTTTTAGAGAATTATGAATTTTGTAACCTCAAATTTACGTTTTTTTTTTGTTTTTCCCTTTTTTTTCCTTTCTCCTCTCTCTCTCTCTCCCTCTTTCTTGGAGATTGGAGTTTCATTAAATTTTCACAGGGGTGATGATTTCTGCTTTTGGATAGATTCTATAATAGGATCGAAAATTAATTAGCATTTAGTATGATCCTGTAACAGTAGAGAATTTCAATGGTCAGAATAAAAAATCGAGTGATTTTTTATAGGATTTTCAAATTACTAGTCTGATTCTTTTTATTTTTGTTGGTTAATTCCAGATCTAATGTTCTTCTGCGTTGGGAGAATTTGGGGAGATTTCTGAGCGATTTGGTCTTATGGTTTAGGATTATAATATTTTAGGAGCTGAAAAAAACAAAAATCACTGGAATCATGCTATTCTTAGCGACCGTGATCGCTGTCATCGTCGGCTTCGTTTGGCTTTTCTTCAAGTAAGTGCACTTGTTTCGTTGGTTTTCTCCAAATCAGAGTTTGAGTTTGATGTTTGGAACTGTCTTGTAATAGGTCACTCCCTTGGATTCTCCGGACATTTGCTGGAATAACTCTTAGTTTTCAGTTTGATGGATGGAACTGCTTGAAAGATGTTGCATTACATTTCAAGAAGGTTTTTTTTTATTTTTTTATATATGTCTATTTTTTCATATGAAGTCAAATCAATTCATCTTGAGTGTGTGTTGTTGTTTCTTGTGATTTTTAATAGGGCTCTATTGAATCTATATCTGTTGGAGAGTTTAAAGCCAACCTAAGCCAATCTCTGGTTGAACTTTGTGCAAAGGCTTTCATCCAAGACCCTAAAGTAATATTCTCAATATGTGACCTGAAAGTTGTAACTAGACCGCCTTCAAGCTCTAGCAAACGTCCCCGGAAATCAAAAAAGCAAAAATCGAAGTCTAGTGGTGGTGGCAAAGGGAAGTTGATGCTACTCGCTAACATCGGTAGATTCTTTTCAGTTTCTATGACCAATATTGTTGTGCAGGTAAATTTGGCCTAGTCTCTTTGTGACATATTTGTGACAATAAGCTTAAATATTATACTAACCATTGTTTATGCATTGGTTGTTTCTTTTTTTCCTTTTGCAAAAAACTTTTCAGACACCTAAAGCTAGAGCAGAGATCAAGGAGCTTGAGCTTGATTTATCTAAGGACAGAGGATCATCGAACTTTTTCATCAAACTCTACTTATTGCCGATATCTGTACAGATTGGTGATGAACCGCATGTTATTTCCACGCATCATTCACCTGAGATTAACAGTGACATCATTCAAACATCTTCAGAAATCGCAGATGGCTCTTCTTCTTCTTCTCCGTCATCTTTCCATTGCGAAAAAGTTTCATTCTCTTGTGAATTTGGTCATAACAGGTACTTTTTGTGCTTGACATACTTCCTACGTTTAGCAGACTTACATGTTCTTACATTTTGATATTCATGGCTGCTTAACATTTTGTGATCTTTCTTGAGCAGACAATCAAGTTCAAGTATAAAGAACGTCGAAGTAGAAATAGCTGATACTGTTTTAAACCTCAATGAGAAGCTTTTGTTGAAAAAGAAATCCTCCACTAGTGCTACTACTTCCACAAGTGAAGTGATTGGATCAACAGCTTCAGAGAAACCTCCAAAGCAACCAATTAATGTTTTGGTTGCAAAGCATGCTTCAAAACTCCCTGACAAAGTGAGTCAATTGTTTCCTTTAAGCTACAATTAGAAACCATGCAAGATTGATATCTGCTTCTACAAGAAAGGTGTTTAGTGTTGTATAGTCAATTTTTTTCATTAGCTAAAGTTCTTACTTGTGCTCTTTGACTTTATGTGGTAGGTATCATTTGATTTGTCAAAGCTTGATATCAGATTTACGCATCAAGAAAATGGTTTCTCTGTCGCGAATAGCATGACAGGGTTTCAGATAAAAATTTCCAAATCTCAATCAAATGATAATGGCAAGGAAGATCCATCTCTTGATGTTGTCATGGAACTCCAAGAGATCCATGTATGTTAAATAAGAATTTTTTTGTAGAAAATAACAATCTTTTTGATGTAACATCTTCTAGAGAATCTGAAGTTTGCACATTTCGTTTGCAGCTTATTAGAGAATCTGAAGTTTCTGTCTTGGAGATGTCAAAAGTCAGAGTTTCCTCCAAAGTGTATATTCCAATGCAAGTAAGTCCTCTGAATTGAAAACAGAGAAGTCTTTATTAGTGAAAATTTTCATATGTTTTTGCTGCAACTGTGAATAAGACCTTCATGATTTGATGTGTTGCTCTCAGGAATCTTTACCTGTTAAAGCTGAGGTTGAGATTAAGCTTGGAGTAATAATGTGCAACGTTATAATCACAAGATTTGAGCCGTTATTGCGTTTACACTTCTCCAAGAAGAAAAAAATGGTTCTCAAAGAGGAAAAACCAAACGTTGCAAAACCAGAATCTACTGGTTTCAAGGCTGTTGTATGGAAATGTGTTACTTCAGTCCCTGATGTAACAATTACGCTATACAATCTTGAAAGCTCTCCTATATACCAAGTAAGTATAAATCATTAAGCAAGAATCAAGAATCATTACTATTCATTCACAAAAACTGAGTTTTGTAATGGCATGTGTTTGTTTTTGTAGTGTTGCTCAGATTCGTTACTAGTCAATGCAAATAACATGTCGAGTAGAGGAACATGTGTGCAAATGGAGCTTAATGAGCTCAGTCTATGCATGGTTGATGAACATAGGGAACGTTTGAAAGAAAGTCTCTTTGGTTTAGAGTCAACTTCAGGTTCACTGATCAGTATAAGTAGAGTCAGATTGGAGTCTGGCAAGAAAGTTGAGGATGATGGTTCTTACGGTAAAGAAACAATGGGGGTCGACGTATCAGAGATCGCTCTGTTGTTCTCTTTCAAAAGCTTCGAAGCTCTTGTCGTAAACGCAATGACAATTCAAGGTTTCTTGAAAAGTTTAACCGGTGGTGGTAGTAGTAGTAACAAGAACGAGAAAAGTGCACAAAGATCGAAGAAGCCATCATCGTCGGGTAAAGGGACAAGATTCTTGAAACTCAACGTTGCACGTTTCTCACTAAACTTCGCTGGAGATTCAAACCTAGACAATACAGTCATTGATGATCCTAAACGTGTGAACTACGGATCACAAGGTGGAAGAGTTGTGATTAGTGTTACAGCTGATGGGTCACCAAGAACAGCTAGCGTGATGTCTAATATCTCCAAGGAACATGAGAAGTTGAGGTATATAATCTCGTTGGAGTTGCTCAAATTCGGTTTCACTCTAAACAAAGAGACTCAGTCTACACAAGTGGAGCTCGTGAACGCGAAATCGGTTTACCAGGAGTTCTTGGACGAACCTCATCCTGTTTCAAGATTGACACTTTGTGACATACACAACGCAAAGTTTGTTCGTCGAAACGGCGGTGGTGGTGTTAAGGATGTTGCGATTTGCTCGCTCTTCAGTGCCTCTACTATAGCTGTGAGATGGGAGCCTGATGTTCATATATCAATGGTTGAGCTTGGCTTGCGTTTGAAGTCATTGGTCTCAACGCAGAAACTTAAGCAACAAGGTAACAGAAAGCAAGAAGATGTTTCCACTAAAGAAGAACAAACTACTACTACCGTTTCTTCGAGTTCTGTTGATAAGCAGAAGAAGAAAGAGTCTATATTCGCTGTTGACGTAGAGATGTTAAGCATATCTGCAGAAGCAGGGGATGGTGTGGAAGCTGAGGTGCAGATTCAATCGATTTTCTCTGAGAATGTACGTATCGGTGTGCTCTTGGAAGGGTTTATACTTGGTTTTTGTGGATGTAGGATCTTCAAGAGTAGTCGTGTACAGATATCGCGAATACCAAGTATGTCTTCGACGTCTTCTTCTTCATCAAATGCATCAGGAACACCATGGGATTGGGTTGTTCAAGGACTTGATATACATATATGCATGCCCTTTAGGCTACAGCTTCGTGCTATTGATGATGCGGTTGAAGAAATGCTTAGGGCTTTGAAGCTTGTAACAAACGCTAAAAAAGAACTCATTTTACCTATCAAAAAGGAAAGCTCCACAAGCTCCAAGAAGCCTGGAGGTTCGCCTAAATTTGGACGTGTGAGATTATGTATTCGCAAGTTAGTGTTTGACATTGAGGAAGAGCCTCTACAAGGTTGGCTTGACCAGCATTATCATCTTATGAAGAAAGAAGCGCATGAGTTAGCCGTTAGGTCCAAGTTTCTTGATGAATTGGTTTCTAGTGGAAACAAGGTTGCTAAAGATGGAGAAGATGAGTCAGATGTTGGCGAGAAGAAGATTTCTTTCGAGGGAGAAGAAGTTGACATGCAAGATCCTGAAATTATCAAGAAGATTCATGAAAAGTTACATAAGCAATCGTTTGAGTCGTATTACAGATCTTGTCAAGGTTTACGACATGGTGATGGTTCGGGTGCTTGTAAAGAAGGGTTTCAAGCTGGTTTTAAGATGAGCTCTACAAGGACATCTCTTCTCTCGGTTTCTGTGACCGATCTTGACCTAAGTGTTACAGCTATTGCTGGTGGTGAAGCTGGGATGTTAGAGATTGTGAAGAATCTTGATCCCATTTGTCAAGAACAAGAGATACCTTTTTCACGTGTTTTTGGATGCAATCTTAGGTTAAACACTGGTACTCTTGCTGTTCAAATCAGAGACTACACGTTCCCTCTTCTCTCAACAACTTTAGGTAAATGCGAAGGCCGTCTTGTGTTGGCTCAACAGGTAAAAAGACTTCTCTTCTCTCTTTAAAGAACTCAAAAGATGTTGAGTTACTAACATTTTGTTTGCTTCTTGTTTTGACATATATAGGCAACAGCATTCCAGCCTCAAGTAAGCCATGAGGTGTACATAGGTAGATGGAGAAAAGTGCAGATGCTACGTTCAGCTGGTGGAACAACACCTGGTATGAAAACATACATGGAGCTACCACTAAGTTTCCAGAAAGGAGAGATCTCTTTTGGGATTGGATATGAGCCAGTTCTTGCTGATATAAGCTATGCTTTCACTGTGGCTCTACGTAGAGCTAATCTAAGTCTCAAGGGTCCTGGTCTTATTATGCCTCCTAAAAAGGAGAAAAGTTTGCCATGGTGGGATGAAATGAGAAACTACGTCCATGGGAACATAACATTGTCTTTCTCCGAGACTAAATGGTTTGTTCTTGCTTCTCCTGATCCTTACGAAAAGCTTGACAAGCTTGAAATGAACTCTGCTGCTGTTGAAATCCAGCAAACGGATGGTCGAATACACTTCTCTGCTGATCAGATCAAGATTTACATGAGCAGTTTCGAAAGTTTGGCTAGACGGTATCCAAAATCACTAGCGTGTCCACCAAGTTACCCTTTTCTTGAAGTCCCACGTTTCAGTCTTGAAGTCCGGATGGATTGGGAATGCGAGTCCAAGAACCCGTTTAATCATTATCTTTACGCTTTACCGGTCGAAGGAAAAGCTCGTGACAAGATCTATGATCCTTTCAGGTCTACTTCTCTCTCACTACGCTTTGACTTCTCCTTAAGACCCGAGAGACATCACAACACATCTGCTGATCAAAAAGCTGAAGTTGGATCTGAGTCTAAGCCTAAGAAACCGTCTGTTTCGCCACCTACGATAAACGTTGGTGCTCATGATATGGCATGGTTGATCAGATTCTGGAACATGAACTATCTTCCTCCTTACAAGCTCCGAACATTCTCTCGGTGGCCTCGGTTTGGAGTTCCAAGAATCCCAAGATCAGGTAACTTGTCACTAGACAGAGTGATGACAGAGTATTTTCTCCGAGCAGATGTTGCACCGATCTGTATAAAGCATATAACATTGGATCTTGATAACCCTGCAAGAGGCTTGACGTTTAACATGACCAAGCTGAAATATGAAATGTGCTTCAGCAGAGGCAACCAAGATTTCACTTTCGACTGCAAGCGCGAAACTCTTGATCCTGTGTACCAAGGAATAGATCTCCACGTGCCTAAAGCTTTTATCAAAAGAGAGCAAGAACATTGCTCATCAAAGCCTGTGCAGATGATGAGAACAAGCTCACAATCTGGATCAACCGAGAGAGTTGCTCCTGAGAAGCATCCGGACGACGGGTTTCTGTTTTCTTCTGATTACTTCACAATCAGGAGACAAGCTCCTAAGGCTGATCCTGAGAGGCTTATGGTGTGGAAAGAAGAAGGGAAAATTTACCGTGAGAAAGTAGATGCAAAGACTACAAATGAGAAAGAAAGTGAAAATGAAGAGAATTCACATTCTGATCCTAGTGATGATGATGGTGATGATGGGTATGGTGTTGTGATAGCTGATAACTGTCAGAGGATATTCGTTTATGGACTGAAACTGCTTTGGAACATTGAGAACAGAGATGCTGTTATGTCTTTCTTTGGTGGGATGTCTAAAGCATTTCAACCTCCTAAGCCTTCTCCATCACGTCTGTATGCTCAGAGAAAGTTGCTTGAAGGAAACCAGAAGCTCTCTGAATCAGAAGCTCCTCAAGATGACACAACAAGCAATAATGGAAGTGTCACTTCACAAACTAAGGAACCTGCGGAAGTTTCTTCACCTTCATCATCAGAACCAATCAAAACAGAGAACTTTGCATCTTTCCCACTTGGTAAGTCTTTCTGACTTTTCTCATGTATACTTTATCTTATGTACTTATCTGGCTGTCTCGATGCAGGAGCCACAAATGGTTCAGAGGAAGAAGGAACTCGGCATTTTATGGTGAATGTTATTGAGCCACAGTTTAATCTCCACTCAGAAGATGTAAATGTAAGTATAGATCAAACTTGAGCCAATGAAATTCAAAATAATACATGTAGAGTTGAATGTCTTGTTGTTCTTCATCTACCAGGGTAGGTTTTTGCTCGCTGCGGTTAGTGGCCGTGTTTTAGCAAGATCGTTTCACTCTGTTGTTCATGTCGGGTACGAAATGATTGAGAAGGCAGCTCAGAATGAACATGATCATCAAAGCCCTGAAAATGGCACTGACATGACATGGACACGCATGGAAGTGTCAATGATGTTGGAACATGTACAAGCTCATGTTGCACCTACAGATGTTGATCCAGGAGCTGGTGTGCAATGGCTGCCAAAGATTAGACGAAGCTCTCCAAAGGCGAAACGTACAGGTGCATTGCTCGAAAGGGTTTTTATGCCGTGTGACATGTATTTTCAATACACTAGGCACAAAGGTGTGACTCCTGACCTAAAGGTAAAACCTATTTTTTTTTACTCTAAGAGAAAAAAATAAGATCTTTTGTAATATTGTTTGAATGTTGAGACTTGTATTAACGTTTATATGTTTACAGGTGAAGCCATTGAAAGAGCTTACTTTCAATTCTCGTAATATTACAGCATCGATGACATCACGTCAGTTTCAAGTTATGTTGGATGTTTTGTCTAATCTTTTGTTTGCAAGGTTACCAAAGTAAGTGTATGTTGCCTTGCGTGAAAAGATATTATAATGTCGCCACTTTGAGTATATCTTATTTACTACTTGAAATTTTTTTCAGGCCTCAGAACGACACTTTCAAACTTTCTGGTGAAGAAGATGATGAAGTTGAAGAAGAAATCGATGAGGTAGTGCCTGATGGAGTTGAGGAAGTGGAACTTGCGAAAGTCGAACTTGAGCACAAAGAGAGAGATAGGATGTTGCTTCTTGATGATATTAGGAAACTGACACAGAACGAGAGTAACTCAGGAAACACAAATCTCGAAAAGGAAACGGAGGTTTTGTGGATGATCACCGGAGGGAGGCCAATCTTGGTGGATGGATTGAGGAAAGCGTATATTGACGTGCGACAATCTCGGAAGACAGCTTATACCGCACTGAGGATTTCTGTGAAGAATGCTGCAGAGCTGAGGCTGTTGGAGAAAGATAAGAACAAAAGACCATCTTCTGCTATGCGCATTTCGTTACAGATCAACAAAGTCGTATGGTCTATGCTTTTAGATGGCAAAACATTCTCCGAGGTTGAGATAGACAATATGGTAAGGTTCTATTTAGACTCAACTATGATGTTTTTTCTATCTTCTTGGCAAGAAAAGTTTCTTTTAAGATGTTTCACATTGCTTTTGCAGATTTATGATTTTAACCGGGACTACAGAGATATTGGGATTGCTCAATTCACAACAAGATACTTTGTCCTAAGAAACTGTCTGCCTAATGCCAAGTCTGATACTGTTTTGTCAGCTTGGAACCCTCCTCCAGAGTGGGGCAAGTAAGTTTCTTTCTTGCCTCTCACGTTTCACATTTATGCAAAATCTGGTTGTTGTTATATTTGTTTGTACATACAGGAAAGTGATGTTACAGGTAGATGCAAGACAAGGTATCCCAAAAGATGGACAAGCTCCTTATGAACTTTTCCAGGCAAGTCATTCTTCTATCTTAAATGTTCTAATCATATGAGACTAGAAGATTCAAAAATTTATTTATACTAAAATAGAGTTTTCTTGTGTTTTTGCTTGACAGGTCGAAATCTATCCTCTAAAAATCCATTTGACAGAAGCAATGTACACAATGATGTGGGAGTATATCTTCCCTGGAGAAGAACAACATTCACAAAGAAGAGAGGTTTGTTGTCTTATCCATTTTACTTCTTATTTAATCAGCTTGTTGCTATGCAGTTATGATGATGACTCCGAGTTTGTATTTTGTCTCCTCCAGGAGGTTTGGAAGGTGTCGACAACCGCAGGATCAAGACGAGTTAGGAAAGCTTCATTTGCACAAGAAGCAGCAGCATTGCTCTCTGCAACTGATCTAAGCCAGGTGAAATTTTTGAACATTTGTTATGCTTACATTCATACCATATCTTGAAATCTTTATACTTATTTTCTTGAAAATGCTTTCAGGGTTCAAAGAATCAAAACCCGAAGTCAAGCTCGCTCCGGGGTTCAGGACCAGAACTTAGAAGAACATCTTCTTTTGACAGAACATGGGAGGAGACGGTGGCAGAGTCTGTAGCTAATGAGCTTGTTTTATCTTCCATGGAGCATCAGAGTGAATCTTCGAAAAACAAGCTGAAAGATTCAAAAACTACAAAGGCTGGTCGTTCTGTTCATGAAGAGAAAAAGACAGAAAAGTCATTGGAAGACAAGAAATCGAGACCTCAGAAGTTAATGCAATTCCAAACCATCAAGATTAGTCAGGTTTGTCACTAGTTGTTTAACTTAATCTTTTTTTTTCCCAAGGCATAATATCAACATAATTGGTTATTGAATGCTGTAGGTGGAATTGTTGATCACTTACGAAGGATCAAGATTTGTTGTGAACGATATGAAGCTGTTGATGGACACATTTCATCGTGTTGAATTCAGTGGAACATGGAGGAGACTCTTCTCTCGAGTTAAGAAACATATAATATGGGGAGTGCTTAAGTCAGTAACAGGAATGCAAGTAAGACCATATCAACACACCAAACCATGAATAAAAATTGCATTTTAGGGTTTTGTGTGTCACTGATAATAAGTTGTTTCATTTTTGTAGATGAAGAAGTTCAAAGACAAGACTCATGTTCCAAAAGATGAGATTGGCTTGAGAGACAAAGACGAACCTGGAAGACCAGATCAAGATCCAGGGGCATGGGTGAAGCGTCCAGGCGACAATGCAGGTGATGGATTTGTGACATCCATTAGAGGTATCTTCAATACTCAAAGACGAAAGGCCAAGAAGTTTGTGCTTAGGACGATGAGAGGTGAACAAGAAGATAGCTTTCCAGGGGAGTGGAGTGATAACGAATCAGATTTCTCTCCTTTTGCAAGACAGTTGACGATTACTAAAGCTAAGAAACTCATCAGGCGTCACTCTAAGAAGTTCCAAAATCAAAACACTACTAAAGGTTTGGTTTTTTCTTTTTTATCATCCGTTTATGTGATCAAGTAATGAAGTTGCAAAACCAAGATAATGTTGTGTTGTGTTGCAGGTTCTAAGAAGCTACAGCTCTCACCAACTCTGTCTCCTCCTAAGGAAGAAGATCGATACGAAAGCGACTCATCTAGTGGATCTTCTGCTTATGAAGAGTTTCTTGACCAGAATCAGATTTAAAGATAAGAGTTCAAAGTTTTGTTTTTTTTTTTTTCCACGACTAAAGTTAATTGAAAAAACAGTTTTCCTTATAAATTTTGTAGAGAGTTGCAAATGATTTAACTCATCCATCACTTTTACACTCTTTTAAGATTAGATTTTTCATCCATTGTACTAGCGTAGTAGTGTTGATACGACTCGTTTACTAGATATGACTGACATAAGAGAAGAAATTTTTAGTTTGGGGAAATCATACATTATTTGGGCTTACGTTGAAGTCACGCAACAAAATGTTACATTGAAATACAGATTTCTCACAAATATAATAAACAAGAAACGTTACAACTACACGAGCTTGCCTTCTTCCACCCTTGAAATTTACTGATATTTTGGTTGCAACCTTGAAATTTACTGATATTTTGGTTTGCATTAGAGATTATGGTCTAGATTTAACGTTTCTTTTCTTGTGAACAGAACTCATGATGTTTTGATCCCATTACAATCTCCTTTATCAGCAATAACAATCTCATCGCCTAAAAATATTTTCAAAGACATAGGAGTAACGTGTGAATCACGAAATAACTTATCCTCGCGGTGAAAAATCATCAAGGTCAGTCACTCCATTCCAACAAATATGAAACACAACAATACACCTTTTATATATTACAATATACTAGAAACTTTGGATTCTACGAAGAGTGAGATGCTCATCAGCCCTAACGATGTTAACGTGGGCACAATTAATAGAGCAACAGTACTTATCGGTCGACTTGCCATCATCGTCCAAGACTTTCAAGATGATAGGAGATATGCAACGAGAGCCACATTCGCTGCAAAGTGGTCGAGACATACTATCGTTACGAACCACAAAGAACTGTGTGGCCACCATGCCCAGAGTGTACGTTGTCAGTGCTTTTCCTGGCTTGAAACTTCGGAAATCTCCAAGGACACAATCAATATGTAAAGCAACCCCACAGTCTTTACACGTGTAAAACCATCTTTTGAGATCAGTTACTTTCTCACAAATATCACACCAATATATACCACTTGAACCGTCTTCACCATAGCATAAAGAGAGAAGATGATCGTCGACTCTATGCTTTACCACATCTGGTAATAAAGCACATTTGAAATCCAAGACGTATCCACAACCAGCTGCAACACATCTCAACACATGAGATGCCTCAAGCTTGCAAGCGGTGCAGACTCCTTTTGGTGATGTGTAAAATAAGGGATTCTCAGGATGACTCGGATGGTTAAGTGGCTCAGAAACCGCCGCACATCGCATATCTAACCCGTGTGTTTGACATTCGTATTTGGAACCATTGTAAAACACACCACAAGCCTTACATTTAGAAAAATTGTCTTGAGCCGTGTGTAGAACATACTGTTTATTGCTTACCACGTGTCTTTTCCGTTTAGGCAGACTCGCACAGCTCTCATGGAGAATGAAGCTACAGCTCATGCAACTATAGAAGGAATGGTGAAGGATAGGATATGAACATGCTTCGCAGCTCCCTCTCTCCTCAACAAAGATACCGGACTTGTCGAGCCTTAGGTTATGCTCTTTATGGCTGAAATGTTGTATTGTGTTTTCACCTATCACCTTGAATGGTTCGATATCTTCATCTTCTTCAGGCTTGTCTTTAAGCTCTATCCTGTCCGACACATCTCTTCTAAGAGCACATTTGGTATGAAACATGGAGTTTGGACACTTGTGACAAGAATAACCCCCACAAGTCCAATCCATTTTCTCTTGACAAACTCCACATACCGAATCCACCACACCAAGAAGAGTAGTGAAAGAAACGCGATGATCATGACGATTGATGTTAATGACCCTTGGAAATCCAAAACAACCAATATGAGCCGTGAAACTACATTGAAGACAGACAAATGGGCTTCGATCTCCCTTCAGCCCGCAAGTGGTGCAAGTAAAAGAGATCAGTTTTGGCATAAGGCAAAGCATGTGGCCATGGATGTCTCGGTCGTGAAAAGCTACTTGTGGTGGATAAAGACAACAATGCAGATCCAAGCTAAAGTTACAGAGGTCACAATGGTAAAAGACACCATCAACAAGCTCGTCTCCACACAAACAACATTTTCCTTTGGTATAAGCGGGTGGTTCACCTTTGAAGAGTTTTAGAGGGTGAATGTGTAAAGGATGGTTTACCTCTCCTGCGTACTTTTGGCATTTCACATGGAAACTCACTTGGCATTGATGACATTTGTATGAGTATCCATCACCATCCTTCCCGCAAGCAACGCATGTGAAGTGGGTTTCCACCATCTCTAGCTTGAGTTTATGGTCATGGTTCTCGGGAACATCAATGACCTCCGGCGGTGTGTAAGTAGCACAGTAGATGTGGAGTTTAAAACCACATTTCAAACATTGATAGTGTTTGATATCTTTGGGGATCTTATGTCGACATGAAGCACATGTCGCTTTAGATTTCCCAGGGTGGGTTTGAAGGAAAAGAGGGTAGTCACACTTGTAAAAAGGGTGGTCGATCTTGTAAGGGGCGTTGCTGCATCTCTCGTGGAAAAACATATCACATTCGCCGCAGTAGTAGCCATCACTTGCAGCTTGGAATTTGACTCCGCCCAACAGTCACCTTTCCGTCCATCTTTCAAAGGCTTCAATGAATGTTCGTGAATGGGTCGTTTCACCTCCTCAGAATCCATGGCGTACAAGATTATACAAGAAGTGAAGGAAAAAGAAGAAGAAGAAGAAGAACAAGAACAAGAAAGAAAGGAAAAAAGAAGAAGAATTGAATTATTTTCAAAGCTATAAGCTCTTTATCTGTAAATTTAGTCACCCTTTTGTGTACTGAGATGAAATCTGAATCTAAAAGGGATTATAGAACAATAAATCGTATGAGCAAAACAGTAATCTCTTCTTTTGAATAGTTTTTTTAAAAAATTAATGGTCAATTATTAGTAGTTGCTACATTATTGTTATAACATTAATAATAAAACTTAGACCTCAACCACTAACTATACACCACTATTTTACATCGTTCTAAAGTCAACGAAGCACGACGATTCAAATGACAACTTGTTTCTTTTTTAAATCAGAATTGACAGAAAGCAGCAATTTATCCGTGTGAACCGGGAGCCTTATCATATTATTAACTTGTCAATTAATTAATTTCTATTTCTATTAATTATCATATTTCCTTATCATTTTGGTAGGTTAGGAGTATTTTTCAATATTTACTAAACTATGAAAGAGTATGATTAAACCATCTTTTAGCCAAAAAAACAAAATACAAAATGAGATCATAGTAGCTGTCAAATTCATCAACGTCACTCTTATATTAAAGAAAAACAATAATACACTTAAACTTATTCAAAAAAATTGGAACTTCATATTACCCCGAAAAAACAAAAGGATTTTCTCTACGAAATCGTTGATCCACAGAACTATCAGGGTACACAATTTCAAAGCAATCAAAAGAGCAATAGTACTTAAAAGGCTTGCCAGTCCCAACGACTTTCAAAATGACAGGTAATACGCAACGCAACTTGCATTGGTTGCAAAATGGCCGAGACATTCTTTTGTTGCGAACCGCCACAGACTGTACGCCATCACCGCCGTCCGCCCATGTAACGACTGCTCCCGGCTCGAGAGATCGAAAATCTCCGAGCATACAACCGATATGCAAAGTAAACCCACAATCTTTACATGTGTAAAACCATGTTCTTGAATCTGTTTCTTCCTCACAAATATCACACCAGTATATACCAGGTGCATCTTTTTCACCATAGCATAAAGAGAGAAGATGATCGTCGACTCTATGCTTCACCTGATATGGTAGTAGAGCGCACTTGAAGTCGAGGACGTATCCACAACCTTCTACAACGCATCTGAGCACATGAAATGCTTCTTTCTTGCAAGCACTGCACACTCCTTGTGGCGACGTGTAAAATAAAGGATGCTCGGGATGACTTTGATGGAGAAATGGCTCGGAAACTGAAGCACATCGCACATCTAAAGCATGTCGATCATCACCAGAACTATATGCGGAACCATTGTTACAAACTCCACAAGCCTCACACTTATGACGACGGTGAGATTTTTGTAGAGTGTATAGTTTATTGCTTACCATATGCCGTCTCCGTGTAGGCATTTCGGCACAACTCTCATGAAGCATGAAGCTACATTTGATGCAGCTGTAGAAGGAATGGCGATAGATAGGATAAAGACATGCCTTGCAAGTCCTCTTGTCAATAAAGATACCAGACTTGTCGAGTCTTAGGTTATGCTTTTCATGGAGAAAATGTTGTATTGTGTTGGTGCTTTCATCTACCACCTTGAACGGTTTGATTTCTTCATCTTCTTCAGGGTCGTCTTTCCTCTCTCTTCTATCCGATACATCTTTTCTTGTAGCACACTTTGTATGAAACACAGATTTGGGACACTTGAGACAAGAATAACCCCCACAACTCCAATCCATTTCCTTCTGACAAATTCCACATACTGAATTCACCACACCAATAAGAGAAGTGCGAGTGACGCGATGGTTATGACGATTGACGTTAATGACCAATGGAAACCCAAAGCAATCATTATGGCCAGTAAAATTGCATTAGATGCAAACATATGGGGATCGATCTCCATCCAACCCGCAAGTGGTGCAAGTAAAGGAGATCAACTTTGGCAAGAGGGTGAGTATATGGTCATGGGTTTTTGGGTTGAGGGGATATATTGCTGGTGGATAATAAACACAATACAAATCCAAGGTGAAGTTACACATGTAACAATGGTAAAAGATCTCCTCAAAAATCATTTTCCCACACAAAGAACATTTTCCATCGGTATAAGCGGGTGGTTTACCTTTGAAAAGTTTAAGAGGGTGTGAGGGATGGCAAGGATGGGTTACCTCCGCTGGATACTTTTTGCAACTCACATGGAATGTCAAATGACATTCATCACATTTGTAGGAACATCCATCGCCATCTTTTCCGCAAGCAGCACACGTGAAGCAGCTTTGCTTCTTCTTTAGGTTGAGTTTGTGGTCATGACTTTGGGGAACATCAATGGCCTCTGGCGGTGGATACTTTGCACACTCCAAATGGATCAGTTTCTTTTTACCACCAGAAGAACTATAATGTTGGATACCTCTTGTGATCTTCTCTTTACAGAAATCGCACCTCGCTCTAGATTTCCCAGTGTATGTAGCAATACAAACACTGTCGAAAAAATTGCGAGAAGAGTGATCGAGTGATTCAGGGGCGTTGCTGCATGTCTTGTGGAAAAAGTAATCGCATTCGCTGCAATAATAGCCATCACTTTCGGCTTTGAATCTGACTCCGCAGCAGTTACCCATTCGCCTATCTTTCAAAGGCGACATCGGATGTTCATGAATGGGTAGTTTGACCTCCACAGGGTTGGTGGTGCACAGGAAGTCAAAGTAATATCTCCAAGATAATTCTATGATGTACATCTTTTACGTAGATTGCACAAGCGGTGAAGAGGGAAAAAGGATAAACAAGGAAAATTGGATTTTATAGATTTTCTGGTTTTGGTTTCTCTTATCTCCTGTAATGAAGACTAGAGTTTAGATAACAGTTACCCTTTTGTGTACTGAATGATGTCTGAATCTGAAAAATGATTTGTCATATACAGTAAAACCTCTATAAAACAATAATGTTGGGACTTTGAAAATTTATTATCTTATCGAGTTATTGTTTTATCGATAAAATAATAATAATTATTTTATAAAATATTCTATAAAAAAAAGAAACTTTATAGAAATATATGTAAGTAGGTACACGTAAGGAATCAATTGTGGCTTCGAAAACTCTTCACAACTTTTGGCCCCAGAAATTGTTGATGCAATAAGAAAAATTCGAGATGAGCTCCAACGAGAATCCAACTTTCATAAAAGACAAACTACATTGGAGTCATATTTTACTAAATTGCCTTAGATATATATGCCTTAGTTTTATAATTATTATCTTAGCCTATTGTTGGGACTATATTTTTACATAGGAGTTTCAAAAATATTATTGTCTTATCATCTTATCGCATTATGCTATTTTTTACATTGGCCCGAGTTGGGACCGGAGAAATTTATTATCTTATAGTGTTTATTGTTTTATCGAGTATTGTTTTATAGAGGTTCTACTGTAGAACCAATAAATCGTTGAAGATAAACAACTAGTTGCAATTTTTTATGGATTTAACAGGGTAACCACTAACCCCCATCAATCAGTGCAGATCATGCTAAAGTCAACGAAGCATTAGTTATCTACAGTGCAAAAATATTTGTTTTTGTTTTTAAAGAGTTTTAGTAAGTAGTCACTTTTATAATTGTTACGTTATTGCTATCAAAATATACTAGTTTTAAACGTAAGGTATAATAATTTTAGATCTGACGATCACAGATAACCACCACCGTTTTGTATCGTGCTAAAGTCATGACGTGTTTTTTTAATTTTTTTTAGAGCATCACCCTTGAGTATAAATCTCAGGTTCTCAACACACTATAAAATACTAATAGTGAAAGGCCTAAAATGGCGTTGGCCCATAAAGAGATGAAAACAGATGCTGAGAGGACCCATTAACAACTAGGCAAGATCGACCTTTATTGTGATTCTCTTAGGTACTCCCTTTTTGTGATAACCTTGAACAGTCTCAGAAGCTAACAGTGTGTTTTCTCTTTTCTGTAAGAATTATTTGTAACTTGTGGATCTTCTACAATTAGCAGCTACTGAGTACATACTCATGACTACACTAAAGACATTCCACAACCACAAAGATAGTAGTTAGTTTTGAACTAAACAGCTTAAAAGATTCGCCTTCTTCGTTCTTCTCATTCAAGTCGTTAGGTTTAAAGACTTTTTAATCATCTCTCTAACGTAAAACTTCGGAATCGGCAAGAGTCTCGGCGATGGAGCAGCACCCATTGTGACCGAACCGTTAAAAAGTTCTCGCTCTTGATTCCGCGGTTGTGTGACCTTGATTCTGTTCGGTTCTTGAACCGGCTTCTCATTAACCGGATCAGGTTTAGAATGCGTTTGTTGTTTTGTTGGTTTCAAAGGAGCTTCTCGTGGTTTAAAGAAGCGTTTAAAGGCAGAGAGAGGAACTTTTTGATGAAGATGTAAAACAGAGTTACGACAGAAGTAATGGAAACCAATTCCTTGTTTTGTGTGAAACGGAACAACGAAAACGTCTCTGACAAGGTAACTGTGTCTTAAAACGATCGACATCTTGATGAGATTTGATGAATCGATCGATCGGAGAGGTAAAGATAAGACTCTTTAATTGCTACTTCGTCCAGCTTAATCGAGTGATTGTATGAAATAATGAGAGGGTTAAAGGTTTATTTATATAGGTTTCAAGTTCTTTGCTTGGAGTCCAATTAAGGAAATTATAGTCTCAATGCAAAATAAAAAAGGAAATAGAAAGTTCACGTTGTCATGTAAATGATTTATTTTTCTCTGGTTTATCCTTTAAAAAATTTAACTCTCAGAAAGCTTATTATTCTTTTTAAAATAGATTGTTTCATTATTTGTCATGTGATCTCAAAATAATATTACCCGATCTTTCCAGAGATCTGTAGAAGATTTTTTTTTCCGTATTAAATTAAACCGAATACAAAACGAATTGTACTAAATATTTTAAATCGTAACCAAAATAATTTTTCCAACTTTTTCTAGTAGTTCTTATGTTTGTGAACTATCCCTTTTTTTTAACAAAAACAATTTTCAGAATAGTTTAATTTAAATAACATATCCTAACAAAATAATGAAACAGGTTACCTAAACAAGATTACCTAAACAAGATTAAAAACACTAATTTGCAGTCCAGGGGTTGGTCAACAGAGACAAAGTACTCATGTGTCATGGACAGATGGACTTGTGGTTACTTCTAGTGACTCCATGTTTCTTGTGAAATAAGTAACTGTTAATAAGTTGCACCAACAATAAACCTCTTCATCAAACTTTTCCCATCTACTTCTCATCAAACCTCAAACCCTAATTCATCTATAAATACACACATATCTCCTTCATAATCTGGGCATCATCACTCAAAAATCTTCTTTAGTAACAACTCAAACCTTAAATCCCCAAAATGGCTCAGTGGTTATTATCATCATCATCCCTTGTCATTGCACTGACATTCACAAGCCTTTTCACCGGTCTATCTGCTGGTCGAAATCTTCTCCAATCAACACCAGCGACTCAACCACCGGTTACAGCAACGTTCCCACCTCTTCCCAAACCCACAATGCCACCATTTCCTCCTTCTTCTCTTCCTCAACCCACGGCGTTTCCACCATTGCCGACCACACCAATACCTTCTTTGCCTAACCCAACACAGCCCATTAATATCCCAAACTTCCCACAATTCACCATCCCTAATTTCAACATTCCAAACAACTTCCCATTCAATATTCCCACCAGCATTCCTACCATCCCATTCTTCACTCCACCACCTTCCAAATGAAGTAGTCACAAGCTAATCTCTTTAGCACATCACCATCTTTATCGTCTCACACACTTTGTTTGCACATGTTTGTAATGTTTCTTATTCTTTTCTATGTCGTTTTTGATGTTGTCCTTGTTGTTGTTGTTCTTGTTGTTATTGTTGTTTTTATGATTTAGTTGCTTTTGTAATGTATACTTCTTATACTTTTTCTTATGAGTACTTGGTTTCTTCTTCTTTGGGCTTGTTCGCTTGACTTGTTTCATCCATAAAGTTCCTTGAGATGTTTGCATAAGCAACTCAAACATTCTCAAAAGCAAATCGTATGTGTTTTACCGGCTCAATTGGTGTTTCTTACGAAGGCCCAGGCCCATTAGAGCTTCTTGATAAACCATTTTTGTATTTTACATAAGCGCATTTTGAGACTTATTTATTGAAAGTGGAAACTAGGAAAAGGTCAACTGTCAACTCTCGGGTGCTCCGACATCCTCGGAGACACGTCAGTACGTCACACGTGCGAGTTTGTGAGGAAATTTTTTTTTAAACGGCTTTTACTTGGCGGGAGAGGTGTAAAGTCATTAGTCAACTCTTTTAGACCCCTTTTTTGGCCCAAATGTCTTCTTCGAGCCACACGGAGTTTATTAAACCATATATAAATCGTGGTTAATTTAATTAGTTATAATCGGAGTTCTTCTCTTCTTTATTGCGTAGTTGTTTTTTTTTTGTCAATTAAAAAGTCAATGATGGTAACCGATTGAAGCATTTCGTGCCGTAGTACAAGACCAGATGAAAAGAGAAAAACATTACTACACATCTCAATGATTATTTTGCGATTGAGAATTTTATAAATCTGATTATGAAGCTATTTTTAGTCTTCTTCTTTGTGTCTGGTAAAGAAACTGGAGGTCATGTGGCTTATAATTTCCTTCAAAGTAAAGTCATAGATCAAAAAATTTAGTTTGGAACCAAATATAAAAGTCCACTCGGATTAAAGAATGTATCTTTAGAACAAATTCTTGCCTAACCGTATAAATTATCCGCGTTGAATTTATAACTTGCATTAAGCTATCCACAGTTTCTAATAAGCTAGTTAGGGTCTGCTTAAAGGTTAACGTGATAAATATAATCAGATTAAGTCTCCTTGAAGTTACAAGTGTCCCATTGTAGTTAATTAATTTGACAAGAACAAAATTATGAAGGAAAAAGTCAAAAGCCTCTTGAATTATAATAAGACCTTCGCGCGTGGCCTTGGCACGCCAAACTGACACAACCATACGAAGTTCCAAAGGCTGAAGTGTTTTTTTTTTTTCTTTTCTTAACGAGAGGCTGAGCTGTTATATGATAACTTTTCATCTTAACTGTATACTAATACATATGAATATCAGAATATGTTATGTGTATGTTTATATAAACACATCTCATATTATGTGATTATTTTCGTATACATCTCACATGCATTCGATTATTGTGTCAATTGATTTTAAAAAATTTCATTAACTAGTTTAGTTCAAAGTTGGTCAAAATGACCATTTCCAATCTCACTGTAAAAATTAAATTTTGAGACAAAACTGTTCTCCAACACCACGTTTATCTGCGTCATCAGTAGCTTGTCCGATTCAATGGACATAATCGAAACTTCTCCTTAGTTTGGTGTGTCATCATTGGAACTGCATCATATTAAATTTGGCCAGACACATTGTCAATATATTTACACTGACGCAAATTTGGCCCAGACATTATCAATATATTTACAATCGATGCACTAGACATAGACTGTATGGACATATGGTTATGGCGTTATTCAAATGTTTAGCATTCGCATTACATAAAACTTGGTCCGAATCGTAATTAGATTGTAGAACTTGTAGTGTAGTTTAAAAAAATTGTGTGAAATGTTACCATCGTCAAAGTCAAAAGCACCGCAACTCGTGCCTCACCGCATAGATCAAGCAACTTGCTAGATGTTAATGCGTTGGTGCTCGACTGATTTTTTTTTTAATTTTTTTTCCATGAGTTTTGTATACGAGTGGAAAAATAATAAAATAAACAAACGTGGAGTATATTTCATGAGATGCAATAAGGGCCATCAATGACCTAGTTAGTGAGAGAGGTAGGTCAGTCTCTGAGTCTGTAAAAAGAATCTTTGATTTTATTCTAAACAGAGCTTTGTGATCACCTTTGGATGGCTCTCAGAGCTCTGACACTCCAATTTTTACCATATGGTTTCTGATACCATATTATAAAGGAAGGATGCATGCATTTGTAGACCTATTGCACATTTTGTTCAATCTCTGTTAAAAAGCTATAGAATTATGTAAACGAATAAGAAAGACCATTGAATATATACCAGTTTATAGAAAAGAAATCGAAGGTCGAGATTATATATGGAGAATGGGATAAATAAGGAAATGCTTTCCTTTTTACAAAATAATACAGCTTTTGAGTGTATAACTTTAACCTACCCCCTTAAATTTCGAGTAAATCTTCAATCTACCATAGTATGAACAACCCCATATTAGGAAATCATCGCATGCTCTAGTTAAAAAAAAAAAAACAATTCAATTACAACTGATGAAAAAAGGAATATATTAGTCTTCAAGGAATAATCAAACATGGAAAGAGAAGAAAAACCATGAAGCATCTCATTCACAGAAAAGAAAGCATCCCATGTGAGTGTGGGGTGAAAAATAATTCAAGTGGGGAAAAATATCCATTAAATTCTCTAACCAAATGAATAACACTCCCAATCCGGTACGAAAGTGAAAACGATGCCAAAACAAAGAACACTGGTTTTTTGTATTCTTGGCGTCGAAATTGACTTTTCATATATGACTTGTTGCAAGAAATTCAAAAATTTATAACGAAGAAGAGGAAGAGCTTTGCATCGAAATAGTTATCAAGGGACCCAAAATATAAGTACTGATGTTTATAGCCAGAAAACAGCAACCAACCCGAAATAATTCATATATGTTCAGTTTTCACCAAAGATTCAATTATTGGTAGGAAAGATAGCACCTAAATTCTATAGGAAACGTAGGTAAAATCCAAAATTCAGAATTATGATCTTTTTAACTCTTTTTTTAAGAACCAATGTGCAGTAGAATGTTGTCTATTTCTTCTCTAAAAATTAACGATTAAAATATATAAAGCAACAAACTAACAATTATTATTTTTTCCTTCAGACTTACAGTTACAGATTACAGTGACATGCAACCGTATTCGTGTAAATATAAACTAGTGTAAAACGCTTGTCATGCACGAGAATGTTATGGCTTATTGGGCTCAACAATTTGAATAATATACTTGTTTATAAATTTTATTTAGAAGATATCTTATTCACTAATTATTCCTAAACTGGACAAGATTATAAATACTAAAATAAATTAAACAGATATGATTGATCCATGTATAGAAATTTCGAGAAAATTAGATATATTGTATTCTAATTTTTATTCATAAAAATCCATTTTAAACCAACATAAGATTTTTGCATTAAAGTTTTTTTTTTGTCTCAACTTTTGCATTTAGGACGACTAGATGTGTTTGTATAATTCACTAATCTAATCTACACTTTGGCTTAAAAGGTTGCATTTTTCAATTTTTTTTTCTTCGTATGAGCTGCATTATTATTATTTTTTGTTGAATAATTACATATCAAAGCAAGTTTCTATGTATGTTTAGTCAAAATTATTTTATGTAAATATCGCGAAAACAAAAATAAGGAAACTCGAACGATGCTACTGAAAATTTAAAAGGAAAACGAGTTTTTTTTCTTTTTCCTTTTCCTTTTCCTCGGCGCAAAATAGCAAACAAGTCTCCGCGTTTCCTTTTCTTTCCCTTATTTAAACACTTTTCTCTTCTCTCTTCTTCTTCAACAATCTCTCACCACTTCTCTCTCCCTCTCTCTCTCTCTAAAAGACATTAATTCTCAAACCTAAAAAAGGTCTGTCTGAACAGCATATGTCTCAAAGACCTCAAGTTCCTCATTCTTCTTCTATAGCTTTCGGTCTCCATTCTCATCTCCTAATCTCCAGTGAAATCACCTCTAATTCCAATTGGTCTCTCTAATAAAAAAACCCAAAAAATAAAAATCTAACCTTTTTTAATTCTCTCTCTCTCTCTCTCAAGTCAGATTTTTCCGGAAACCCCAAAACAGAGATCTTTTTGAATTTTTCGATTTGAAAAAAAAAAAAAAATGGGTCTCAAAGGATTCGCTGAAGGAGGAATCGCATCAATCGTAGCGGGTTGTTCGACCCACCCGCTTGATCTACTCAAGGTCCGAATGCAGCTTCAAGGCGAATCATCCTCAATCCAGCCGAATCTCCGTCCGGCGCTCGCTTTCCAGACTTCCTCCTCCGTCCACGCGCCTCCTCCGCGCGTGGGTATAATCGGAGTCGGATCTCAAATCATCAAAAAGGAAGGTACGCGTGCTCTGTTCTCCGGCGTCTCCGCCACCGTTCTCCGTCAAACTCTCTACTCGACGACTCGTATGGGTTTATACGACATTCTCAAAACCAAATGGACCGACCCGGAAACAAAGTCGATTCCTTTAACCCGAAAACTCGCCGCCGGATTCATCGCCGGAGGAATCGGAGCCGCCGTGGGTAACCCGGCTGATGTAGCGATGGTGCGAATGCAAGCCGACGGTCGTCTTCCGCTGGTCGATCGGAGAAACTACAAGAGCGTTTTGGACGCGATCGGGCAAATGGTTCGCGGCGAGGGCGTTACGTCTCTGTGGAGAGGTTCGTCGATGACGATAAACAGAGCGATGCTCGTGACGGCGTCGCAGCTGGCGACGTACGATTCGGTGAAAGAGACGATTTTGGAGAAACGGTTGATGAAGGACGGGCTTGCGACTCACGTGACGGCGAGTTTCGCGGCGGGGTTTGTGGCGTCTGTTGCGTCGAACCCGGTGGATGTGATCAAGACGAGAGTGATGAACATGAAGGTGCAGGCTGGAGTCGCGCCGCCGTATAAAGGAGCGGTTGATTGTGCGTTGAAGACGGTGAAAGCGGAAGGGATCATGGCTTTGTACAAAGGGTTTGTGCCGACGGTTTCGAGACAAGCTCCGTTCACGGTGATCATGTTTGTGACACTTGAGCAAGTTCGTAAGGTGTTGAAAGACTTTGACTTTTGAGAAAGAAAAGAGTTGAAACAAGAAAAATTGAAGACGATGGTGGCGATAATTTGCTAAACACAAAATAAGTTTTAGCTCTATTTTCTTTTGATTAATCTAGTATTTTTAATTGTTTTTTTCTTTTCATTTATTGAATAGATCTATCATATGAAAATTTGCTATGATCATGGGAATTTGATTCGATTTGAAGATGTTTAGTTTTGAACTATGTAATATTCTTTTCTTCTTTCCATAAGACTTTGTTATTCAAAAGACGAAGATTGAAAATCTTGTTTTACCTTTTTACTCGTAAAGATTGGAAGACCAAAAAACTTTAATTGACAAAACGCGTACAAGTGGCACATACATTGACATTGTACTACCAAATTTTCATCTGCTATCTAAAAAATAATCATAGTGCGATTAGCCTGATCATATTCGAAATTATAACACTTTATGTTCAAAGACTAATCTTCACAACGACATTGACTGTTATCTAGTTGACCTTTAATGACAAACATTTACTAATCTAGCGTTACTGTACTTAACTAATTATAAAATCAATTATATAAGATGACGACAATATAAATGATTAATTATGAATTTGAAACCCTGTCAATGCTCAATTTGAAGAACGTTTCCTAACTATATAGGTTCCCTCACATTATTATATCAAATACTGTCCCATATCTTTTAATCAAGTTGTAGACAGTGAGATCTTTTAAGGCGTTAACATTTTAACAAGTCAACCCAAAAGCCTACAAGAAAACAAATCAAGAACCGGTGCAATCTTTCCACGTGTTTTATGAAGATGCTTTAGTTTTACACATACGTTAAGATGTCGAATCTCTCTCTCTCTCTCGAGTCACGACATCATAATCGAAGTAGAAACGCGTCTACGAGAACGCAGTATCCACACGTTTACGACTCAAACCTAATTCTCTTTTCAGTCATCAGAATCGGATCCCATCAATGATTCGTTGCGTTGATGTAAGAGATTGTTCTCGTCTTACCGACAGAACAAAGAGATTCTTGTCATGGGCTTATACGAATGTGGGTTGAAACAGGCAAACGCTTTCACTTTCACTTTAAGCCCATTTCATTTCAAGCGAATTTAAATTGGAAAGTAACTGATTTGCTCTGATTTCGGCTCCTTCAGGATTATAAAGTACAAGACAAATTGATAGGTGAATCTTTGGAGGACAACATTTTCGTATTTTTGCACATTATGATCATAAGAAGCAATCGTCACTGATTCCACAATTTGTTTCAATCACTCATAGGCTTATCATTCGGAGAAAACAGAGTAAAACAAAAAATCACGTTAAAACAAAGAGAACAAATTAAGACCAAGACGAAAAAAAAGACGTATAATTTTGTAAAAATATTTAGTTGCTCAGTTAACCGCTCAGGTCGACATTATAGTCGCTGACTCATTAAGCACAAAAATGCTTTCAAAATATATAAATTCTCATCATTGCAACAAAACTTTAAAACCAGTCTAAAATACGAAATTTAGAGAAGGGGAATAGAGAAGATGACGAAATTCTCTAAGCAAATTTTAGAGATTGATGCGAAAAACAAAGAAAAATGACAATAAAGATGGTTGCTCAGCTAACCGCTCAGGTTCGACTTTTTGTCGACCGTTCATTAAGCTTATCACTTTCAATTATATCTTAAAGATATCATCATTGCAACCACAAGTTAGAAAATTTCAGACAGTGAATATACGAAACCAGAGTTAGGACAAAGCAGAACTAATCTAACACTCCCTAGACAGGACCTGAAGCATCTACAGAGTACTTTTAGATTCTTCTAAAGAAATTCACTGCGTAATTAAGGTTTCAAAAACCGTACACTACATCATAAAGCATGACGCAGAGAGAAAAAAAACAAGAGTTTCAGTTTCGGCCGAAAGCACAAAGAGAATTGAGTCTTCTCTTGTAAAGATCTGTAAAGATGGGTTGTTTATAGAGAGAATAAACTAGGGTTTCTAGCTGATTGGGCTTTGAGCTACTATCTTATTGTGGGCTTTGTTAAGGCCCATATACTATTCATGGGCTGTAATTGTATTGAATCTTGTTGTTCAAATCATGTCGAAGATGGCTCCAAAGATGGTTAAATGGGAAATGCACAAAAGAATGGGAGTTACAGAGATTTTGGGTAGTTTAGGTAAAAGCCAGCTAAGAGATTACTATTGACAGCTTCATAATCATCATTGCTAAATCAACTGTATATGCCCTTGGGTCACATAATTCCAAAGACTATACTCCCATTTTAGAATACTTACAACTTTCATACCATTTAGTTACCAGAATGTGCCAGAAATACTAATTTTTTTATTTTAGAGATTTGTAACTTTTTGGCAAATCTAAGGTCAAAAGTAAAGAAAAATATATTTCCACTCACGGGTTATTTGGGACAAGTGTGATTCTAACCCAAAGGGTAAAGTTAAAGTCATGCATTTTGTAGTGAAACCCAAGTGTGATTCTAATCCTGCAAGTATAATGTTTGTGTTGAAAGTATGATGTGTTGAAAAATACAGTCTCACTGTTTAAATTACAAGTGGTTAATAGTATTGTATGATTCGTCTCAAATAAAATTATACAAGACCCTTCTGACCAAAAAATATTATGCAAATCCACTTAAGCAGAATTGCACATTACACAAATTAATTTGCTTTAGATTAAGTCACACATGTTGCTAAATGATTCGTCAGAGAGTTGTAAAAAAATCTAGCGCAAAACATTATAATATTTTATAGAAATGAATATTATACACTATGATTTTAATGATATTTTTCCCATAATTTCCCTTTAGTGTATATTCTGTGTCCCATTTCGAGTCTTTGGAGTGGTCTCTCTCTCTCTCCCCTCTCTACCCTAAAACACACTCACCCACTTCCTCTGTATAAACCTCTCTCCTTTTCTCTCTCTCTCTCTCTCTCTCTCTGCCATGAACATCGCAGTTCCTGGAGACACAAACTCCTCAGAAATCTCCCATCTTTATGACTTTTGCTTCTTGAGTTTTCACTTTCCTGTCCTAACGCTCTGAAACTATTGAGACCCAAACAGACTAATTTATCAAAAACACGGAAGAAAAATCAAAAACCAAATCCATGGCAGAGAATCTCGCTTGTGGAGAAACCAGCGATTCATGGATCATTGACGATAACGACGATGACACCAACTGCGGCGGCGGATTTACGGACGAGATTGATTACAACCATAATCATCACCAACTCTTCACTAAAGGCGATAACTTTACCGGCAACGGATCAATTCCGATGATGGGCTCTTCTCCGTCGTCGCTGACAGAAGACAGAATCGGAGAGATGATTGAGAGAGAGATTGAGTTTTCCCCCGGAGCTGATTATCTTACGAGATTGCGTTCTGGCGATTTGGAGTTTCGTGTTCGTAACCAAGCTCTCGATTGGATTCTAAAGGTTTGAGATTTCTTCTTTTGATCGGTGTTCAAACTCTCAAATCTGGTTTGGTCTCTTTTTTTTTGGATTGGTTTGGAGTTTCTTGTCTGATCAATTGATAGATCATTGATATTGGGGTTTAAAAGAGGCTTCTGATTACAATTATTACCCTCTCAGATGTATTGAAATGGAAAAATGAGATCATTTAGATCTTCTCTATAGATTGAGATTTTGATCCGTCTTTAATGACAACTGTGGTTCTTGTCTGAAACAGGTTTGTGCTCACTACAATTTTGGACCTCTGTGCATATGTCTGTCTATGAACTTCTTGGATCGGTTCTTGACATCCTATGAATTGCCAGTAAGTTTTTGATTGATTCATCTTCTTCTCTTGAATTTGGTTTTGTCACTGATTGTTTGTGTTTGTGTGTGTGTTTTCGATTGCAATAGAAAGACAAGGCTTGGTCTGCTCAGTTGCTAGCTGTTGCTTGCTTATCATTAGCAGCCAAAATGGAGGAAACAGATGTTCCTCAAACTGTTGATTTACAGGTCCAACACAAACACACACATTTTACTCCTTAATAGCTCTATCTTAATGGAACTAATCTTGAAAATGTTCTTGATGATGAGAGCAGGTGGGAGATCCAAGTTTTGTTTTTGAGGCCAAGACAATTAAAAGGATGGAGCTTTTGATGCTCAACACATTGAACTGGAGACTGCAAGCTCTAACTCCATTCTCCTTCGTTGATCATTTCATCAGCAAGATCAACGGTTTCGTGACAGAGGATTTGATCTATAGGTCGTCACAATTCATCTTGAACACCACTAAAGGTTGGATCTTTTATTGATCTGAAGCAAGTTTCATAATGTTGTTTCCTTGTTTGCAAACTAACTTGCTCTGTTTGAATTGAATGCAGCAATTGAATTCTTGGGCTTCAGGCCGTCTGAGATAGCTGCAGCAGCGGCAGTGTCTGTTTCCATTTCAGGAGAAGTAAAGTGCATTGATGACGACGACAAGGCGGTGTCTAATCTCACATGTGTAAAACAGGTAAACACATCTACTTGTATTAGCTTCTTGGTGGTTGCAAAAGTATTGTTTCAAGAACACACATTTCATCAAGTGTCGGAATTTGATCATTGTCATTCTTTAGCAGGAGAGGGTGAAGGAATGTTTAAGTTTGATGAGGAATCTCACCGAGGAGAATGTTTTGGGAGCTAGATTGTCGTCGCCGCAGAAGCTGAGGTTAGCGGCAAGAGTGGTGCCGGCGAGTCCGATTGGAGTGTTGGAAGCAACTTGTTTGAGCTACAAGAGTGAAGAGAAGACAGTTGAGTCATGTACAAATTCCTCACAGAGTAGTCCAGACAACAACAACAATAGCAACAAGAGGAGGAGAAAACTATGAGAGAGTGAGAGTGAAGAAAGAGTCATACATTTTCTTTTTTCCAACTCCAGTCAATCCATAAGGGTCATGACATTTTTGGTTTAATCCTTTTTGTTCTTACATCAAATTTTCTTCTCTTTTTTTCTTTCTTGAATTTCTCATCTTCAATCAAAAAATTGGATTGGAAATGAGAGTTTTGTGAGAGAGGAAAAAGAAAAATAAAAGAGGGGTCTTTTGAAAGCGGCAAAACTAGTAAGTCATACAGTATTATTGAAGATGATGAGAGACGTCTCTAGGTTCAAGTTCCATGTTCTTGCTCCAAGGGACATTTTGTTTTTGATTCTTGTTTTTTTTTTCTACAGACTATCAGAGATACTATAAGAAAATAAGAAATAGAAAGAGAATCTAAATTTTATGGAAAAATAAATATTATTCAATGGCTACCCTACATTTAGATTTTTATAATCATTAAACCTTATCTGGCTGCTTATTTATACAACCAAAAAATTCAACTATGTATTTTGTCCATAAGCAGATATTTTAGTTAATTATAAAAGACAGATTACTATTAAAACAAACACTTAAAGAGGAAACAAATTGTGACTGTATATGTAGTCATGTGTGTAACAAACAACATTTCTTGGTAAACTTTATTGATAATACAATAATTCATCAAGTATTTTGTCTTTCAATATATATGTAACTTATAAAAGAGCAAATGCAAGAGAGGCTGCTTTTACTTTGTAACAAAATAAATTCAACCACAGTTATTCTAAATTCTAATGTATATTTTTCCTTGAAAATGAAATGGTTTAAAATGTTTATTTTTCCTGGTTTGAAAGAAATTAGTTAATTGGTTTGAAGGCGAATTGCATGTTTTGGGGATTGGGGAAGAAGAAAGCCATAATGGGCCCTGAAAAGAGGTTTAGTGGGCCCACTTCTTTTTGTTTTGACTATGCGACCGGTCAACATCTCTTCTTTCTCTCTCTCGTGTTCAGAAAAATAAAGCATAAGAAACCTTGGGAATCTACTGCTTCTCTTCTGTTACTTTATTATATTTTGTTTTACCTTTTTTCGCGTATTTTACATATTTTTCTTATATATGCTCTTGCAGTTTAATATTATTAAATAATCAAAATAGTTTAACGTGACGACCATATCTTTCAAAGTACTTAAAGTACATATATATAACCAAATGGTCCAAATCTGTACCACCACAGTACCCTATATTTTAAGCAACAAACATTTTTCGATAATTTGATTTAAATTAGTGTGCTTGCTTGGCTACATTTAACCGTGTAATTTTCATATATAGTTTGATTTTGTAAACTTATAAGCATAGTAGTAATATTGTAACAAATAAACTACAATGTTACCAAAGAAAGAAAGAAAACAGTTTTAGATTATAACATTTTGAGTCATAGATCGAGATGAGCAAGCATCTTCTTGGGGGTTCCAAAGTAGTATGTTTGTGTGTAAAAGTTAATTTCTTCACTTACTTCCATTATGACAACTTTGTGGCTATTATACAACTCTATAAATTAGAAAAGTTAATTATTTTGGTTCTTTTTTTTGTGTGTAAAGAACCTATAGCAACTCAAAATTAAATGACACGATGTACATTTATTAATTTATATAGATATAATACCACTCTGTGAATCATTATTACATAGTTTACATGTTGGTGAAAGTTATAATTTCACAACATCTCAATTTATAAAGAATGACGAGTTGGACGACCAACCAAAATTGTTTATTGATTCAAATTTCCACGAGATAAAAATGTGTACTGGATTCTCTTCCCAATGCAGGATTCTGCTGAAGAGATTATTAGTACTATTTATCGATACACTCTATGATTGGCGACAACATATGATCAATATATATCGATAGTACTGGACATTAAACCTAGGTTTTTCTATATATTCATGTCTTCTCACTGAATAGTAATTAGTTTTAGTAACTAGTTGTTCAAAAAAATCCTGATATGATATCACCACCCCAAAAGAAAAAGTCATTTGAAATATTTTGATGTACATATAAGTGCGTGTGTGTGTGTTCAGATTTGGCTCTTGGGGTTTTGAAGATTTTGAGAGGAAAGGCATTTCACAGCAGAAACTAATTGGTCATGTGCATGATGGCAGAGAGCTGTTTTGATGAGGATAATACAAAAGCAATTAAAACCACCCATCTCCCAAAATTTCATAAAATTAATAAATAGATCCGAGTTTTTGGAATCTCTTCACTTGGCTCTTTTTGAAACATCTATACTTTGTGTGTATGTAATATATGTGAATACATAAAAAAAAAATCGAGAAGAGTATATGATTTTTCTACTCATGCAAACAAAAGGAGCTCCATCAAACATCATTTGAATAGCAGAAAAGGATTAGAAATCTATTATTCGAAAAGATAACGATCAAACCATGAATTAAGAATTTCCAATCAAACTACAGCATAAGAATTTTATTAGTTGGTTAATTCCCATGAGCCATAACGGAATCGAATCTAATTTTGACATCGTGATTCAGACACAACTTTTAACTTTAGTGTTCGGAATAATTATACATTTCGGTGATACCTATATATAGTCTTTAACAAATTATATAAGCTCAAGTGTATGTAATTTGGTGCATGCGGCATGCCTGCTCCATTTTTTCTCACCAGAGAATTAACTAACTATTTAGTGATTTTTAAAAAGTTGTTCAATATTTTCAAACACATATAAGACACTGTACTTTGTCTAACCATATAATTAACCTTGTAGTATAATATTGATTTTTCGTCAGCTTATATCATGGAATTGGAATCCATAATAACTCATTACGCTTTCATTTTTTCTCTTTCAGGATAAGATTTAAAACTAGTACACGTTTAAGCCGTAAGGTTGTTGTTTTAATTTGATGTAATGATTAAAATTTACAGAGGAACAAGAAGGATTTTGGTTCTCGTGAACATTAATTAGACCTAACGGTAATTAATTCTTAGTACAGTTTATTCTTATTTGACCTCATTACCTTCTTTTTGATCAACCAACCACACTCGCAGATTTAAGATTTATAGAACTAATTTTAGTATTCTTGAACTTTAAATTGCTATAAACAAGAAAAGAGAAAGTAAAAGGGGGATAAAGGTCAAAAGAAGAGAACAAGGGTCAAAATGTAAAAAGTGAAAAGTGTGGGGAGAGTGCATGTCGAGTGAGTGATAAGTGTGGGGACCTTTCCAATTTACTGCAAGCTTCACAGATTTTTCAGCTTCTCTTTACTCTTTGGCCCTCACTTTCTTGCTCCTCTCCCTTTCTCTCGCTCAGTTTTTTAATATGCCTTGGAGGCTTGGACTGTTTTGTAAAAAGTTATACGAAAGTGATACTGAGATTTGAATATAAATCATATTCGTTTCAAAAAAAGAGAATTACAATATTAGGGAGAACACAGTTATCAACTAAATTGAATTTTCATATAATAACATAATATCATGTAAGATATCATATAATAAATTTAAAAGCATGCATTATTCATATTATTTGTTTCAAACATGTGGAATATTACAACTCATATACTCTCAATATTGAAACTCGCATTATTAGTTTGCATACATATGAACTCAACATTCTGAGGTAGTAAATTAACTTAACATAAACTATGTAGAAAATCGTTACCGTTTGAATGTTACGATGCTTGCTATAGCATTCACAACTCAATCAATGAAGATCTTCAAAAAATTGGAACTAAATTCAGGTGGGAAACTGATAGATCATAGAAGTTAAGGATCACATTGTAATATCAGTTTCAATCTCTCAAGTAGAGAAACGTGAACAGAGAGATTCAGGAGAGAAAGTTGAAACAAGAGACAAAGAACAATTAAATAAAGCACAAATAGTGGTCCATAGTGATGGAAACACATACATCTACAAGTTTGGTAAAATGATGTAAAGCTCGTCTATGGAATCTTGTTGAATCGCCATTGAGTTTACGCACGCTATAATTAGTGATCCATACAGAGTTGAAGGAAAAACAATTTTGTCCATATTGATAAAAACACATTTAAACTCTACTTTGGTAAAACGGTTGAATGAAACAAGTCTTGAACTAACTTTATTGATTCAAAATCTTTCCCTACTAAACTACATAAAAAATGTGGTTCTGAATTTGATAAACTGATACATCAGATTCAGAATAAGGAACCAAGAATGAAGTATATACAATTCAAGGCTTTTTTATTGGTACATTTCGGATTGAATCATATCTTTTTTAGATGAAATCAGGTTGACCCGTTGACGTCAAGCAACGATGCCACATTCGACTATTAGGATCGACTGATTTTGGATACTCAATCACCTCGGTAATTGGCAAATAAGCATAGTGAGTGTTGATTATCCCTACAGTGATTCCACTGTATCCAGCAAACGCACCATGAACCTGTTTTTTCATAAGATCAAAAAAAGCTTAACAACTTCAAAAATTGCAACATTTTACTTTTTCTACTTCTAATGGATGAGACTTACTGCGTTTTGTCCAAGAACGGTGCAGAGGATACCATCTGAAGCATTAGCACGAACAGCGCGGATCATGTATGTTGGATCAATGTACTTCACATCTATTGGGATGCTTACTTCTTTGAAATACTTCTTCGTCTATACAAGAAAACAAAACAAGAAGATAGATTGTGAAATCATAAAGAAGTCTTTGTGGAGATTATCTCAACTAATGTTTTTGGTTATAATCTAACCTCTTGTTGAATGTACACACCGAAATCACCAAGAACTGTGTTTCCAGATGCATCTTTCGCATTCGTTTTCTCGAGTAAATTCTGCAACAACAAAAAAAAGCCAACAACGTAAAGCTCCATGTTCATGAGTTTACGCACATTCTTGTAAAGAGTAATTTACCTGTCCAGCTCCTTCTGCTACACAGATCACAGCTGAGCCTTTTGTTTCAATGAGGTACTTCAAATGCTTCAAAACACCATGAGGTCCATGAAGATTGAAAGGAACCTTGAATAAAGAAAGATGCATCAGCAAGCTCATCAAATCATGTTATGGAAATTGCAAATCATAAACCAAAAAGTAAACTTAAGTACCTCAGGAATCAAACAGATGTCGACTTGTCCACTAGCTAGAGAGGCTTGCATCGCAATGAAACCACTGTTGCGACCCATCAGTTTCACAATACCAATGCCATGATAAGCACTATGTGCCTCAATGTAGGCAGAGTTGATAGCTCGCTGAGCTTCTTCAACAGCAGTATCAAACCCAAATGTTTTATCCATATGCAAAATATCATTGTCAATGGTTTTTGGCACACCAACTACAGCTACTTTCATCTTTCTTTTCCGGCACTAGAGAAATTTTAAAGCAAGAGAGAATGGTAAGAAGGAGAAGAAGCAAGACTACCGAATCTTGACAAGAACAAGATTTAGTTTCAAAGTGTTATAAGTAAGTAACAACCTCATCGTGTATAGCGTTGGCTCCAGCATGAGTTCCGTTACCGCCAAGCACGAAAAGCATGTTGATTCCTCTCTCCTACGTAAAGTCAAGTTTCAAAATTCAGAATCTATGATCTTAGAAATTTTGGAAACTTCTGGAAACCAAATGATATACCTCCATGCTGTCAACGATCTCGCTTACACTCGGACCTCCACGAGAGACTCCGAGCAAGCTTCCTCCAGATAGATGAATGTTTTGAACAACTTTTCTTGATAACTGAAGATCAAGAACAAAAGATAAACAACTTTAACATGAACAGAGAAAAAAAAGGGGAGAATCAAACTTATTTATACCGGCATTTCGGTTAGATCTTTATCGGAGAAGCCTCGGTAACCAAAAGGAATCCCAACAATGTTCTTCACACCATAAATCTCAAGAGTGATTACAATCTGCAATGCAATCCAAAAACAAACAATCAAACAAGATATACAAAAAAAAGGATTTCAATCTCTTTCTCTATCTTTATAATGCCAAAGTTTTCAGAGGACAAACTCACATGTCTAATGACATCATTGAGACCAGGACAGAGCCCACCACAAGTGATAATCGCAGCTTTCACTTGTTCCGGTCTGAAATATATCTTCTCCCTCGGACCAGCTCGGTGAATCCTAATGATCCCAAATCACAATTAAAAACCAACAACAAAAAACAAATAATAAATCCAAATTCAAGAAAGTCAAAAATTTACCATTGCTCAACCCAAGAACAGCCAGGATCAATGCACTGTGCTCCAGCAGAAGTTGGTGAAGAGTAACTAATAACCTAATTTCAACAGAATCCATATCAAATTCAAAATCAAATCTCATTCACTAATTTCAGTAAAAAGTCAATCAATCACCTTGAGAAGGACTCTGTCATTGTTATTAATGTATCCATGCCATTCTTCATCAGAAGGGTAACCACCAACAAAATCTTCCGTCGGAGACCTAAATTCACAACTCTCCATTGATGATGATTCACTCAAAAAAACAGTAAATTTTGTTGCAGAAGCTAACTGACCTCATCTTGAGACAAAACGTTGAAGGGATTGCTTCTGCATCTGGGAAGACATCAGTGATGTGAGGGATGCTGAATCTCTGCTCGAAATCTCTCTCGTACTTTGATTTCCAATTCGGATCACTGAGATCGATCGGAGCAGAGCTTTCGCTGTGTTGAATCGATGAAGCTCGAACCAACGAGCTACGAGAAGAATTCGGTAAGTGATTCGCCGGAGATCTCGTTTTCCGGAGGATCAACGAGCTGAGTCCATGAGACTGAACGAGAGAAGAAGTCGTCTTGTAAGGAACGGCGATGCCGGAAGTGATCGCCTGAGAAAGAGCTTCCATGGCGATGAAACCTAAGTTCCGATCGGCTCTGTGTTTGATTTTTCAGTCAACTGTGGTTTTTTTGGAGGGAATTTGACAATTTACGAAAAGAGAAAAAAAAGAATCAGAGAGAGAAAAGTTGCTTAGATCTTGGCCGTATGATTTGTCTGAGCTTTGTCTGAAACTCTTGAGACTAACGAAGAAGTACAAACAGATCTAACTAAGTTTTTGTCTGTAATGTTTCTTTATGCAAAGTGAAAATAGAAAAATGTAAAATCCATTGTACGGTGTTCTTATTTTCCATTAAAAAGGATTTTTTTCTATGTATAGTCGAATTTAAAGATTTGATCTTTATTATATCAATCATTAGTACAAAAAATAATTCAATATTTGTCGTTTGGCATGCTGCGACTTTATCGTGTAGATGTTTTTAGAATTGAATCTGATTCTGATTGTGTCAAGAAGTCAAAGGAGGTAAAGTGTCAAAATTTTGACCATAGTAAGATTGCATCACACATAGTCATGGTCATGGTCTCTTTCTCAACTCCGTTGAACAACCAACAGATAAAAACATTTAAATTTGTAAAAACTGAAAACTCATCAGCTAGTTTCTATAGCAAATAGAGGATCTTCGAGATTATATTTAAGCAACATAATGTTAATCGAGTCTTCTGAAATGATAATAACTAAGCCAACATAAAAAAAGAGAGTAACAGATCAAAATAATTCAGAATTTCATCAACAGGCTTTTATATGGTCATTCAAAGAATCAATTCACCAAACTGTGTGTATCATCATCACACTGTCCGTACACCACCGGCTTGCAAAGACTCTTGCAGCGCCGTGACCGCACCTTCGTAGTTCAAGAATCCCATAAACCAGAATTCATGATTGTCTACCGAAATCACCTGAATGTACTTCTCTGCGGGATTCACTATGCTCGTCGATGGATTCACTGCTTTTAGCTGATGCAATGGTATCACTACCTGTTTAACCAAAGAAGACAACAACAGTGTTGAATTCATGATCATAAAAGACATTGCCTTTAAGCATCTAACAAAGAAGAAATGTAGCAACTTTGCAAACAAATCATAACGAGGCATTGTTTTAAGCATAGACCAACATAAACAGCTTGCAGATGTCACATGATGCAATGATCACAGAGATTGATATGGTGTCTTGAGAACGAAGATTGTTACCTTGTAGTAGCTCCATTCGGTTTGAGAACCATTTTTATAAGAGAGAGGATTGTCACTACAGTAAGCGAGTTTGGCGGAGGATATATATAGGACTCCCATGACTGGCCCAGCTGATGTTGACAAGTAACAAGCAAAAGAATTTAGCAGCTCTTCTTCCGGAACTGTCTCAAAGGTTTGACGGAAAATCTTCTCGTATCCTCCTTCTGCAAGGACCTTAGTGCTCTGCGCAATTCTTCCCATAGCTGCATCCGCGAAACTCGGAGCAGTTCTCACTGATCAAAATTCAAAAATACAAGATAGTTAAGAGAGATCACTCATATAAATCAAGAATGAGAAATGCACAAACCAAGGAAGACATGACTTAGAGTTCACACATAAACCAAATCGTTTAAGCTTTCTTAATCCCCCAAAGTCAATACTTTTAGCTAGTCATAAGATATTTCCCCTCAAGCTTCATTGCACAAAGCCACAAACATTTACTCCTTAGCTCGACTAGAGTTGTAATTCTCCAATTCGCTAAATGTCAATGTCCCAAGCTCATACTCATATCCACAATTTAGCTCATTTGTCCAAAGATATCATAGTTTCAAGTTCCAAAGAACCAACATTTCGACTATATCAACGTCTAATTTCAATCTGTTATATTCTTCTTAACCACCCAAACAAGCTACCAAAAGCTTAAGTGCAAACACCATACAGAGAAGATCCGATTGAAGCTTCATATGAAAGCAAAACACTTACGGTGCTGCCATGTGTTTCCGGCGAGGCTCTCCGTCTTCTTCGCTGCTTCTGCAACTCTCCTTCCCCATCTCCCAAGCGCTCCTTTCACAGACTCCATCGTTTCTAATCCAATTGAGAGAGAGAGAGAGAGAGATCACAAGTGATTAAAAGGGGATTAATACACATCTCACCAATACGAATCATAAACATTTCTCGAACTCTTACCTTTCAACGAAGCATCGGACGTCTCAGCCGGAGAACGAGCAACATACGGATTAGATCCAGCCGGGGAAGACGACGCGGCTTTCTGATCCGGTTCCTGAGATCCGGAAACCAATTCGGGGCTCCAGTGAACGGATTTCTTCGATCCAGACGATGTTCGAATCGGCGGTTGCGCTTGCGATTGCGCCGCTGCCGGATCGGTCCCTTTCGTCTCGATTTCAACCTGAGATAAAGTTTCATCGGACAATGCTATCTCGGAGCTAGCATCCTCGCCTCCTTTCGGTCCCTGACCCGTGGCTTTCGGATCGACGCTCGCCGATGATGGATTTGGATTCTGATCCCCAATCTTCACTTCGCTCTCTCTTTTCGGCTGCTCCATCGTTCAGAAAAAATTGGCTCTCCACGGACGGATCGTAGCGCGTACGGTGGCGCGTGAGGTAATCGGCGTTTGGGCTCTGAGACGGAGTTTGAATTTCGCAAGGATGGTATCGTTGGCTTCTCAGTTAAAAAATAAATAAAAATTATATATTTCATTTAGGAGCTTTGGAATGTAAAATTGAGGACGGGATTACCGGGAAGATAGGTGACGAACCGTAAGAAGTGACTCAATTTTCAAGTGGTAATGAGAGATTGAAGACCGGCTTTAACCGGTGGATAGTCAATATCTTTCTCTACGTTACATATGAATATGATCATAATTATTTTTTTTTGGTAAAACATATGATCATAATTATGATATACATACGTTGATTATTGATTGATTTTGGCACATAATTAAAAGGTATGCAATGGAGATTGTCTGAAGAGTGAAGAAAATGTTGCTCCTTGTTTAGGTATCAGATCCTTGGAGAATTTGATAAGTTGATCAGAATTTGGCTTTCCTTGTGAAGGTCTTTAGATTTCGGGGTCGTGATAATGTTGTGATGGCCTATTAGCTCAGTTGGTTAGAGCGTCGTGCTAATAACGCGAAGGTCACAGGTTCGATCCCTGTATAGGCCACTTTTTGTATTTTTACACCAAATGTCGTTTTTAATTTTACGTGTACTACTTCGATCGGACTTTTTACTCTTTTAGTCGACTGAGGATATCTAATGCGAGGCTAATTACGAGTCTTTTGTTAAATTCTCAACTGAGAGTTTTCAAACTTATTTTCCTTCAAATCGAGAACCTATCGTATGAAATCTTAATGTATAGATTTTTGAGATTTTCCTTGGATACTATGATAGTATGATACATTCATAAGACCAATACTGATATTTTGATTCTATACACCACTTCACAAGACCAAAAATCTATACATTAAGATTTCCCTCCATCACTTCTTTGGATGTTTCAACATATGCTGATTCTATTCAATGCACATATTGACTCTAGATATTTAGATTTATTAACTACCTCCGGATTTTTATATTTATGTTAGTTTATTAAATTAAAGTTACTATTTAAACAATTTGTGTTCAAGTGAAAATACAACAAAGTTATTTGGCTTGACGGAAATGAGACAAGTTTTGAGCTTTGGCCTCCATGATCTGTGAAAAGGAAGAGACTGGTTCTATGAATCATAAGCTCAAAGCTGTTAGGAACAAAAGATTCAGTTTATAACATCTTTACCATTATTTTAATGAAGATACAATGCATATAGAAGTATATAAGGTCAAAGCAAGGGTCTTAAACAATTTTTTTATTCAATAGAAATAATAATTGTTTGGTAGGTTCTTATTGAAAATTGTATGGTTTCACATCCTAATACCAATTGCATTTGAATACGCGTTAGTTGACTGTTTCATTGTGATTTTGTAACAATATTGGGAACTAAGTAATCTGTTAAAAAAAACTAAAATATGAGCTAAATTAACATGAATAATGACAGCTTTTGCCAGCCCCCAATCGTATTATACATTCCAGATAGCATATAATTTAATTTAACATTTGATAAATTTAAATTGACAAATACATTCTATGAACCTGGTCTTGTAGGAAAACAAGTTACCCATTTTTAGGATGATTTATGTAGGATTTGGTTATCTACTCGTCACACGTCATGTCCAAAAGTGACAATCGTTCTACTTTTAAGCTGGCAATATAACGCGGTTAAGCAAAAAGCAAATTACTCACAGTCAAATGAGACCTAATTACCTATCTAAAAGACTAAAACACAACACATGCCAAATATCAAATGGTATTTTAGAATAAATATCGCCATAATAAACACGTGTCAAAGCTCTGTGCATCCGTTTGGTGCGCCTCCATGTAAATGAATCTTCAAGGAAACTTCAGAAACCCGAACACGGCATGTAAAAATAAAAAAAACAAAAACAATTTAATTAAGAAAAAACACGGCAAATTATTTTCAAACAGCCATTGCTAAGCTAAGCCATGTTGTACATTTGTATGTGGTTTGCATGATTAGTGTCACAACAATAATTAATTTAATCTCAACCATCGCGTATATAACAGAACTCTCTTCTCTCATTATTTCCACACCATCAACAACAAAGAACAAGAGTTTAAACATTAAACACAGTTTCAACTTTCAGAGAAAAACACAAAGAATCAATCTAAAGATGAGTCCTAAGGCATTTCAGGTTGTGATCTTTCTTGGTTTCTTGGCCACTTCATGTATCTCTCAAGCTCCAGCCCCCGCACCAACCACCGCTTCTCCACCGACGGCTCTTCCTCCGGTGACCGCAGAAACACCTTCCCCGGTTGCTTCACCGCCGGTTCCAGTTAACGAGCCTACTCCAGCTCCAACCACTGCTCCTACAACTTCTCCTACAACATCTCCAGTTGCTTCTCCTCCACAAACCGATGCTCCAGCTCCTGGCCCATCCGCCGGATTAACTCCCACTTCGTCTCCGGCTCCGGGACCAGACGGTGCCGCTGATGCGCCGGGAAGCGCCGCCTGGGCTAACAAAGCTTTCCTTGTGGGAACAGCTGTTGCCGGAGCTTTATACGCTGTCGTTTTGGCTTAGAGAGCTTTTGAGTGCGGTGGATGTCTCGATTACTTGCTTACTTTCTTTCATTCGTATTTGTTGTTTCTAATTATTATTATTTTGACGTGGATACGAGTATAATTCTTGTTGGAATGAGGATGAACATAAGAGACGATATTTATGGTGTAATATCTATTATTTTTTTATTATTATTATTTTTTTTTTTATAACCGTGGGTGATCCAAAAAAAAAAAAAAAAAAAAAAAAATCTATAAAATTAAAATAATTCTTTGAGTCTTTCGCTTTGTGTTTTCATTTACAAAAATTCAAAGAACGAAGATGGTCCGTGAGCAAGGTTGGTCCTTCTATGATGCCAACCAAATCATATATAATATTTGAATCAATGATGAATGTTTGTTTCCTCAAAAATGAAATCATATATAATATTTGGTATGTAATATTATGTAAAAAGGGATTGTAACAAAAGCCTTGATGATTGATGAGTGAAGCTGTGAAGGCAACGAACAAGAACAGCTAAGTTTGCCCGTAGAATTACCGACCAAAAGTTCAGACAATGGGAAGTCACATTTCCTTCTCTTTCTCTCTCAATCTCTATTGGGAATTATAGACAAAAAGAAACAACTAATAGAACCAAAGAACGAATTAATATATCCAAAGTTTCTCAAACGAATAAGATCCTCAATAATTATGAAACTTATGAATACATATCTTCTTCGGTAAGTGTTTTGGTTAATCTTTATATGTGCTTTAAGTTTGGTGTTTATACACACGAAATGGGGATGAAAAATGAACCACTATATGCCATCAAAACAACATATAAGAATTTACTTAGGCCATAGTTTTTCTTGTGGTGTTAATTAGATATTTCTAGAATTCTACAATACACGAAACTGAGGTGGCATATATGATTGAGTAGAAAGTTTTTTGTATAAGCATAACATGAAACACACATATGAAAGTAGAACAAATTAAAGGTGAAAGAAAAATGCCAAAAAAGACATGAGTGGAGAAACCAGGCTAGACACCACAATAAACTAGTTTTCCCTTTTGTTAGATTTTGGACCCATGATGCACTTTCTCGGTTGTTGTTCTTGTAATTTCATATAAAAGCTCATTGCTTGTTTTTCTTCTTTTGTTTTTGTTTACTTACTTTGAATTTATAAACATAAAAATAGAACCAAGAGGGCCAAAAGAAAAATAAAATCTAGGGTCATCGCTCATGCTTTGTTTTGTTTCCTCTCTCTTCTTTTTGTTTTATAATCAACACACTTCATACTTGATAACCCTAGAGTAATTGAAATAGAGAAGCCAAGAGATCTTTTAACAGTGACAATATCAATACAGACTATTATTTTTCTTCACGTAGATACCTTGTCTTTGTTTCATAGAGACTAATGTTTGGAAGTTTATATGATATATATGTTCAAATACATATATGTAACTACTGTCTATTGTTGTTTAGTTATAAACTAATACAATCTTTGAATATTTGAAGAAAAAAGTAGTGAAATAACATGCGCGGGCTGTAACGAGGAATATCGTGATTAAAAGAATGGAGAATGTTTATAATTGACATGTTCTGAAGTGCTAAATGATTAATCATCCAACTGATAAAATATGCTTCAAGTAATATATAAATTTTGGAGTCTAATGAAAGTGGTAGAGATCTAGTGGTCTAATCATTATGCAATTGTATACAATTTTTTTCTGTCGCACGGATATAATTCTCTTTTTTTTCTTTTTGGTAAACACATTTAATATTCAACTTAATGGGTTCAAGAATTCTTTCTTTTCATTATTGTATATGTAAAATTTTCTTCAAAAAAAAAACAAAATTAGCAGGTGATAAAGGCAAAAGGCGGAAATGTTGTATTATTAGTTGTCTAGTAGAGAATAATTTCATCCAATCTGTATTTTTTTGGACTACTCAATTTGTTCTCTTTTCTCTTTCTAATTCTTCTTGTTTTTTCTTTTTTTCTTAATTTTTTAATGCTTCTTAGTAATCATTATATACATGCATACCTCATACGTGTGTGTATACAACTGTACATATTATTATCGTTGTATCATAAACATAAAGTTATTAGAGTGATTATGCCTGTGCACAACATACGTAAACAACAATATATGATCATATGTCAATTGTCACTTATAAATTAGGATGGATATCATCATTTCAGTTCAACCTACAATTAACAGAAGAATTCAATAGATGCATGTGTATTGACTATTGAGAGGTTTGATTAGTTGTCTTGAAATTGTCCACAAACACATAAAATTCTTCTTATAAAGTTACTAAATGAATGAAAACAAATCCTCCAAAAAGATGTCAAACAATTATTCAAGGTCAAGAACCCAATTATTTGACATCTAAATTTATACTTCTTTTTATGCGTTAACAAATATACAAAATGGTACGTACTAAATAGTAGTTCCACCTATTCCGAAAGAATCTTTTGGGTGACTGACAAAAACCCAACACGAATTACACTTTACAAATCGGAGCTCAAAAATTGCCTCTCATTACCCAAACATGAATACACTTTTTCAAATAAATAAATCCAAAATCGAATTTTTAAACATTTCAATAATACTTCAACGGAATATTTATAATGAAAAAGATATTCATACGTAAACCCTCTCATCTGGTTCCCTATTTAACCCTATAACACTTCATCACCAAATCCTCAAGCTTCTTCTTCTTCTTCTTTCATTTTTTTTTTCTCTTTTTTTTTGTGCTTTTTCACAAGCATTAACTATGACAAAGACCAGAGTCATAGCTTCAATGGAGTTTCAATCGACGGTGGTAGCCACCGTAGACTGCCAGAAACAAGTCCAATCATGGCGTCTCCTCCGCTCAATCATTAAGCTTCTCATCCCCACTTGCAACTCCACATTAGTCCAAGAACTCGAACAAGAAAACCCTAACTTGGGAGGCAAGAAACTCTACAACGACATCAAACCACGCACTTCCTCTTTCCGTTCCTCCTCTTCTCTTTCTTCATCCACAGTCACAGGAACAATCTTCGGATACCGTAAAGGAAAAATCAACTTCTGCATCCAAACACCAAGAAAATCGTCAAACCTCGATCTTCTTCTCGAGCTAGCCGTTCCAACAACGGTCTTAGCTCGCGAAATGAGAGGAGGAGCGTTGCGTATAGTCTTGGAAGGCAGTAGCGAAAAAGAAGACTCCGTTCTGAAGACGCCGTTTTGGAATATGTATTGTAACGGAAAAAGAGTTGGGTATGCGAGAAAACGCCGTCCGTCTAAGGATGACGTGGCGGCGTTAACCGCTCTGAGTAAGGTGGTGGTCGGAGCCGGAGTTATGACCGGGAAAGAACTTGGCCGGTCCGATGATGAGTTGATGTATTTGAGAGCGAGTTTCAGAAGAGTTTGTGGTTCGAAAGAATCTGAAGCTTTCCATTTGATTGATCCAGCTGGGAATATCGGACAAGAACTCAGTATCTTCTTCGTTCCATCATCCGTTTGATTCAGTTTCCGGTGAAGATGATGATCGTACATAACAATGTTCTGTTTTTTTTTTTTAAGTTCTTATCCTCTCTTTTTTCTTTGGTCGTGAAAAAAGAACTTGTTTTTTGAGTCGTGCTTAAAAGCTTTTGGCTTTAGCTCTGGCTTTGTATGTAATCTGCATACTAGTTCGAATTTTCATTGTTTATCCTTTTGGAATATCATTTTATTATCACATAAATAATGGTTTTACCTTTAAAACAAAAATTTAAAGACAAAAATGAGAGGAACTTGGCAACAATAGCTAGAAAAATTACAAATGTTCCGTGTATTTATTACTTGAATTAGAATTGCAAAATAAGCTCTACCAATGAACTCAAAGATTGCAATATATGATCATTTTTTACAAAAAAAAAAAAAAAAAAAAAAACATATGATCATTTCGATTAAAAGAAAAAACTCAAGTAAAAGTTGCATACCATTTAAAATTATTTTGCTGCTAAATATGAAAGTCAGAAAACAAAACCGGATCACATAGTTTAGGGCCTTAAGGCGCCAAAACCATAACTAAGAACAAACTACTCACTCATAGAAGCTGACACGTGTCATATCTCAACGGTATCAAGTAACGGCTACAAGTTTTCCGCGCGCAAAACACACTCTTAGGAACTAATTAGCGGAACTTTACCAGAGATTGATAAACCATAGCCTTTAAGACCAACGTAATTTGCTGGATTGTTCGTCATCACCTTCATCGTCCTAACTCCAAGATCTCTCAGAATCTGCATCACAAACATCTCTGCTTTAATAATCTTTGCAGTAATAAAAAAACACAGTTAAAAAGAAAAAAAAGATCCGATTTCCGTTTCATTTACTTGTGCTCCAATGCCGTATTCTCTTGAAGCAACGGGAAACGCAACCGACTCGGCTCCATCTGAAGTGTTGTTGTAAGTACGAGGCTTGTGGGTTAGGTCAATGCCTTTAGCTTCAGGACCACGCAAGTATACAAAAACACCTCTCCCAGTTTCTTCAATCTTCCTCATAGCAATCGCTAATTGTTTCCCACCAGATCCGTTTCCGAATATATCATCCGTGATACACTCCGCGTGTACTCTCACCAGAACATCCTTCCCATCTCCGACCTCTCCCTGCGTTTAAGTATAAGAAAGTTTTGAAGACTTGAAAAATACAAAGCATGAGTTTCAAATAAGGGTTTATTCTTACTTTAACCATTGCAATGTGCTCAACACCGTCAAGCAATGACTTGAAGCAATACGCTTTGAACGGCCCCCACATTGTCGGTATAGGGGCTACCGCAGTAAACTCCACCAGTCTCTCTCGTTTCCTTCGGTATCTGCCACACAAATTCCGCAATCAAAAGAGCGAAAACATCTACAGATATCATCAGTAGCTGATCTTGAAGTGTTGTAGTATACTGTACCTGATTAGGTCGGCGATCGAAACTATTTTCAAGTTGTTATCTTGAGCGAACTGGCGGAGTCTTGGCAATCTAGCCATGGAGCCATCATCATCTACAATCTCGCATAAAACCGAAACCGGCTCTAAACCGGCTAACACAGTCAAGTCAACAGAAGCTTCTGTATGCCCTGCTCTTTTCAAGACACCGCCTTCTCTGTACCTCAAAGGAAAGATATGACCAGGACGGTTGAAATCTTGAGGCTTTGAATCTTTTGACGCAAGTGTTAATATCGTCTGCGCTCTATCTCGAGCTGACACACCTGTCGACGTTCCGTTTTTCGCGTCCTGAACAAAGAGTTTCAACATTTCCTTTTCATCATCACACAGCACTAAGAAAGAAGACAATGTGTTTTTAGTGTTTTTACTTACCACTGAAACTGTGAAGGCCGTGCATAGCTTCTCCTCGTTCTCCTTTCGCGTCACCATTAAAGGAAGCTCTAACCTCTCCAAGTCTTCACCTTTCATACTCACACACACGATTCCAGTGCCATGTTTCACCACAAAAGCCATAGCTTCAGGTGTTACCAAAGACGCAGCCATGATCAAATCTCCTTCGTTTTCTCTATCCTCATCATCTACAACAATCACCAACTGCATAACAAATACATTAAGATCCTCTCCTTCAAACACAGCAAAGCCAACACTGTTTGCTTAACTATCACAAACCTTGCCCTGTCTAATATCCTCAATAGCTTGTGGAATAGAGGCAAATCCATCGGTAGGTCGGTCAAGATCAAACTCTTCATCCTCAACTTCAGATGAATAATCCATTGTTGTTGTGGGAATCATCTCTGCTGCTAATGTTCCAAACGAAACCAAATCTGGTTGCGACTCTATCCCCATTGATCCATTAGAGGAAGAGAAAGCATCTCCTTCCTCAGAATTTATCACTCCCATCCTAACATTGAGTCTCTTTGATATAATCCTGGGAGGACACATCCAAGTCTCTCTAAATGGATTTGTTCTCTTAACATCACTGAAAAAAAATCATGGAGATTTCATAATCAGATACACATGATCATCTCTCTAAGCCTAACACATTTCAATTGCACAACTAATTTATATGAATCGGAAACTAAAGCCAAAACCTTTAAGAAACAGTGATTCAATTCAACTTATCGCGAATTCCCTGAAAATTCGAAATGATAAACAGATCTGATCAAAACTATCAATTCGGATTGAGACACACAGAAGCAGGTATCGGAATTTCAAAGTCAAATGTTCAGCTAAAGCCGGTGAAACAGAGGGAGATAGAATTTGATTACCGCCAAGGAAGAAGATGCGTGGAGTCACAACGCAGATGAAGCGACGCCATTTTCATGTAGATCAAGAGACAGACGACGAGTTTCGAGGAAGAAGAAGAAGTAGAAGTAGAAGTAGAAGAGAGCGAATCGCCGCCGTGGAATCAAACTGTGGGTGTGTTGCCGGTGATCGTTCTATGCTGACGTGGCGGTGTTGTAGATATTTTTTGCTTTTTATGGATAAGCACGAGGACTCTCTCCTCGGTGACGGCGTCGTTTTGCATTAAAACGATGTCGTATTAGGTGGAAACACGAATGTCCTTGTTATTATTATGTGTCGGTGAACATAAGTTTGCCTTGACTCGTCGTCTTATTGTATTTAAGTTTCATTTCATACTCGACACTTTTGATTGGCTAATGATTTTATTCACCAAATCCATACCTTACTTTCCATTTTTCGTAGTAGTATATTTTTTAATATACAGAATTTGCATTGTAACAGTTTACATATTATAAAGAAAACAAACTAATTATATTACCAGTGGCTTATACGAGAATGGAAACTTATTAGGTGAAATAATCAAATAACCAACCCCAATAAGAAAAAGAAAAATATGTGTTCTGGAGAATCAAAAAACCAAACCCAAAAAACTCACTCTTGTTGCTGTCACATAGGGCCAACAGCTCTTGTCTCCATTTGCATTGCCACCAAAGTCATCACCCCATAACTTGATTATAAAATTTATAAAGGAATTAGATGAAATAAAAAAGCATATAATCCAATTATTACAGCTTTAACAAAAGATATGATTAGATTACCATGCGAATAAGACAAATAGATTGTGTAAAATGGTGTCCAATATCTCGAAAGTTTTTTTGGTTTAGCCGTTACCAAAACTAAAACTTGAGAATTCTGTGATACCAATTGTCTTTACAGTATATAAAATGGTCTATTAAATCGTTTTTCATAACTTTAGGTATTGCATTACTAACCACACAATAAGATTACTCATCTAATTTGGAAAAATAATTCTTACAAAATAGTATACACAGATCTAGTTTCAAAAGTACGAGTTAAACAGTTTGTCAAAACAATGTAAAGAAGAAAAAAAATTAAACTAACCTCATTTAGAAAATGAGAAAACGTAGATCATGCATAAACTGAACCAGTTTTATTAATCGTCCATCTCAAAATTTAGGCAATTGACCTATGCGGCTATGCATACATAAACCATTTAGTCGTGTACAATCACATCACGTCGCTATTGATGAAATGTTATATTTAAAATTGTAGCATGTCTAATCTAATTATAATACTAGTTGTTTATTAATTACAACACTTACATGGTGAATAGACATTTTTCTGTAGATGAAAACTAATCGAAGCATTTTGAAAAAACGTTTGCACGAAGAAATTAACATTTAAAAAAAGAGAAAAAAATCTTCTTATTTGCTAAAAAAAAGACATAATCAAATTGAAACGAGGCAAAACGGTGTTGTACCGGAAACTCCGTTTCCACGTTAAGTTCGAACCGAGCCGAGCCGATTAGAGTAAGTCGAGCCATTTTTTCATACTCGAGTTCCAGTGATACCGGAAGAAGCCTGGAGGTAACTGGGTATAGCCGGTGGACCCCTCAAATTGCAATCGAGGACACTGAAATATTTTTAGGTTTAAACATTTTTCATTTTACCAAAAAAATACCCAACAATATCTACTTAACCATGGTTACTTTCTAACCCAAGCTGAGTTTATTTAAAGTGACAGAAAATGTGAAACCAAGCTTGTTCATATGGAAAACGAAGCACCTCATCCCTCTCTCTCTCTCTCCTCTCTCTGTAAATAGAATCTCAAACCCTTTCGAGTTTATTCTTCTCTCTTCCTCCAAAAGCTTCCTCTTTTCTTGATTGGCTATCAGAGAGTAGTAGATCACACCAAGAACTGGATTTTTGCATTAAATTGAGAATTAAAAACTCCTAATCTTGAAAGAAAGTAGGATTTTTGAAAGACCCCTTTTAATTAGTGTTGTTGATGATGAAGAGATTAAGCAGCTCAGATTCAGTTGGTGGTCTCATCTCTTTATGTCCCACTACTTCTACAGGTTTTAATTCTTAATCTTAACCATTTTCGCTAATTTTCAGACAAAGCCCTTTAATTTTTCATTAATTAACTTAATTTTGGCTTGGTTTTATTACACAGATGAGCAAAGTCCGAGAAGATACGGAAGAGACTTCCAGTCGATGCTTGAAGGTTACGAGGAAGAAGAAGAAGCCATAATTGAGGAAAGAGGACAAACCGGTTTATCGGAGAAGAAGAGACGGTTAAGCATTAACCAAGTTAAAGCCTTGGAGAAGAATTTCGAGTTAGAGAACAAACTTGAGCCTGAGAGGAAAGTGAAATTAGCTCAAGAACTTGGTCTTCAACCTCGTCAAGTTGCTGTTTGGTTTCAGAACCGCCGTGCTCGGTGGAAGACAAAGCAGCTTGAGAAAGATTACGGTGTCCTTAAAACCCAATACGATTCTCTCCGCCATAACTTCGATTCCCTCCGCCGTGACAATGATTCACTCCTCCAAGAGGTACAACAAAAATTCAAACTTTTTATTTGATCCCAAATTAAAAATTGAAACTTTTTTCAATTCCCAATGCTTTAAATGGTAAAACTTAGATCTCCGGTAATAAAAATTGAGACTTTTTGTTTTTTGTTGTGATGCAGATTAGTAAACTGAAATCTAAGCTTAACGGAGGAGAAGAAGAAGAAGAAGAGGAAGAGAACAACGCGGCGATGACGGAGAGTGATATTTCGGTTAAGGAGGAAGAAGTTTCGTTGCCTGAGAAGATCACGGAACCGCCGTCGTCACCTCCACAGCTTCTAGAACATTCCGATGGTTTCAATTACCGGAGTTTCACCGATCTCCGTGATCTTCTTCCGTTAAAGGCTGCAGCTTCTTCCTTCGCCGCCGCAGCTGGATCTTCAGACAGCAGCGGCGATTCAAGCGCGGTGTTAAACGAGGAAAGTAGCTCTAACGTTACGGTGGCTCCGGTCACGGTTCCCGGCGGTAATTTCTTCCAGTTCGTGAAAATGGAGCAAACGGAGGATCACGATGACTTTCTTAGCGGAGAAGAGGCTTGCGGTTTCTTCTCCGATGAACAACCACCGTCTCTACACTGGTACTCCACCGTTGATCAGTGGACTTGAAGCTGTAAACATCGGAAGAAATGTCGGATTTTGGATCAAGTGCTCTGTTTTGTTCTCTGTGGATTCGACGGGGAAAATGGAAACAGAGGAGGGCAAAATGGGAATAATGGGGGAAATTAGAGGGGTGAAGGAAAAATAAGGAGGGTTAAATCTGGGCGGGAAATAATTAATTAGGGTGAATTTGTAATTATGCTCTCTTTGGTGTTCCGTGCACTTCTTGTAATTAGGATCATGAGAAATTGAGAAAGGGGAAAACTTCAGCATGGAATCTTGAAATTACAACCGACCCCTTCAGATCTTATATTATACAATTTTGAACCCTTGGTAAAATCTTGAAGCACAAAATTAGATGTGTTGAATTCGATTTTCAGTTGATTTGTTTTGTGAACACAACTTCTGTAGTTGTATGTGCAAAACAAAGAAAAGTACTATGCCACTATTGTACCATTTAATTTTGTAACACAGCTTTATATGCACCCCTTAACATCACCATCTTATACAGCATCGAGATTATCTAAATTGTATGATATTATTGTTTAAACATTATCATTAGGTTTGCTGTTCAGATTTGATTTGATTCGAATTCGAGTTGTCTCGGTTTGTGTAACCAACAGTGTATGATTACAATTAAAGAAAAACTAAATATGTTTAGAGCTAATCAGACAAAGCTATGGACCACTATTATCTTTAATCACTCATCAGTCATCATGGTAAGATCATTACAAGAATCATAGGAGAATCTGCTGATAAATTATAAATTTAAATGCGTCCACTGTATATATATCCTTTTTACTGTTAGGTTAACAGAAACATATTGATTATAGAGCCTTACTACACTGTTAAATTTACAAGTAAGTAATTATGTATAGACATTTTCCTGTGTGTTTAATATTCATTATTTGGCATATTTTCTACATTTTTTTAATAAACTTGTGGTCAGTTTTTGGCTTAGTCTTTGTTCTTTTCTAATTACAAATGTCGGTTTGTCGCTCCATCGTAATAAAATACAATCGAGACCTAGGTTACAATGGATGTCTAAATTCTTGAGATTGGGTTAAAGACAAATTATGTTGTAACATCCTTTGCTCTACACAACAACCCCTATATAAGTAGAGTCTACGATAGGGAATAGAGTGTAGGGGATATATAGTAACTAGAGGAAGAGAGAATCAATTTAGATTTAATTTCAATGTGGATAACAACTTTATAACCATTTCAACTAACCAAATGTAAATGGTTGTCAGTTCCATACATGAGATGAGGATAATCGATTCTTGATCTAGCAATTCGTCCTCGCGAACCACTAACCCACCACCATTTAATTTTGTGAGAAAATGTTTTACAACAAAAATTTCTATCTCTCTCTCTGTAGGATGTGAAACCAAACCGATTACAAACCAACAGCAGAATCAAAATTTCATGTTTTCGACAAAAGACTTTTCTGATAACCAAAATTTCATGTTTTCGACAAAAGACTTTTATATTCACAAATTAACAGTTTGGTTCGATTTGCTACCCAACTTTTTGTTTACTTAATAGTATAATGAGATATTTATTTTGGATCTAATATTTAGGTATCTAACTATTTTAAAATTGACTGCTGCTAATGTTCAGCATTAGGATATTTGTGTTAGGTATTTCACTATTCATACATTAAAGACTATCTGATTTGAATATGTTACTCGGTCTACGTAAGTGATGGAGTGTGCTAAGTATCCACCGCCAGAGGCCATTGATGGATCCAGACCTATACAGAATCCGGTAATTAAAAAGATGTGATCGATGTTATCCGACATAATCTAGCTTGTAATAGAAACAGAAAGTACTTAACGTATAATATCTTGTGTCTCATCTTAACTTTGGACGATGATCATCATATATTCATATATGCATATGTAAGCATGTTTCATACTAATACAAGTGATAAACATTTTTCTTTTGGCACACGATGGTCCAAATAGATTATGACTATATACAATGTTAGATTATGATACAGTCTAGGTTTTGCGGCGAAAAAGTGAAAATGGTTAGAGTAGGGGTAGAATTTAGGGGTTTAAGAAAACATGAAGGATAAAAGTAAGAGGACAAAAGAAGGAAGAAGAGAAAGGGAAAACGTGATTGGACATCAAAGACATATTTTCTTTCTTAATCCCACGACCACGACATATCTCTTCTATTTCTTCTTGATTTTTATAAAGCATCTAAAGTATTGTTTACCATTTTCGGATAAATATGAAGAAGTCGCAAATCAAATAATGAAGGACAACAACTATCTACATACAAGACTCGATCATATAGATCGATGGAATATCTTATCAGTAAAGACCGTTAAACGTGACTAGGGAAGGTAAAATAACGATGATGTATTTACTTTTACAATTCACGTAATATGGCCAATCAGAATATATGTTTAGCCATTTTACTATTACAATGATCAATCATGAATTAAAGAGTTGTTGTCGTTTCATAGCAACTAATTATAGTCCAGCAAAACGTACACAGGTACCAGAGTTATTCCGTCGTTATTTCATGATATTTTGCATAATGTTAGTAAATTTGGGCTTATTTATTATATTTAGGTAATAATTTTCTGCGGTGAGATCGTAAATAAAAGAACAAATATGTTTTCATAGTTTGACCAAAATGATATTCGAATTCGTGGATAATTATGTTATATTGTTAAATATGCAATCAGAGAAAATAGAGTGTCATCAGGCAAAACAGCATTTAATTTGTACATTAATGAACCATACGACCTTTAACCATTTTTAGGGTTCATTTGTAGGTCTACTCTTTTATCACTTGAGATTTATTCTAAACACATCTTAAATTTCGACGAGTATTAAATAATTTGATTGTCCTAAACCAAAAACAAGATATATACAATTTCATGAGCTGAGATCCTTGAACATTGATTAGATCCGAGAGTTTATCAGAAGCAAGGGCAGAAGAAGCTGTAAAACGTGTAAAAGAAAGTTCTAAAAGGTAAAAGAATTAATTTGGTAAAATAAAATAAATTAAAAGAGCTCCAAGAAGAAAGGTGATACGTATTTTAAAAAAATATATATATTTCTCGATGGATAAAACCAGGGAATAAAATATAATTGGGTGTCAAGAAGGATAATAAATCATGAGGTTGCTTTTTAGAAAAACTCAAAAAAGGTCGTCAGTCGTGATTGTGCGCGTACGTGAAGTGGAAGCATGAGGCATCATTTTTAGTGAATCTATCGGAGAAAAAGATGATGCAAAAACCTTCTGACACATTCAGAAGCTTTACTCACGTCATGAATAGCATCTGAAATTGAGGCAATCAGATCTTAACCATTCACTGTATCTGCATTAATATTTTCTATAGTCTTATTTTACTGTTTTTTTTCTTCCATGTTTTACTCTTTGGATTCTTTCTATACATATATATACGTACATACTTTTGATTATGAGGATCACGATTTGTCTTTTAATTTAGTGATTCATATTCCGAACTCAAACTCAAAAAGATGCATACGTGAGTTATAAACGATTAGTAACAATATGACAAATCGGCAATATAACTCATACAAATAGAAAATACAATGGCTATTGGCTGGTACTTAATTTATTTGTATTTGAAGCACGTAGTTGACTTCACTCGTCTGGTCATTAATAAAAAAGAATCGGAGATGTTCGGCAACTGAATGTCCAATTCAAGACCCTCTTAACTAAATGAATGTTGACACAAATTAATGTGTTTTGAGAATTTGAGAAACTCAATCCAATTAATAGGTAGCTTACACATACACTCAACAAATGTTGTTGTTTTAGTCTTCATGTAATTATAAATACACTAATAAATGTTGTTATTTTTTATCCTTTTAGTTATAACTTATAACTATCATAATTCAACTAGATTTTTAAATTTATAATTATTTCTCATACAACAGACTTAGATGATACTGTATATGTTTAGAGTTTAGACTACAAGCCCCACTCGTATTAGTAGTAACTTGTTTATGATGATGCTACGTGATAATGTATTCAAGTTAAAGTTGATTTAGTTGCTACTATGTTACTGACTGTACAAAAAATCAATAAAATAATGGAAAAAAAAGATAGAGAGATTCTAAATTTTGTGAAATTTCCTTTTTAAAATTTATTATTCATTTCCTTTTTATAGTGTACTGACAAATTGCTAGAATTGGGCCCACACTGTAGCTTCTTTCTTTATACGAAACTAAATGAGAGAAATAGGGGGCCCACCTACCCATGTGACGTGGGACCTTAAACGCATCAAGAAGATGTCGTTTTCTTCGTAGCCATTTGTCACTATCACTTTGTAGATTTAATATATTATAATTTTTTTATTAAATAAAATAAAAAAATAAACCTCGCAGGAAGGCTAGAGGAAGATGATGATAGGCACGTGTACGGTCCCCTCTTCTAGTCGTTCCGATTGTCGACAGCTCAACCAATCTAACTATTCACAGCCGTCCATTTCACCACTTTATTTATCCAGTCGTCTCTCGACACGTCACACAAAAGGAAAAGATGTAGAAACAGACTACTACTGTTGACGTAGATATACATACATTTATCAATACTTTTGTATCTATACTAAAGTCTAAAATGAAGTTTATTTAGTCTGAAAGAAAATATTTAGTTTTTATTTGTCAACAAGTATTTTAGTATGATGATTCCCATGTCACGAGAACGAAGCTTTAATCTGTAGGAGTTCGTAAAACACTTATTAATCACTTGGACAATTCGACACCATGCATATATCCAATTTAAATGCTACTTCTGTAATTGTTCTTAATTTTGTTTCTTAAATAAATTCCATTCATAATGAAAAACATTACATCAAGACCCCTCAGGGTTACAGCACATAATCACCATAATTAACAACTCTGCTTGTCATCGAAGTGACCCAAATATGAAGGAATGAGACTATAGTTTTTTTTTTTTCTTTTTTGGTACGAATGAGACTATAGTTACAAACGGTCCACCACATACCGATAATTGTTGTGCATTTGAACACAGATTAAAAATTTAAAACGAACTGATCTCTTAGTGAACTTCAGCTAGCTACTCAAAATGATTATCGTCTAAGCATGGTGATGGTGTGTCGCATTTTGTTCTTTAATTTATGACTTCTTGTTCTTGATATATAAAGTGACTTGTCCTTCTTCTTATATAGTCTCTAGACTCTAGGCTGTATATACGGGTACGTAATCGGGTGTACCTTGTACGAAGTTGGACCGATCGAGTTCTTTTATAACTTTAGTTAACATGAAGAAGATCTTAATTATACTTTTGCCTAAACCTTTTTACAATACATATATCAAGAATAATCATGAACTACAAGCAAACATTAAAGTGGAGGGAGATATATGTACAAAAAGAACTACAAACGTCGAACCAGATATATGATCAAATCAGAATTTTTAAGTTGAAACTGAATGAAAACCAAAAAAAAATAAGTTGTTAATGAATGAAATTTGCCCGACAGATGAACAAGTCATCCTATAGTCTTTTTGAGATTCTCGACTTCAACTCAATCTTCTCCTTAGATTATTTCTTCTCTTTTCTTCTCGTTTTTTTCGTTTTCATTTTATTATCACTGTTTTCTTTTTCATATGAAACTCGCGAGCTTAAACGTGACGAATGCATGCTTACCTATTTAGTTCCATTGGGTTCGCGAGAGAGGTTGCGATGTGCAGACCTTATAAAAAAAAACACAAAAAACCATCAAGTCATATACTCCATATAACGGAAGAGATACGTTACTATTATAAACAAATGTCATTCCTTATATACGTTACTTCCTTTATATTATCTTGGTTTTCTATAAGCTTTAGTAATTCTTTACTGATATATTTGCTGATTTTTAAGTGGAAAGTTATGTTTCTAATCCACTTTAAATTTTTAGGTGGCGAACACTTGCGTTGTGTGTTTCACTTTCTCTAGGCAAATAACACTGACGATCGTAGGATCCCTATGATCCCTTTTGTAATTCATATTAAGAAATTTAAAAGCATCTTAGATTTGATTATTTAAATAAAAGCTATGATGACCATTATGTAGTTAATTAGTATCGTAAAGAACCAATAAAGTATTTTGCATTTATCTACCAAAAAGTATTTTGCATTTCGATGCACCGCACAGCTACGGTTTCTACGTGATTCATGCTTTTGCATGGTTTTGATTTATTCGCATCTAAAAAAATTACGGAAAAAAATGAAATAATCGATGCTAAGAATTTTTTTTTTCTACTCGTGATTAAATTTGTTCCTTTCAGTTGCTGCTTTTAACTAAAAGAGCCAAACATAGGTGCTGGTTTTAGAGTTAATTACAGTTTGTGGTTAAGCGGTATATAAGTTAAATAATAGCTACTACAAAGACTTTTTTAACGACTCTTTTATATCCTGTAATTTGTGTGTGTGTGTGTGTGTGTTTGCGTCTGAAAACTATTGAGGCCTAACCAATTGCTTTAATCGTACTATTTTATTTTTATTACAGGTTACTTGTACTATTTTTAATGTTACAATTTTCGTTTTATATACATTAACAAGCTCTTTCCCATTTAAGCCCTTTAACAAAAAAATCAAGCTCTTTCCCATTCACAACAAACATCATTTTGAAGTAAGTTTATTTTGTAACGGTTATTTTTGTAAAAAGCTGCGGACCAAAACTAAAATATCATTACAATAAGGAGAGTACTTTTGTTCAACTTCAGTCCATTGCAAATCTGCAACTTTGCTATGTTCTAGACTTCTAGTTGAATTGAAAATTTGACAGTTTTAGACTAGTTTTTTACAAACTACTCCATACTTTTGGAATTTTTTTTCCAAATATTTTAGACACCCGTGTAACCTTGTTTTCGAGGGCCCGATTTAGAATCAAATGGTCACTAAAAAAATATATCAATGGGATTGATGGCTAAGTGTTTGCATTTCAATATTCATATAATATTTCATTGTCCATTTTTTCAAAGATGGTTGCATACTTTATATAAAGATAAACATATAAAGCCTTGAAGTCACATAAATTTGTCAATGAGAAAATATGAGATGTGATCGTTAAGAATGGTCCCTTTCAAGGCTTGAATTGGAATTTTCTTTTTTAATATTCTAATTTGGGAAATCTAGAGTTGTTGAAAAATTTCCCTGAATAACTTTTATTCAATTTTCATCGAATAGTAGTAAACTGAGCAAAACTTCGTGTATTATTACCTAAAAGTTATTCCAAAAATAAACACCAAATTTATTGAAGTAATAGAAAAAAAAACTCGAATACGATGAGTATACGATTACGAAGACCCGTTGAAGGAGACAGCTTATACGGCTCGTATCGGCTTAAAATATAGCTAAGCGTTTTTTTTTTGTCTTGTCTCAAACGATAAGACACGTGTCGGTTCTCGCAAGTGGTCCTGAGGAATAGTTCGAGTCAGCAATCAGTGGGACCTACCTTTTTCGCAGATATTCAAAGTCAAAAAATTCGGCCTTTTGATTTAAAAACATTTTTAACCAAAAAGAAAACTTTATTGCTGGCTGAAAAAAAGAAAAAAACTTTATCATATGCGTGTGTCTTCACATATGCACACAAGGCGTTACTTCATGTAGACTTATTAATCCAATTAGAAAAAAAATCGAGTTAGAAAAAAAAGAATACAATATTCCTATAAGTATATACTGTAATAATTCATAAAAAATTATAAATTTTTATAGTACATTTTAGTAAAATGGATTCAGGAGGCATACGTAAATATAGTTCTTTAAAGTGTTATTGTCTAAGTGTATAACGTATAGTAAGACATTTTAGCATATATGTAAAGATATGGAATAATACAAATATTTGAAAAAAGACAATTTGTAAAACTAGAAAGAAAAACACACACACACTCACACATTGACAAACGAAAAAGAAAAGAAAAGAAAAGAAAAGACGAAAGAAGAGTCGCTCTCGCTCCGGTGAGGACTTGTCTTTAAACGGCGACGTCTCGTGCTTGCCGATGCTAGTTGATGTCTCCATCAACAGTGTCCGCTTCCCACACGCCACGCCAAGATCGCTCTTTTTCTAGCCGTCGATTAGTTTGACTTTTCTGCCTCATTTATTAATTTTGTTTAATTAATAGCTTGCGGGAAAATAAGTACATACATAAAAGTAAAACTATAAAACAATTAGCAATTCCTCTTCAATATTTTCTTTTTGACTAAAGTTCCTCTTCAATATTTTGTACAAATTAAAGATTATATACTTTACGTTTTTTGGAGTTAGTATTTTTTTCGTTCCGTTCTTTAATTATGGTAGCTGCTTAACCAAAGTATTTGAAGAGAAGCTACGAGTTCCTCTTACCACTTCAAACTCATCTAAAAATTACATAATTAGTAAACTCATAGAATTAGGATAATTAGCGTATAAATATAGAAGCTTTATTATTTAGTCATCATTCTTGCTGCACAGTTGATGCTTCATGGACTTCTTCGATGGACAGAGCAAGTATTGCTTAATATTCTATTGCACCAACTTTAACCACATTAGAAGCTGAAGCTCAAGCAGTGCTAGTGGCGGTAAAAGAGATACGTTACGACAATGTCCTATTTGTAGGAGATAATAAAACCCTCTTTGATAATATATTCATAGAAAAGTTTAGCTGCAAGAGGAAGCAGATTCGGAGCAACTCAGGAGATTGAAATGGTGGTGAAAGATAATAGTTAGCTCATCTCAGACCAAAAATGCTTTCTCTTTTATCTATGTATGTTAAGCGTCAAGGTGTGGATCAATCAGCTAAATTAGCTAGGGAACAACGATTAAACCTATACTATTATCTCTATATTCCAAACTCACATTGGGGCTTTGCTCCGTTTTGCCATTGGCATTCCTTTGGGATAAGCTAGCTGCCACGCCAGCAATCTCTGCTGCCATTCACGGATGATGGGTCCTCTGTTTGTAAGCTGTAGAGCTTTGATGATATCACTCGCATCCACCAGAGGTTTTTCATCCCAGATGGTATCAAGACACATTTCCCTAATGGTGCCCGCGATTCTCAGATAAATTTCTCTTTGATTTACCTCGTCCGTAGACAGCAATAGTGATGTTAAGAGGGCGGCAACAGGCCACAAGTCTCTGATATCTTTGAGAAGAAACCCTGCTAGCACTCTTGTTTTCGATGTAGCCGGGACCTCAGGATCATCCTGACAGATGGACTCCAAGTGCTCAAAGACATCAGTGGCCCCCCACTCACGTTTGTCCACTTGTACGACGCCATTCTTCAACGATAAGAATCTCCCCGTGGCACGGTGTATATTAACAACCGTCTCAGCGTCACTGCTCTTCCGCTTCATGGAGACTTTCAACATGTAGTTGACAAGGGGAGCCGCCGATGATTTCCGCGTCTTCTCCTTGTAGACCATTTTCCTAAACGGGAGAAGCAGAGCCGCGTACAGTGCATGCCTTATTTGTTCACCGCTGAGGTTTACGAGCCCAGGTGTGTGAATGAGGTTCCACATAGCTTCCACGTAGGCTCGGCAGAGGCTGAGGCTGACACAGTTAGGCTCAGACGACGCAGGGAGAGCAAAGACAAGCCCCAATAGTTTCAAATCAGAGAGTAAGTGTAGTGCTGAAACAGGTCTGTTCCCAGATATCATCAAATCGATTTCGTTTCCGATCCGCTCTCTGCTGACTTCTCCTGCAAGAGCTGCCCTGACTTCCTCACTGGAAGCAGCTTCTTTGAGTTGTTCATCCAAAGGAAAGCCAAACCTTGCAGCAAAGCGTATAGCCCGAAGAACTCGCAAGGGATCTTCGAGAAACGTATCTCGCGCATGCAATGGAGTTGCGATTCTTCCAGCCTTGAGGTCATCCATGCCTCTTCCTGTAAGATCTTCTACTAAGCCAGTGTGAATGTTGTAGAATAAGCTATTTATAGTCAAGTCCCTCCTGAAAGCGTCCTCTTCTGGGGAGGCAAATACCTATACACACAAAAAGGAAGGAGGCGTAAACCTCAAGCAAAGACATGACAAAGAGAGAATGAGAAAAAAAGGTTGGTTGCAGTACCACTTTTACAGGGATGCGACTGCCGCGTTCGTACACGTCCCTTCTCAAGTTTACAAGATCTATCGAGTGGTTGTAAAGACTCATCTTTACTGTCTCCAACGTCGGTTTCTGTTTGCCTTGTTGTGCAGGTTTACTTTCAATGACGTGACCTTGTACTTCGTCCTCCCCTTGAGAGCGTAAGTACTTGTTGAGCTCAGCAAGAAAAGCGCTTGGGAGCATGTTGCTGATTGCGATGTCAATATCACTAGAATTTTGCCCTAGAAGCTGTAATCAGAGAGATAATAGCAAACATTGAAGAAAATTTCCAAACTCTTTCGACCACTGTTAAGACTTAAAAAGAGAGTACCTTGTCGCGCACCTAACCACCGGCGACGCGAAGCTTCGTTTCGGGACTGAAATTGCCGACGGCGCGGAGAAGCAGATCGAAAATTTGCCGTTCGTTCTCAGTGACATGGATCCGTTCGACGGTCGTCATCGAGACCCAATCGACCTGATTACGAAACGAAACACGACGAATTGTGGTATCTAGCTTTTATAGATTCGAATTCGAATTGGAATTGGAATTGGAAGTTGGTTTGTTTTGGTTTGGTTTAATTTGTTGCTTCTGGTAGGTTCGATTTCAACTATCTCACACGGTTGAGTCAATAGTTTCCCACAAAGCAAATTTACCCATCAGCTTGTTCATCATAAGCATTGCTTGTGGTCATGGAGGGATCACAGTTTGTTTGTTTTTTTCAGATTTCTTTCAATTTTGATGATTCTTGTATTTGAGTCTCTTGCACAAGAATTCAACACAGGTTCATCTACAAGTCTACATTTCTCAGTCGAATTGCCTAGATCGAAGTTTCTATACATGGTAACGTCAGTGTACCACAGATTCAGAAGCAAATTCATTGGCGAAGAACATAAATTATCAAAATCGACCCAGAAATTCAATTCATTGATAAGATTCCGATCCAGAATATCTCATACAAACAATTGAGAGAGAGAGAGAGTCAGAGAGAGATAGAGAGAATGAGAATCAGACCTATTTCTTGGAGAATTTCTTCTTCGAAGCAACGACAACTTCTGGTTTCGGATGCTTCTCGGCTTCGCTCGGATCTAACCATTTGAGAGGATGGAGATTGTAGAAAGGCCAATTCGGTACAGTGATCAGCGTCGTGAGAACGACCCCGCCGGCGTAGATCAGCATCATCGTCCTGAACGACTCCGTTGCGTAGCCAACAACCACCGCGACGACGCCGGCGATCACCAGTAAGATCTGCATCAGCTGCTCCACCAATTTCTGCCCTTGCCAATCCATTTCTACACACACACAAACACAGAGACAAATACTAAAATCAAAAACTATAGATCCTCTCGATCTCAATCCAAATCAAACGATAAATTCGATAGGTACCGATTCTCAAAAACCCTAATTCCACAGCAGAAGGATCAGATCTCACTTCAAAATTCTCTAACCTGATTTTCAACAATGGAGAAGAAGTACGGTCAAAGTCTATAATTATGACCTCTAAACCGGTTTAAAATTGAACGCTGACTCGGTCTAGTCTTTACCTGGTATAACCGGCACGATTCAAGTCAAAATGGGCCTTACCGTATTATTTCAGCCTATTATAAACCCAAACTGAGATTTGTGCACAGTGAATGAATTTCTCTGTAATCTGTATGTTGGTACTTGTCCACACACAATTCACATTCACAAAGTCTCATTTCATATGTTTGTTCACTGATTAGACATTATTTTATTTTTCATTTAAAGATGTAAAGTTGCAACTTCAGCTTCAGCAAGAATCAAAACTTTGGAAAAAACCAAGAATCAAGGCAATGTAAGTAATAAAAGTTTTGTTTGCATATATTTAGCAGTCATCATAAGATTTTTCAAGACTCAAGCAATACACCAATAGGTCTTCTATTAGGAACCCTACAATTAAACCTAATCTCACCACCTCTCCCAGATTGCAAATCACCCAACTTCACCATCCCTTCCGCAAAAGCCCTGAAAAACTCAGCTTGATCCTCACTAAACATCTTCACATACTCTCTCGTCTCTCTGCTAGTGTAAAGCGTCTGGTCAGAGTTTAGAAACCCTCTCCCTGAGACCAAGTCTTTGAAATACTGGTTATCGAAAACCACAGGCGTTGCGTCAAGAGGTCCGGTCACGTTCTGGTCAACACTCAAAGGACAAAGCTTGTCAAGCTTCTGCCTGTAAGCCGGTTCGAGAGCTGGATCCGGTTTACCTGAACCGGATTGGTTATAAAGCCTGAACATGATCGAGAAACACCGAGCTTGACCGATCGAGTGTGACCCGGATAAAGCGACCATGTCTTTAACCGAAAGATCGAATCTTTTGAAAAGGTCGATCAAGAAAGTTGCGTTTGCTCTCGGACTCGGCATTATGTCGTCGGAATCTTTTTGGCTCGCCGTAAAACTGTCTTTCCTCCCGAGCTTCACTTCCCAATCCGGTCCTCCTGTCTGAAGAAAGATCGAAAATTACAAAACCGGAAATTTGAATAAACCGGGGAAATTGGGGATTTGAGTGAGAGAGTGAATTTTACGAGAGCAACGGCGTCACGAGAAGCCATGATGACGATGTCGGCGCAAGAAACAGTAGCGGGACAAGCTTTCTCGAGAGCTTCTTTAATGTCGTCTACGACTTCGAAAGATCTCAGTGAATTGATGTTGGAGAGTGCTAGTTTTTCGCCGAGCATGTTTGGTGTGTCGTCAAGCAATACAGATGCGTCACATCCCTGATTTGATTGATTGATTTCATCGGAGGAAACAAAAACATTTTTTTTTATTCAGAAATTTATTAATTTTAAAGTCAAGAAGAGAGAGAGAGAGAGATTGTGTGATTTACATTGACGAAACAGTCGTGAAATTGGAGACGCATGACGGAAGCGACGCTTCTTGCTTCTCTGATCATAGCTTTCTTCATTTCATTTCTTACGATTGATTCAGCTTCAGGGCAAGTTTCGCTGTAGAATCTTGGCCGGAGAATCTCGCCGGTGACCACCGTCAAGAGGAGTAGGTAGAGGATGAGATGGGGAACAAGGGGAGACATACTTTTTTGTTTTCCCTTTTCTTTATCTTTTTTTTTGTTCGTATGGTTTTCAGTGATGGAAGAAGAAGAAAGAGACTTTGTTGGGTTATATAGAGAATTTTTGGGTGGTTTTCGAGGATGATTTCTAGAATTTCTAAGGCAAAGGCATTGCTTAAAAATGGATTTTGTGCAAAAGTGTGGTGGTGAGTTACCAAATGTCATTTTATTGATTTGTATGAAATGCTATTTCCTAATTATGGATCTGGTCCCAATCGGCAGTTTGTGTAGTTAATGCGAGGATTAGTGTGGTATTTTTGGTAGTCAAATATTGATGAATTAATTGTGTTGAAAAAAAATGAATCAAAGTTGTTAATTATTGGTATTATTTTAGTAACTGATCAAATTAAATTGGAAATTTTGTATTTAGGATTTTATGGAAATACGAATGATGTAGAAGACAACACTAATCCTGGTCAATGGTCATATAGATAAGAGATCAAATAGTGTAAACACATTCATTGATAAGCTTTTAAAGGTCATGAAGAATCTGTGATTTCAACTCTAAACGTATAGTCAATGCAACTTTTGACTATGTAAAGGACATAAACCTTATCTTGACTGTTTTGTTGGGTTGGTAAATTATAACTCAAACTATATACATATCTACACAAAAAGAGAAATTTTTTGCATCCTTTTATTGGTCAGTGTGATAGGTGTCGCTGTGATGATCAATGCTTAAATATTCCTTTCTTTACAATATATATATATTTTTTTAAAAAGTGCTGATAAGATTATCACCATAAACAAAAATAAAGAAGTCCATAATTAGTGCTGGAGACAATTTCTCACTTAAAACATTTTTGACTATAAAACAGTAAAAATTAATTGTGTTGGATGCGTTTGAAACACACAAAACATGCCAAAATCAACATCCGCTATTTCCCCTCTGTCTAATCTTTTTTGTCTTAATCATCTTCCATTGTATACATTTTTCTATGGATTTGAATGTGAAACGGTAAGAATACTACTAGTACAAAAAAAAATAGTACTATATATTAGCGAATTTTGGAAGAATTAAATTTTAGAAACTCGTTTTTAGTCACAATATATAAAACAGTGAAATCTCATAAAATAATAGTTGGAGAGAGCCAGAGAGGTGAGTGAGTGGGTGTCGTAAGATAAGAGGATTGTTGTCACAAGAGGAGGCAACAATTTGAGCCATTGGTTCATATTTCCTGCAACCGAACAAATTACTTTATGATTTCAGTTTTTATTAATTTATCCGAAACTTCAAAAAGTAACTGACACTATTAGTCTTTAGTCAGTCGTCGTCGTCATCATGAGGCATGACTTTGCGTTCGTGGGTTCTGATACGTTGCCGTTTTTGAGATATTATCTTGTCCCCATCTTTAGTTGTCAATTTTTATTTCTATATCCATATTTATTACACTTCAGACAACACAATCATAATTAAACACATATGACTCGGATGTATCTAGTTTCCTGAAAAAGCCCTATAGATTTCGAAATCAGGAAAATGGTACGCACATGGAGGATGATGTCCATTTTATTTGAAAATCCATACAAAAAAGGAAATTTCTCAATAAATATTGAACAACATTTGAATCCATTAAAGATGACGAATACGTTATATTACTATTTTCGATATATCAAACCGTATTGTAACACGAATGCATTTGCATTTCACAGAAAAAGTTGAATCTGATATGAAAACCAAAATTATTTAGAACCACACCAAACCCTTAAACATTGAAAAAAACAGATTAAATTATGCGGAACTGGGCCCAAAGTTAAATTGTGAATACTAAAACCCTAAGGCCCATTAAGAAAGCCCTGAAAAAACCTCGGAAGAAAACGAAGAAGAAACTACTCCTCCACAATACTTCTTCTTCCCTTCGATTTTCGCAGAGATTTTACGAATCCGGCGGCGGAAATCAAAACTTTTGTTGTTTTTCCGACGAAAAGCTACGAAAATGGGAAGAGGAAGGCAAAGAGGTCGTTCTCAGAGAAAACATTTCAAAGAGAGCAGAGAGAATGCCTGGAAGCGCCCCAAATCCGATCCTACCGTTGATGCTTCCGGTAACGCCGCCCCGGAAAAACCCAGCTGGGAACCTATCTTGACCGATAACCCTAACTTCGAGGAGTACTACAAGGTAACATAATCGTGATTCTGTATCGAATCGTGACTGTTTATATCTTTTTTCACACTTCTTACTCACTAGCTTCAGCTTATGAGCTACTGAAAGTTTAGTTTTTAGATTTTAATAGCTTTCGCTTTGATGAATGGATCTAATTAGTGATATTGTGATTCTAATTTATATGTTTGTGTGTAGGAGCAAGGGATTGTGAAAGCCGAAGAGTGGGATATGTTCATGGAGATTCTTCGTAAGCCTTTACCTGCTGCGTTTAGAGTTAACGCCAAGTAATGCCACTTTCTTCTATTCACTATTTAATTTGTTCATAGTCTCAATAAGGTTTAGGGTGTAAAACTGCAACTTGGATGGCTCAGAATTTCAATTACTAACAAGATGCTTCCTTTATCCTTCTTTTACGATTTGCAGTGGCCAATTTTGCGATGAAATTATATCGATATTGGAGAATGACTTTGTGAAATCTCTTCAGGCAGAGGTAAAAGAAAATGTTCAAATTGGCATTTTTTTTCTTCTTCTAGTGTCTATTTCGATTATGACTCAGTATTTTACATTGATTTTGCTTTAAAAGGCCATAGAAGGTGGTGAATCGGAGGCTATTAAGCCCTTGCCATGGTATCCAAAGAATCTCGCTTGGCATTCTAACTTTTCTCGAAAGCAGATTAGAAAAAACAAGACACTTGAGAGGTACATTCTCGTGAACACATGAACGCTTCTAAGATCTTCATATAAGTAGAAAGACCTATCAATTCCAATTTGTGTGTTCTTCATTGTGTACTTTTCAGGTTTCATGAGTTTCTTAAATTAGAGAATGAAGTTGGAAACATGACCAGGCAGGAAGCTGTTAGCATGGTATAGTAGCTTAATACTCTCTTCCACCATTAACATTTTTTTATCCATACTAACATGTAAAAAACCGTTGTTGAATTGATCTTGAAGGTACCTCCTCTCTTCCTCGACGTGCATCCAGATCACTTTGTACTTGACAGTGAGTGAATTTTCATTTGAAACTGTTTTGAGAGTTACAAGTTGGACAATTAGTAGTCGATGGTTACTGATCAGCTATCGTTCTCTTTGTGTCTGAGCAGTGTGTGCTGCACCGGGTTCCAAAACATTTCAGCTGCTTGAGATTATCCATGGAGCATCAGAACCAGGAACTCTACCTAATGGATTGGTTTGTGTTGCTCTTCATATTTTTTAATTTATACAAACTTTTGTTTTAGGTAGATAGATGGATAATTGATTGCTTTTACTGAAAAATCAGGTGGTGGCTAACGATGTTGATTTCCAAAGATCTAACCTTCTTATTCACCAAACAAAGAGAATGTGCACATCCAACTTGATAGTGACCAATCATGAAGGGCAACAGTTTCCTGGTTGCCGCTTGAACAAATCCCGAGCTTCCGAGAAAGGAATAAGTGAAGATATGCCCATTAATCAACTTGCCTTTGACCGTGTTCTATGCGATGTCCCGTGCAGTGGTGATGGTACACTCCGCAAGGCTCCAGACATCTGGCGGAAATGGTGATTTTACCTTTGCCTTTTCTTACTATCTGCTTTGTTAGGACTTAGGAGACGTTAATTCTTGAAATTCTTACTTCCGTTTGTTTTTCTTTTGTGTGCAGGAATTCTGGAATGGGCAATGGACTTCATAGCCTACAGGTTATTCTTGCTATGAGAGGTAAGCTTTTCTTATATGTCCACACTAATTTCTATAAAATATCTTGTAGAGTGACGCGCCTATCTTAAACATGTCTGCTTGGTCTTTTCTAGGTTTATCTCTGTTGAAAGTTGGTGGGAAAATGATATACTCTACCTGCTCAATGAACCCAGTTGAGGATGAAGCTGTTGTTGCTGAGGTAATATTCTAGTAACTTCTTGACCTTTCATTAGAAACCTAGTACATTAGCTATAACCACGTAAAAACTCTTGCTTGCATTCAGATTCTAAGGAGGTGTGGAGACTCTGTTGAACTTTTAGATGTTTCCGATAAGCTTCCTGAACTTATACGAAGACCAGGTCTTAAGACATGGAAGGTCAGCTTCTACTACAATTTAACCTAGTGAACAAACCTCCTTCTATAAAATCTAATGGGATTACTCATGTAATTTGCATTGTCTCTGTTGGATCCAGGTACGTGATAAAGGTGGGTGGTTTACTTCTTACAAAGACGTTCCACAAAACCGAAGAGGCGGGGTTCTTGTGAGCATGTTTCCTTCTGGAAAAAACCTCAAGGACTCAGCTGAAACCACAGAGAAGAATGAGAACGGTGGTGTTAACAGCTGTGAAGATGAATGCAAAGAAGCTGATACTTCTGTGGTGGATGCTATTCCTGATGAACCAGTTGTTGAAGTCTCTGATCTTCCACTTGAGCGTTGCATGAGGATAATTCCTCATGATCAGAACACCGGGGCCTTCTTCATCGCGGTCCTTCACAAAGTTTCACCCCTACCAGGTAATTTTTTCTTTGAAGGACATGTATCTTAAATTGATAATAATCACCCATGGTTCTGTAGAACTTATCGATAGTTTTCTCACAGAATTCGAGAAACCTAATCCGAGGAGGAATCCATCTACTAAAAATGCCGACTCATCAGAAAAACCTGTGGGTGAAAAAGCAGCTGTTGTTACCGCTGATGTTGTACCAGAGGAGAGTGCAGTGGAAGAAGTTATAGAAGCAGATTCAAACAATGAGAAAGATGAGAAAGATGCAGTGGATGAAGTGGATGAAGTTATAGAAGCAGACTCAAACATTGAGAAAAATGATGATAGCTTAGTGGAGCCTGAGAAGAAAACCACAGAAGGAGAAAGCATCACTGAAGACAAAGAAGCCGATTCGAGTAAAGCAGGAGGCAAGAGAAAAGTACCAATGCAAGGGAAGTGGAAAGGCTTTGACCCTGTAGTATTCCTGAAAGACGAGGCAGTGATCAATAGCATCAAGGCATTTTACGGTATCAAAGACGAATCATTTCCATTGGTTGGCCATCTCGTGGCAAGAAACACAGACACAAGCAGCGTGAAGAGGATCTACTACGTTTCACAATCCGTCAAGGAGGTTCTTCAGCTGAATTTCGCAGTCGGACAGCAGCTTAAGATCGCGTCCGTTGGCCTCAAGATGTTTGTAAGTACAACAAAACCTCTATTCATCTCTCATTTCGGTTGATCAATCATGTAAAAAGTTGTTGATAAAATAGTCGAAACAACGCAGGAGAGACAAACGGCGAAAGAAGGTTCAACTTGCACGTTCCGTATATCATCAGAGGGACTACCTGTGATCCTTCCATACATTACAAAGCAAGTGCTTTACACTCCAATGGCGGACTTCAAACATCTCCTGCAGTACAAATCGATCAAGTTTCCGGATTTCGTCAACCAAAAGTTGGGACAGAAAGTAATTGACCTTGTCTTGGGATGCTGCGTGGTGATTCTCAGCGACGGTGCGTACTGTGTTTGGTTAACGTTAGATGCTTTAGTAGTCATGTAGGATGTTGTTTTCTTACAGTTTTGCTGGTTATGTCATTCTCAGGTGAAGAGGCGGTGAAAGTGGATGCGTCGACAATAGCCATCAGTTGCTGGAGAGGGAAGAATAGTTTGGGTGTTATGGTTACTTCTGATGACTGCCAGGAGCTGCTACAGAGGCTTACCGAGAAAACTCCGAAATCCGAAGATGGTTCGGTTAATGGAAGCAATGGTGATTCGAGCGGTCCTCAAGCTATGGAGACAGCTTAGAGCCTCTTCTTTTCATCATAACTTCAGATTGTACTCCTTTGTTGTGCTTTTTTCTTCTCCACATTCCTTTTCATGAAAGCATTATGTGATCGTGATGACTTTTGATAGATGGATGGAATGAAACAAATGAAACTTTTTGTTCTAAACTTTCAGTAATCATTTTAAAAACTTCAAAACATTAAATTTGATTAACGAGTTGCACTGGCCACCGTAAGACCAACACAATTGCAGATAATTACATTTGGAATAGTATTAGCGAGATGCGAGCCAATGATTCGACAATTCGGCGTTGTGTTACATAAGTAACAGCCGTTAGAAAGAAAAAAAATAATATGGCCTATACAGGGATCGAACCTGTGACCTTCGCGTTATTAGCACGACGCTCTAACCAACTGAGCTAATAGGCCATCTTGTTGATACCACTATTGTCAGAAACTAATTATCGTAGCCACGGAGTCAAAACAGAACTTGGTTAGAGAAAAATAAAAAGTGGCCTATACAGGGATCGAACCTGTGACCTTCGCGTTATTAGCACGACGCTCTAACCAACTGAGCTAATAGGCCATCTTGTTAACACTATGCAATACAATACTTGTATAACGTAAATCGATACAGAAATCTTTGTTTACACTAAACACGTCAGCCGAAGGTCACCGGTCTGATTCCTTTCGCTGTGTAAATCGTTCGGATTCGAAATCGGCTTTAGATGTCAATTTCTCCGGTGAGTTTAGGCTTGTCGTTCCTGATTTTCTCGTTTATAGTCGATTAAAAAGACATCTTCTGTTTTCCTACTGTGTACTCGCAACGGTGCTTTTGAAATTGAGTAGCTTTCTGTTTGGTTTAGAGGTTCAAAAACCCTAACTTCAACTCGCTGTGACGCCGTCTATAATTGCATCTAATTAAGAACGAAGAAACAGAGCCTTGAGATTACTTTGATTTTTGTTGTTGTGATAAATCATAGCTAATGTGTTAGTTTTTGTATGAACTGAAGAAAACCAATTCAATGGAGTGTGTAGTTCAAGGAATCATCGAGACACAGGTTCGTCTCTTTAATTCATGAAAAAGCTTTTAGCTTTTACTCTAATACCAAATTGAAAGTTTAAACCTTTTCTTCATTTGGATATTTAGACTATAGAAATTTGATAACTTTCTTGTCAAATGTTGCAGCATGTTGAAGCTCTTGAGATCCTTCTTCAAGGTCTTTGTGGTGTACCTCGCGAACGTTTGAGAGTTCATGAGCTATGCTTAAAAAGCGCCCCAAATCTTGGTAACAAGACATACAAAATCTCTCTCATTTTTTTATTACTCAAATGCATACTTATGTTTATCGTTCATTCACACATTCAGGAGTTGTATCCTCAGAAGTTAGGCTTTTATGTGATATTGATCAACCAGATCCCACATGGTACACCTTCTTCTCCTTCTTGTTTGTACATGTTCTTGTTTCATCAAAGAAAATCTAAAATCAAGAATCTTTGTTTGATCATAATAGGACTGTTAAACATGTTGGAGGTGCAATGAGAGGTGCAGGAGCTGATCAAATCACTGTCATGGTGAGGACTATGATTGAAAGCAAAGTGAGCAAGAACGCTTTGCGTCTGTTCTACTCTCTCGGTTACAAACTAGACCACGAGCTTCTCAAAGTCGGATTCGCCTTTCATTTCCAACGCACCGCGCACATAAGCGTCTCTGTGTCTTCAGTCAACAAGATGCCTAAAATCCATGCCATAGATGAGGCAGTTCCTGTGTTACCTGGAATGCAGATTGTTGATGTAACAGCTGCAGCGACACCTGAGAATTACAACGAAGTTGCGGCCGCTGTTTCGTCCTTCTGTGAATTCCTCGCTCCGTAAGCATCTCTCGTCTACTTTTGTTGACACTTATGAGAGTTATGGTTGTGTGTCTTTTGATTTAGTTCATCATCAGTGAGACATTTTGGTTTTATGTATTCAGGCTTGTTAACTTGACGAAACCGTTTGAACACGTCGGAGTTGTGCCAACCGCTGCTGCGGCCGCTGCGTCTCTAATGTCAGATGGAGGAGGTACTACATTGTAGCAAGTCAGTTGGAAGTAGAAGCAAGTGTTTTCTCTCATGTGATACATCTTTTGGTTTAGTGTAAGTGAATTGTTCACATCACACAATGGTTTGTGAAAATCTGTGAATCATTTAGAGCTGAGTTGTTTAATGGCATCAGTAATGGAATCTCTTCAAAAATCACAACTTGCACAAGATTGTTCTGTTTCAAATTCGTCAGTAGTATTAGATTGAACCAATGATTTGGTCATTCATGGTTGATCAAAACAAAATCTTGTAACTAAATGTTAGCTATATGCTACAATGAATCATCAAACAGGGGTGGTGGCGCAGTTGGCTAGCGCGTAGGTCTCATAGCTACTGAGTGATCCTGAGGTCGAGAGTTCGAGCCTCTCTCACCCCATTTCTTTTGTTTTAGCCTTTTTTGTTCTCAAACTTTTGAGATAAGACGCATTGTGGAGAGAGCTTTGGAACTGAAAACCACTAAACAACACCAAAATCTAACATGAATTTACTACTTAGAAAGTTTTCATTACTGGTCAAACAATCCGTACACATGTGCATTACAAGGTGATCAAGACATGACCAGTGCCGCTACAGGAAGAGCAAGTCATGGCTTGTTGGACCACGCCGATGATAGTTTTTGATGATGAATACACTTGACCTTGTCCACCGCAAGTTGCACATCTGGCTTCAAGGGTCTTTAAAGAATACAGATCGCAAAAGCTCCTCTTGGGGACTTCAACTCCATACATATCCTCTGAACTATCCTCCACGCCGGCTTCCTCACAATACCTATTGGCAAAAGATTTTATTTCACCTGATAACACCTGCACAGAAAAAAAAAGCTTGTTCTTTAGTCAAACAAAAACCTCACAAGTCATAATAGAAACCAAAAGGAGAAGATTTGGTTTCATTTCAACCTCATATGCATCACTTATTTCTATGAATTTCGCTTCTGCATCAGGATCCCTGTAAGTGTCAATGTTGTTATCCTCATAAGATATACAGCAACATCAATCTTGATAAGATGAAGTTTCTTTTCGCTTACTTGTTTACATCCGGATGGTAATCCAAAGCTAGTTTCCGATAAGCTTTAAACAAGAGCAAGAAAGAGCGAATCAATGTCAAAACACAAAGAATCCAAATCACAGGTTTGATCATGGATATGTCAACATATGCAAACCATTTCTGAAAGCAAAAAATGATGACAGCATACCGCTTTTAACCTCAGATAAGGTCGCATTTTCTGAAACTCCGAGAACCGAATAGTAAACCTGGAATTTGAACACAATCAACCAAGACCATATAATAGTAGTGTGATCTAAGCAATCTGCAAAAGTGTAGAGAATAGGAACACGCACTGCATCAGCTCTAACAGTGAAGCAAGATCCTCTGCGGTTTTGTATATTTCTAGACATTCTTGACAAGAAGGGCAAGGAGCCATGTGAGAACAAACTCGACTTTGAAGCTCCCAAACAGTTTATTTGGCTCATGAAACAACTACACAAGGTAATCAAAAGAAAAAGCTTTCAGATATATAACAACTCTTCCAAAAACTTCATCAAATCGGTAAAAAGTCTCCATCTAGAAAACCACAAGTTACAAACTTTAATAGTAACTCAAACAAAGACTTAATCTTTAAGATGTGCAATGTCAACAAATCAACCAAACTAATTTTCAAGAACTTAATCCGATCCAGAGACTGAAACAGAAAAGAATCATACTTTTGTTCGACTCTGCTCGGAATGTAAGCTCTCCCTGCAAATTGAGGAGCGCATGTACTTCCAAATTGTATCAGAGCCATTTTAGCTCCCTGCAACACAATTAAGTAGCTTTCAACACAGAATGCAGAAAACAATCATGAATCAAAAAGCTAACCCATTTCTTAAACAAAACAAATAAGACAGATCTTACAAGCCTAAGAAGCAAATGGAATACACAGAGAGATATAAATAAGATTTGCATAGTCAAAAAGCAAACTTGGAATTAGCAGAGACTTCACAAACAAAAGCTAACTTCAATTTCGCAGATAATAAGCAAAAAGGCAAAAACTTTCTCTAGGAATCCGATGTGTGTTGTTCTAAAACACGAGCTGGGTAGCGAAACTAAGCCGCGCAAATTTGCCCTCCAGCGCCGGAGGGAAATAAATCAGCCCAAGCAAAAGAAATTGTGTAAAACCTCGAAAACGCCGTTCCTTCGATGGATTCATTCGTTGAAAAAAAAAACACTGAAAGAGAGGAACACATAGATTTCTCGTAACTGGAGAAATAAACACAAGAATGTGAATCGTACGGGTGAATCGTGGTTGCATGAAAACTCAAAAACATTAGAAACGTTTTGGAAAACGCGGATTTTACTTTATGAAATGTTAATATTTCTGCAATTTTGATTTAGAAACGGAATTTTTTACAAGAAAATTCCAAAATTATTGGGAAATGTAGGTACACTTTTGTTATGCATATGTCTTAATAATAAAGAACATAAATTAGTACAAATATGATTCCAATTTCCAAAGCGAAGGAAAAAAAAGTGATTCCAATATTTTTCTGTTGGATTGTGTTGTTTTAAACAATGAATGAATCGATACTCAATTGTCATTGTCTTCTTATTTTCAAGCTCAGTTTTTGTGTGGACGGGACTGAGAGTAAACCAAGTGAAGGCATCATTATAGTATCCATAAGTGGATGAGACGTACATCAATCCTTGAGGAGGAGAAGGAATCGGTAATGGTGGAACACATGAGAGCCAACAAGGGACTTGATGTGTTTGTTAAAGCATTAGAGCATGTCCAGTGGTGATACTAGAGGGTCTCAAACATGATTTCACAACATTAAAATAATAGAAACAAATAAAAAAAAAGGAAAGAGAAAGTCAAAAAGTGTGAGACGTACCTTACTGACGATACCGTATCAGCAAAAGAAGAGACTTTAATATGAAGTGGCATCATATAATTGGTTAGTTTCATTTCTTATTTAAATTTAGTTATTCTTTAAAAATTATATTAATATAATATGTATAATATACTGAGACTATAGTATCACGGCTGGATATGCTCTTAGAGATTTATGTGATAGTTTTTTGGGCTGGAAGTAAGCACTTCAAAACGAGGTAGCCAGGTAACAAAGAAATCATGTTATTGTTTCTTCGTTGCCTGATGACAACATCTAGAAATGCTTATTCCAAGTTCCCAAAACTATCACATGTCTTTTACGTCGATAACATGTTCAAGTCTCTTATTCGCTCCCCCAGAACTCCACCATTTCCCACACCTACTCATCCGCGAGAATTTGGTGTACGATTTCCTTGGTTTACTCTGAGTTCCATCATAACAAAAACAGACATTGAAAATACAGATCATGAACGATTATCTTTTTGTGCTTGTTTGTTGTCTATTAGACATTGTTGAGCAAAAAAAAACACATGAAAATGAAAATGAATCCTAACAAGTTATATATACCACTCAAGGTACATGGTGCAAATGGTTGTTGATAAGAGGAATAGGTAGAATAAAAGGAATGCTGACGAGGAATAGTAATCCATGGAAAAATATAGAGGAATTAGATGAATATAAGATGAGTTGTTATATTTCTTGTAATTCATTTCTTCTTTTAAAATAGACCAAATCTCGGCATAATAATGTCATTTTCCATTCAAAAATGTGGGTCTGACATTTTCTAAGAAATAATTCTTTAAAATATTATAAACGACGTTATTTTAAGGGAATGCTGATAATTACGCTAAGATTTGTTTCTCTATTATCTCAACTATTTACAACAATGGATTTCTTTGTGTCGCCTTTTGTTGGCTAAGTCGGATTCAAATGGTTGTTGATTAGAGGAATAGATAGAATAAAAGGAATGCTGATGAGGAATAGTAATCAATGGAAACATATAAAGGAATTAGATATGAATATAAGATGAATTGTTATATTTCTTGTAATTTATTTCTCCTTTTAAAATAGACCAAATCTCGGTACAATAATGTTATTTTCCATTAAAAAATGCGGGTCGGACATTTTCTAAGAAAGGATATTTTTAAATATTGTAAACGATATTATTTTAAGGGAATGTTGATAATTACGCTAAGATTTGTTTCTCTATTATCTCGACTACTTTGTATCGCCTTTTTATAGGCTAAGCCCGATTCCAGTTGTGTTAAGCTTGAGACTGTTGTTGATGTCTCTTGCATTTCCATTGGGAAGATTCGACGGGTGTCCTGCGGATTAAGGAATTCCGCAAAGGCTAATGACGCAGCTGCAAACTGTAAAATTTATATATAATTTAAAAGTATCCTTTATGGAAAATCACGAAAAAGAAAATCATATTCTAAAACACATTATACATAAAATCATTGTATAGTGGATAAAAATAATATTTTAATTGTATATTCATAACAAATAACGTGCCTAAATACAATAACAACTCATATAATTGATAATGATTGAAATAATAGTCTAAAATCAGAATCAAATATTATATATAAATAAATTTCAAGTGGTTAGAAAGAAATAATGAAACAAACGAATCATCAAATGGAGTGAATAACATATCGTAGTCAAAAGTGTTGTGACTTGTGAGAATGTAAATATATATATATATATAGACACCTAGTACGTAAAACATCGTATATATACGGCAATATTAGCTTCATCGTATAGGTACACTATACAAATTTAAAACAGTTGGGCTTCTTACTGTAGTATAGTATTTTTTTAGACGATATTTGAAGCTAAAAGTCTCATTGGCTCTGTGCAAAGGTATAAATAATTAAATATGCATGCATGTATATTGAGTATCGTCTTTGCCTTGTACATTTTTTTAACAAGTACTCTTGTCTTCACACGTTGATGTATTTGACAAGAAGAATATGCTTGGAAAAATGGACAGGTGGGATCTTGGTGCCATTGACGAACTGCCAAGCTCTGGAAACTATGGACGAAGTTGAGAAGGAAATTAATGAAGCCCACCAGGAAGATCCGGTAGCGTGCGACAGACGATAAATGAGGTAATAATAGGTCAAACTTATACAAAAGTCCACCAAACTGAAAAGGGAAAAGAATATACTTACAATAATTAATGAAAATCATATATAGATTAATTAAGAGCTTTAGCAAGAGCGTACCTAGCAATATCAAAATGGGCACGCAAAGGTCATGTACCAACCTTTGATGAGTACATGGAGGTTGGACTGGTCACTGCGGGGATGAATGACTATTTATCATATAGTTTTATTGGTATGGAAGACTGCGATGAGAATCAAACGAATGAATGGTTCAATTTTGAACCAAAAATCTTTCAAGCTTTGAGTATTATTTACCGTCTAGAGAACGACATAGCCAGCTTCGAGGTATTGTAAGAATGATAACTATACATTCTTCATTTTAATGACTTCGAAATTTAAACTAATAGGTTACATGGAAATGTACAGGTTTTTATTCAGTATGTTTTTGGAGGCCATAGAGCAGAAGCAACTAAATTATACTTATACAAATAATAAAGTTCACATAAATCTGCGAGAACCAGTCCTTAAAATTATAGAGATTGTCCAAAAATGTAACCATCAAACAAACAAAAACAAAAGCCATAAGAGTTGACAAAAAAACGTCTATGAAATAGTAAGAGATGTATAAACTCTTTGTTAAAAACAAACAGTGAGAGATGTATAAAGTCTACAAAACAATTTGTGGGCATCAATGAGAAACACCTAAGCAGTGCACAAACTTGTAGCAAGTGGGGACAGTGGCTACAACACCAGACCAATCGATCTTCCCACGAATCCTTTCTCCAATCCTATCCAATGCAATCAACACACACATAACATCCTTAAATTCACCAACCTCACTTTCCTTCTGCCAAAACACCGCAAGCTTTCCATGATACTCCACCATCGCATCCACATAAATCTGATTAGTCAACGCCTTGACATCATCAACATCATCATCAGATATAATCAGTCTTGTCCAAACATTAAGCTTGTTGTCAAACCACACAAACCCACTCCAATCAAAACAAGCATAAAGCACATCCTCTACCGCACACACATAACTCAGGAAATCATCACCTCTTCTTATTCTACCTTCATTTTCTATTGTTGATATTGTCTCCTCTGTCTTACCTTCCTTAGGGTTATACACGGTGACTTCATCACCGTAATGATCCACCGTATAAACCTTCCCTTCCAGCGATGCGCAATAAGATGGCGGCTTTTGGACATTCCCCTCCCATGCAAAGCTCCACACACGTGATTTTGTATCAAAAGCCACCACTTGGATCTCTCCATATTCACGCCCTCCTCGGATCACGTAAATCTCCCCCTCAACAACCCCCAAGGCGTAGCAAATGGTGTTAGGACACGGCATGCTTGGTCCCTTAGTTAGATCTCCAGAAAGAGTATCGTAAATCCAGAGACCGGAGGAGTCGTAGTCGGAGTCGGATAATGTCTCGCCACCAACGAAATAGATCTCGGACCCAACTGCGATGACTTCGGCAGAAACGTACGAAAGACCATTAGAAGGGACCGGAACTGGGACCAGTCGATACTCAGTTGTCTTCTTCTCATCCTCAATCTCAACGGGACGGAGAGTAAACCATTTGTAGACACAGTCATACTCTTCGTCATCGGTGAAGGAGACGTACACGGAGTCTTTCCGGAGGAGGATGGACTGGGACTGGTGGAATTCACGGGAGGTGATAAGAGATTTGAAACTGGCGTTTACGAACGAGACGTTGAGGTGGGAGCTCCTGGGGACTCGGAGCAAGCACTTGAGGACCATGTCCTTGGGCAACGAAGAAAATGACAGCGACGACGATGATGAATTGTTATCTTCTTGCACTAGCATTTCGTCTGTTGCTGGTGGTAAAGACATGATGTCGTTGAGACAGCAACACATGAAGATGTTTAACCCTGGCTTGTACTTATATACATATGGAAGACTGTTGTCTACACTGTAATTAATTGCATTGACCTACGAATATGATCTATGCTTGTAATTAATTATATTGTTTACGAATATGATCTACACAATAGAAGAATGTTATCTACGAATATGTTTTCTAATATCTATTACCAGATTATTCAACTTTTCATGATTGTGTTCCTTTTATAGTTACAAATACGATCTACACAGTAATTAATTACGTTGACTGGCCTATTAATATTCTTGTGCTAAACAAAATGACAAAACAAAAATATTGAAGAATGTACACAAGAAATATGATAAAGATGCAACTCTCCAATTGTGGTTTCAATGATTACGAAAAGTTGCAAACGAAGATTATATTAAAACCACACGATTTTACAAAAAAAAATAATTATAAGCTTATCAAAAACAAAGTTAAGTGAAGATGTATTGAACAAGAACAATGATTAAGAAATGCAACGCTTCTTAATGAGATTGTTATGTTTTTTTTTAATAGGACAATCGTTGTTTACATATGGGTAAAGAAACCATGGACAAACAATAAAGAGATATTCTCCAAAAACATTTAATCATCAAACAAACAAAAAAGTTACAGTGAGAGAGATGTATAAACTTTGTTTGAAACAAAAAGTCTAGAAAACAATTTGTGGATCAATGAGAAACAGCAAAACAGTGCTCAAACATATAGCCGTTAGGGACAGTGGCCACAACACCAGACCATTCGACCTACACACGAATCCTTTCTCCAACCCTATCCAATGCAATCAATCCACACATACTCTTATACTTCCTCTCCTCACAATATGACCCACGCCAGAAAACCGCTAGCTTTCCATGGTATTCCACTATTTTCTCCACTTCAAAGTAATTAGTGCACCCCTTGACATCCATGACATAATACACAAAATTGTTGTATGATTATGAAAAGTTAACCGGGTCTTCGTGGTCTGGTGGTAATGGAGTCTCAGCTGAGGTGCCCGCCATCACGAGTTCGAGTCCCCTGCCAACTTAATCGTTAAATAAAATGTTGATTGCAATTAATTTAGTACATATATATACAGAAGTTATATAGACTGTAATTTAAATCGTTTATTTTATTTTTTTTGTAGAAATCAAACCAAAAATAGATGGGTACAAACGAAGATATAAGAAAAAGATTAATGGTCAGATGCTAAAAAAAAAATAAGAAAAGATTAATGGTCTCATATTATCATCTTCTTCCCTTTTGATTCTTTAAAGCTTCCTCTTTTCAAGATCCCATTCAAAAATATCACAATCTAATAGAGGGTGGAACAAATTAATGTGTATACATATTTTAGATTCACAATTCCAAATGTCAAAACTTTTCTTCTCGCCAATCATCATCTACTATCTATCTATATAGCTAAATAAAATTGTTTACAAATAAAAAATAGTTCATATAAATCTACGAGAACCAATCCTTAGAATGTAATCATCAAACAAACAAAAAAGTTACATAAAAAGGTCTACAAATAAAACAGTGAGAGAGATGTATAAACTTTGTTTTAAAGAAACAGTCTAGAAAACAATTTGTGGATCAATGAGAAACAGCAAACCAATGCTCAATCATACAGTTATTAGGGACACTAGTGGCCACAACACCAGACCATTCGATCTTCCCACGAATCCTGTCTCCAACCTTATCCAATGCCATCATCAATCCACACACACTGTTATCCAATATTTTTCTTCTCCAGAAAACCGCAAGCTTTCCATGGTATTCCACCATTGCATCCACATTAAAGTAATCAGTGACATCAAAGACATAATCAGATTCAGACATAACCAACCTTGTCCAAACACTAAGCTTTGTGTCAAACCACATAAACCCACTATATTTAAAACAACCATAGAGCACATTCTCAACCGTGCACACACAAATCAGAAAATCAGTATCACTTCTTCTTGTTTCTTCCTTTTCTTTTGCTACATTCACCTCCTCTCTTTTACCTTGTCTTGGATCATATACCGCCATTTTATAACCGTAAGCATCCACCACCAAAACCTTCCCCTCCAGAGAGGCGCAATACGGCGAAGATATCCATCGGAGTTTCTCCTCCCTGCGAAACTCCAAATCCGCGTCTTCGGATCAAAAACCTCCACTTGCATCCCCTTATCTCCCTTATACCCTCCTCCGATCACGTATATCTTCCCGTCGACCACTTCCACGGCGCAGAAACCCCTGCGGTGAAACTTCATGCTTGGCCCTTGAGTTAAGTCTCCGGAACGAGTGTCAAAAATCCAGAGATCCGTGGAGGAGTCGGAGTCTTCTTCGGAGTCGCAGCCAACGAAGTAGATCTCTGACCCAACGGCGACGACACGTGTAGGAAAAAATGCATAACCATTACTAGGGAGCGGAACTGAGAATGGGACCAGTCGGTACTCAATCGTCTTCCTCTTTTCATTCTCAATCTCAATGGAACGGAGAGTGAACCATTGGAAGACACGGCCAATGTCTCCATACGAGACGGAGACATAGACGGAGTCTTGTGGAGGAGGAGCGATCGGATTTGGTGAAACTCAAACTCGGGGGACCGAACAAGAGACCTGAAAGTCTTGTTCACGTGAGATACGTTGAGGTGAGAGCTTCTTGGGACTCCGAGCAAGCACCTCAAGATCGCGTCATCTGGCAACGATGATAATGATAACGACGATGATGGTGATGATTGGTTATCTCCATGCACTCGCTTTTTGGTTGGTGAAAGAGACATCTTGTGGTTGAGACAGGAACACATGAAAATGAAGATATATATATACGTGGCGTTTTACAATTTTTAGGGTTTTTGTTTCGAAAAGCAGAAGACTATTGAAAATTGATTATTTAAAAAATAAATCACCAAGAGTTACGATAAAGAGATGCAATCTTAGCAAATCTTTTTCTTCTAAATTTTGATATTAATAGATTAGGTAAGAGATTAAAAAAAAAAACGAGTTATGAGAAAGATATATATATATATATATATATATATATATATACAACAAGACAACTCTTTATCAAAAAGAGAAAGAGATCCAGCCTTTCAAAAATAATTTTATGGAGTGTGTGAAAATATACAATAGATGAAAGTTAAGAAGATACGATTTTCCAAAATATTTTCAGGATTATTAAAACGAAATGGATTGACTAGAAATGTATAATACACAAAATGACAAAATTGTTGTATGATTATGTAAAGTTACAAACGAAGTTATATAACAAGATATCATATATGTTGTCGGGAACTTAATCGTTAAATAAAATGTTGATTGTAATTTAAATCGTTCAAAGTACACATTACGAAGATATAAGAAAAAGAATAATGGTCTCTAATTCTCTATTATCATCTTCTTCCCTTTTGCTTCTTTGAAGCTTCCTCTTTTCAAGAGCCATTCAAAACTATCACAATCTAATAGAGGGTGGAACAAATTAATGTGTATACAAATCGAGTACCTAGCTAAATAAAACCATATCAATTTTTTTAAAACAGAATCTACTGATAAATTGATTACAAATAAAAAAGTTCATATGAGTCTACGAGAACCAATCCTTAGAATGTATAGATATTTTCCAAAAACATGTAATCATCAAACAAACAAAAACGTCTAAAAATAAAACAGTGAGAGATGTATAAACTTTGTTTGAAATAAAAAAGTACAAAACAATTTGTGGATCAATGAGAAACAGCAAAACAGTGCTCAATCTTACAGTAATTAGGGACATTAGTGGCCACAACACCAGACCATTCGATCGTCCCACGAATCTTTCCTCCAACTTTATCCAATGCCATCAATCCACACTTACTATCATAATTCTTCTCCTCCTGACTAAATTTATGATGATGCCAGAAAACCGCAAGCTTACCATGATATTCCACCATTGCATCCACATCAAAGTAATCAGTGACATCAAAGATATAATCAGATTCAGACATAACCAACCTTGTCCAAACACTACGCTTTATGTCAAACCACATAAACCCACTACTAATAAAACAACCATAGAGCACATTCTCAACCGCACACACACAAATCAGCATATCAGGAACACTTCTTCTTGTTTCTACCATTTCTTTTCCTACATTCATCTCCTCTCTTTTACCTTGTCTCGGATCATATACCGCGATGACATAACCGCGATCATGCACCGTAACAACCTTCCCCTCCAGAGTGGCGCAAAACTGCGACCGTAGCCATGGGAGTTTCTCCTCCCATGCGAAACTCCAAATCCGCGTCTTCGGATCAAAAACCTCCACTCGCATCTCCTCTGCTCCCTTATACTCTCCTCCGATCACGTATATCTTCCCCTCGACCACTTCCACGGCGGCGTACGCCCTGCGGTGAAACTTCATGCTTGGTCCTTGAGTTAAGTTTCCGGATCGAGTGTCAAAGATCCAGAGATCCTTGTAGGAGTCGGAGTCTTCTTTGGAGTTGTAGCCAATGAAGTAGATCTCTGACCCAACGGCGAGGACATCTGAAGGAACAAACGCAAAGCCATTACTAGGACGCGGAATTGAGAATGGGACAAGTCGATACTCAATCGTCTTCTTCTTTTCATTCTCGATCTCAAAGGGGCGGAGAGTGAACCATTGGAAGACACCGCTGTCTCCGTATGAGAAGCAGACGTAAACGGAGTCCTTGCGGAGGAGGAGCGATCGGATTTGGTGAAACTTGAACTCCGGCGACCGAACAAGAGACCTGAAAGTCTTGTTCACGTGAGATACGTTGAGGTGAGAGCTTCTTGGTACTCCGAGCAAGCACCTCAAGATTGCGTCATTTGGCAACGATGATAAAGATAACGAGGATGATGATGATGATGAATGGCTATTATCTTCATGCACTGGCTTTTTGGTTGGTGAAAGAGACATCGTATCGTTGAGGCAGGAACACATGAAGATGTTGATAACTCTAGCAAGTACTTATATATATACGTGGCGTTTTGCAATTTTAGGGTTCTTTTAACAAATAATTAATTATTAAAAAAAAATGACGAAGAGTTACGATTGAAAGATGCAATCTTGTAAAATCGTTTTCTTCTAAATTTTGATATTAATAGATTAGGTAAGAGATAAAAAAAAAAAAAAAACGAGTTATGAGAAAGAGATATATACAACAAGACAACTCTTTATCAAAAAGAGAAAGAGATCCAGCCTTTTTAAAAATAATTTTATGGAGTATGACAAAAAGCAAAGCAAAAAAAAATGAGAGTTATGAGAAAGAGATACTGTACAACGTTTCAAAATAAGTCTATGTGAAAATCAGGTATAAGTGAAAATGTATACTATCGAAGTTATAAGAAGATACGAGTTTCCAAAGTATGTTTAAGGTTATTAAAAATGATCAACTAAAATTGTATAATACACAAACTTGTTATAAAGATGCAACTCTCCAAAGTAAGTTTAGAGATTGTTATGATTATGAAAAGTTACACAATAGAAGAATGTTATCTACGAATATGTTTTCTAATATCTCTTACCAGATTATTCAACTTTTCATGATTATGTTCCTTTTATAGTTACGAATACGATCTACACAGTAATTAATTTCATTGACTCATCCTACATTCCTATTAATATTCAACTGTAAGAGTAAGACGACAGGGGGTTTGGACTTTGGAACCCAAAATCAACACTTGAGAATTGAGATACTCTTCTAAGATGTGTATTGTACTTGTTAAATTTGTTTTCCTGATTTAAAGTTTAACTATTTAATTCAAAATTTATTTGTTATATTCTAATTCAGTATTAACTATCTCACCGATGAAGATGCCGTAAGATTTAAGAAAAAGAACAATGGTAATGTATATATATTAGATTCACATTTCCAAATGTCTAAGCTTTTCTTCTCGCTAATCATCATCTCCTATCTATATTATATAGCTACATAAAACCATATCAATTTTCGAAAACAGAAGCTACTGATAAATTGTTTACAAATAAAAAAAGTTCATATAAATCTACGAGAAGCAATCCTTAGAATGTATAAACATGTAATCATCAAACAAACAAAAACGTCTTACAAATAAAACAGTGAGAGAGATGTATAAACTTTGTTTGAAATAAAACATTCTACAAAACAATTTGAGGATCATCAATGAGAAACAGCAACACAGTGCGCAATCATAAAGTCATCAGAGAAAGTGGCCACAACACCAGACCATTCGATCGTCCCACGAATCTTTCCTCCAACCCTATCCAATGCCATCACTCCACACATACTATCATAATTCTTCTCCTCCTCACAATGACGCCAGAAAACCGCAAGCTTACCATGATATTCCACCATTGCACCCACCTTAAAGTAATCAGTGGACCCCTTCCCCTTGACATCAAAGACATAATCAGATTCAGACACAACCAACCTTGTCCACACACTACGCTTTGTGTCAAACCACACAATCCCACTATAACTAAAACAGCCATAGAGCACATTCTCCACCGCACACACACAAATCAGAAAATCATAATCAGGTCTTCCAATTTCTTCCATTTCTTTTGCTACACTCATATCCTCTCTTTTACCTTGTCTCGCATTATACACCACGAACTCATCACCGTCTTCTTCCACCGCAAACACCTTCCCCTCCAGAGAGGCGCAAAACGGCGAAGTTAGCCATTGGATTCTCTCCTCCCCTGCGAAGCTCCAAACCCGCGTCTTCGGATCAAAAACCTCCACTTGCATCCCCTCATCTCCATGATACCCTCCTACGATCACGTATATCTTCCCGTCGACCACTTCCACGGCGGAGAAAAACCTTCCGTCAGACTTCATGCTTGGTCCTTGTGTTAATTTTCCGGATCGCGTGTCGAAAATCCAAAGATCCGTCTCGGAGTCGGAGTTGCTGCCAACGAAGTAGATCTCTGACCCGATGGCGACGGCTATTGAAGGAACAAACGCAAAGCCATTACTAGGGAGAGGAATTGAGAATGGGACAAGTCGATACTCAACCGTCTTCTTCTTCTTCTTCTCATTCTCAATCTCAGTGGGACGGAGAGTGAACCATTGGAAGACATCGTCAATGTCTGCGCATGAGAAGGAGACGTAAACGGAGTCCTTGCGGAGGAGGAGCGATCGGATTTGGTGAAATTGAAACTCGGGTGAGCGAACAAGAGACCTGAAAGTCTTGTTCACGTGAGATACGTTGAGGTGAGAGCTTCTTGGTACTCCGAGCAAGCACCTCAAGATCGTGTCATTTGGCAACGATGATAATGATAACGACGATGATGATGGTGATGAATGGTTATTATCTTCATGCACTCGCTTTTTGTTTGGTGAGAGAGACATCGTAAGTAACGTTGACTCGTTGAGGCAGGAGGAACAGATGAAAATGAAGATAACCCGTGTATATATATGTGGGCGTTTTACAATTTTAGGGTTTTTTAACAAAAAAAATAATTATTAAAAAAAATGACGAAGAGTTACATGAAAGAGATGCAATCTTGTAAAATCTTTTTCTTCTAAATTTTGATATTCATAGATTAGGTTATAGATAAAGCAAAAAAAAAAAAAGAGTTATGAGAAAGAGATACTGTAATAAGTGAAAAAGACGATCTCGAAGTTATGTGAAAATCAGGTTGTAATAACTGAAAATGTACAATATCGAAGTTATAAGAAGATACGAGTTTCAAAGCATGTTTAGGATTATTAAAAATGTATAATACACAAAATTGTTATGAAGATGCAACTCCCAAAATAAGTTTTGAGATTATGAAAAGTTACAACGAAGATTATATTAAAAGCACAAGATATTACAAAAAAAAATGATAAGCTAATAAACAACGGTGTTAAGTGAAAAGATGTATCGAACAATGAATGATAAAGAAAAAATGTAGTAGAAATCAAACGAAAAATCGATGGGAGCGAACGAAGATAAAAGAAAAAGAATAATGGTTTCATATTCTCATCTTCTTCTCTTTTGCTACTTTAAAAGCTTTCCTCTTTTCAAGAGCCATTCCAAATACCACAATCTAATTAATAGAGTAGTAGTAGAACAAATTAATGTGTATACATTAGATTTCACATTTCCAAAATGTCAAAACTTTTCTTCCTTCTTTCTTTCTAATCAATAATCATCATCTGCTACTATTAGCAGTCTTGTTCTTGCTCATATCAGCAAGTTCCTCAATAAGTTTCTTCTCTTCTTTGCTCAATCTCTTAGGTATCTCCACCTGCACTCTCACCAACTGATCCCCTCTCATATTACTCTTGTTCAACACCGGAACTCCCTTCTTCGCCATCACCAGCGTCGTGCTCGGCTGTGTCCCCGCCGGTACTTTCAAATCCACCGTCCCATCCACCGTCGGCACCTTCAACGTCGTCCCCAAAATCGCGTCGATGTAAGAGATCTTGCACGTGTAGAGGATGTTAGTGTCGTCCCGTTTCAAGACCGGGTCCGGTATAACCTCTATGACAACAAAAAGATCTCCAGATGATCCTCCTCTCTTCCCTGCATTGCCTTCTCCTCTCACTCTCAACCTGCTACCGGAATCAACCCCGGCAGGGACTTTGAGACTTATCCGTTTCGTCTTCCTCACGCGTCCGTCTCCTGAGCAAGTACCGCAAGGCGTTGAGATCTCTCCAGTGCCGTTACAGGAGGAGCAAGTCATGACTTGTTGGAACACTCCGAGAGGAGTTCTTGCTGATGAAACCACTTGGCCTTGTCCACCGCAGGTGGTGCATTTGCTCGGTTTGGTTCCTGGTTTTGCGCCTGAACCTTCGCAAGTCCCGCAGCTTTCGAGCCTGGATATCTCAATCTCTTTCTCCATACCGAAAACCGCTTCTTTGAAGTTCAAGATTAGCGTGTAGTACTCGTCTTGACCATCCACTGCTCTGCTTCTTGAACCTCTCCCCATTCCTCCTCCTCCTCCCATCCCTCCCATGCCTTCGAATAACGACTCAAATAGATCGAACGGATTACTAAAATCCTATATATATAAAAAAGCAAATCAAGAAGTGATCTGAGAGTTGGTTTTGAGTAATGCTTTGTGTTTGAACAACGTACCCCCATGCCTCCACCCATACCAGCAGCGCCTTTAAGTCCAGCTTCACCATACCTATCGTAAATAGATTTCTTTTCATCATCTGATAAAACCTGTTGAAGAAAAAATTTGTTTCTTTATTGAACAGAAACCTCAGAAAAGGTCTAAACAAGGATCGCTACAAGTTTGAGATTGAGTCTAGAAACAAAGAAGAGATTGAGTTTTGGTTTCACCTCATATGCATTACTTATTTCTTTGAATTTCTCTTCTGCACCAGGTTCCCTGTAAGCACATAATTATAAACTTGTAAACAAGAAGGTGACATTTGCAGTCATCTCTGTTCTCAAGATATAATACAGTGCCATTCTTCATATAAATGAAGTTTTTAACTTACTTGTTAACATCTGGATGGTAACTCCTAGCCAGCTTCCGATAAGCTGAAACAAGAGCAAGAGAAGAGTGAATCAAGGGGTTTGTTTGATCATGCATGGAATTTCTCAGTTTTGAGAAAAAACATAGAGACATACCGCTTTTAATCTCAGCTTTGGTTGCATTTTTCGAAACTCCGAGGACTGTATAGTAATCCTAGCATTACACACAAATCAGCCATAAGCAATCAAGATCACATAACAGTAGTTGATCTAAGCAAGACAGTGAAGTGAGAGTAGGAAGACGCACTGCATCAGCTCTAACAGTGAAGCGAGATCCTCTCCGAGGAGGATGCATATTTCTGGACGTTCCCGCCATTGACAAGAAAGGCAATGACCCATTTGAGAACATACTCGACCTTGAAGCTCCCAAACAATTTATTTGGCTCATACAACTGCAAAAGGTAACCAAAAGAAAGACTATTTCATATGTATATAACTCTCAGTCTCTAAAGCTATAAAACTCTCTCAGTCTCGAAATCACATAATCCTAACTTTAATACTAATTCTCCATAGACTAATCCTAAGATGCGCAATATGAACAAATCAAAATCCTTAAAAAGTCTTTAAAGCTACAGAATAGTAAACCAAACTAGTTTCAGTATCACTATGCCAAGAACTTAAGCCAATCGGTAGAGACATAAACAGAAAAATTCGTACTTTTGTTGGCGGGTTGATTCAACTCTGCTCGGATAATAAGCTCTCACTGCAAACTGAGGACGAATACTCCATTGAGGGACACATGTACTTCCAAATTGTAACAGAGCCATTTTAGCTCAATACAAATACACTCCCTGCAACAACAATTAAGTAGCTTTCAGCCTAAAAAATCTGGTTTTCTTACTCTACAGAATGCAGAAAACAATCATGATTCCGAAAGCTAAACCCAACAAGAAAAATCATTCAAACTTTAAAAAGCAAATGCAATTCACACGAGCAAAAACAATAAAGGTTTCATTTTTACACTTAATTTCAAAATCCCAATCAGAAAAAAGAATTCCAATTTCTTAATCCGAGCAAAGAGGCAATACCAATCACAAAAATTCGATTTCTTAATTGACTGAACCAATGAAGCAAAATCATTTCTATAGAAATCCGAGCTGGGCAGGATATTAGGCTAAGGAAATTTGCTATGCCGATTACACAAGCCGCAATTTTACACTCTCCGGGGGGAAAAGTTATCAGTCAAACAAACTGTGTAAAACTTCGAAAACGTTGTTGCTTCAATGGTTCCAATCGAAAAACTAAAAGAGAAGAGGCGAATACAGAGATTTCTCTATAGTGGAGGAAACTAGTTGAAGAAGGTGAATCATACCGTAATCACTGGTGGTCGAGAGAAGGAAGAGCTGTGCGAGCGAGAGAGAGAGAGATAAGAAAAGAAAACTGAGTTGAGAAACGAATGAAAGGAGTTCGCTAGAAGAACGTATCCCTTTTTTTTTTTCTTGTTTTAAATTTTTGTTGTTTTTGTTTATATAATTTTGATAAATTATATATGAAAGAACAAAAATAAATAAATAAATTATTGTTAGGTGGAGAAAAAGGACTAAGAAATTATAATCTTTGCAAGGCATGGGAATCTAGAATGAATATTAAATGGAATCATACTGATAGAACCTTTATACAAAAAATATAGACGAATATTGAACAGTATGGAATTTCAAAGAAGTGTTGGTGACATATCGACTTTGTTGGTATTCTCTCATTTTCATATACTTTCAGTTAAGTTTATAACTTTTTTACCCAATAAATTAGATTAAAAATTGATTATATATAGCTTTAAAAACCTACTTTTTTGTCACCAATCTCCCTTTGTCACACTATTCACTAGTACTCCAAAATAGTACAAAAAGAGTTTAATACAAACTGATATTTCCAAACTGCTACATACTTAGAAATTGGAGCCTGTCCTGTTTCGCTAATAACATCAGCCACATGATTTAGCATTCCTATAAACATACATGATTACAAAAGTACGAGCAGGAGAGTGGCTAGTTTTAGAATTCGTCTAGTAATGGAGGATATGGAGAGATGATGCCCAACAGCCAACTACTGTATAAAGGGGGTTTTGGAAATTTAAAAGAATCACAAAAGGTTGCCTTGTTATGTAAACCATCTTTTTTTTTTTAACTTTATACATTATCATACGTAGGAGCTCCAAATGTTTTTACAATTCGAAAGGATGCAATGTTTTCATGCAAGAAATTTGTTAGAATTTTGTACACTTGTGGGACTTGACATAAGTGTCAGCTCCCAAATCCTTGAAGCCTAATGAGTAAAACATTCATCTCATCGATGCTTAATAAGAGTCATTCACCACTTCCCATGAATTCTCTCTCTCCCCTCTCTTCTCAAAACTCAAACCGTAGCATTCTTGATATGATCTTGAGTCACTTTGTCGTCTACAAGAAAAGAGTTGATATGTTTATACATCTTTTTCGGACTATCTTCATTAATCGCATGACCTGTCTTCTTTAGTAATACCAGCTTTGCGATGTTCTCACCAATATGTCTGCAAATACCAAGAACTGATCAGTAAGAGCTTTTGTAGCAACAAACCACAATGATGACTCGTGTAGGAGAAAAAGAGAACCTTTTTAATCGATGTCCTAATTCTACTGGAAATATTTGATCTTCCTCTCCCCAAATCATCAATGTTGGCTGCATCAAATCACATTGTCATTAATCAAACATTTATTGTAACGAAAAAAAATGAGGAAATATATTGTTTCTCAATTAGCTTCACTCTTTTTATGGACTCTACACTAAGCTGCTGTGGCTTAGCTTCAAGATTTAATTAATTAAGATCCAAAATGAACATGAAGACAACGATTTTGGGTGTCTGAAGAATCAGAAACCTGTGATATCTTGGTAAGGTCGGTGACTCTCCTGCCTTTGTAGAGAGTTTCAACCAAATCTTTCTTCTCTTGAATATGCTCACTACACATCACCTGTCATAAAATTCAAAAGCAAATATTTATTAAGTATCATAAAGATTTTCAGCCAAAAAAACCTTTGTGAGGTTTTACTATTCAAAACCTCACATTTAATATTTCATGTTTTATTTGCATTTTAGTTTTTATAATTATATATTTCACGAATAGTTTTATTAATTTTTCATTTTCTTCCTAACAGGCAAGCCTTAAGTAAAATGATAGGCCCAAGAAGAGTTAAACACCGTCTTTGTTGAGCGTGGAAAAGGAAGAAGTTGGATTGGCCTTGAAGAAAAAGAAAGTCTTTGCTATTGCTTTATTATATATAGACTACTTTTATGTTTTACCTAGCTATGCTGAATAACCTAGTTGTCATTGGCTTTGGCGTGATGAGTCTTGCCCTGGTCGCCATGAGACCTTGCTAAGATCGCTATGAGATCTTGAGTGCTTTTTATCTATCTATCTATCTAGTGCTTTCTCTCTATTTATCTATTGTAATCGGTGTTATTCTAATAAAGAAGAGGATTTAGGGTTTGGGTTCTTAACATAAAACCTTACATGGATAAAGTCCTTGGCAAACCAAGAAGGGATTCGACTTGGTGGTTTGTAGAAGGATAACCGGAGAAGTTGCCGGAACATCGCCGGCGATTGAGGAAACAGAATCTCCGCCGCCTCCTCTATGCTCTTCACCTTTAAGAACCCTTCCTCCTCCATATCTTTCTCCTCAAGAGACACTCCAGAGCCTATCAGCACCACCCGCTCTACCTTCTCCTTAAACTGCGCCGCCATAGCGTACGCCACAAACCCGCCGTAGCTGAGCCCGGCGACGGACATGGTTCGAACGCCGTGAGCCTCCATCACCGCCATCACGCAGCTCGCCTGGAAAGACTCGGATCTCTCGGACCGAGTCGTGGACGAGTCGCCGAAGAAGAGGAGATCCGGTACGTAGACGTTAAATCGGGTGATAAACCGGTCGATGAACCGGTTCCATTGCCACATGGCATTAGCGCCGATCCCGTGGAGAAGGACGAGCGTGGGCTTGGTTTTGACATGTGTCCGTGGGACCCAGCAGTGCATCACAGTTCCGTCTCCGAGATCGGTGGTTGAAGATCGGAGACCGGAGTATGAGAAACTGTACTCGAGACACTTGTTCCCACAGGCCACGAAGCTGAAACAACTCCCCATTGATGATTAGACAACTCCAAAAGTTTTTAATTGCAGAGAAAACTTGACAGAGAAGGAAATATATACTCCCTCCGTTTCAAATTAGTTGTCGTTTTGGCAAAATGTATCTGCAAATATTTGGACGTATCTGGACGTGTTTTGCATTGCAGATACGTCCAAATATTTGCAGATACATTTTGCCAAAACGACAACTAATTTGAAACGGAGGGAGTATTAGGTAACTGTATCGACGAAGTACTAACGTGTCTACTTCTCATTGGCTATATATTTTAAACAAAAACATATTTGCCAAATTACTATTTTTTCTGTTTTGTTGTTATTTAAGACGATTTCCACTGTTGACTTTGTTTTAATTTATGAACTCAATTTGTCATTTCTTTTTTTTTCAAACTTGGAATTCTTATTGGTTTTTAATTTTTTTTAAAGTAATGTTTATGTTGACAAAAACAAATTTCTCTCAATGGTATAGATCACGTCTGTGAAACATAGTAGCTTTTTGTTAAATGAATCTTTCAATGGGTGGATGAACTTGGAAAGCAGAAAAGTTGACCTTTCGTAATTAATTAATGATTTCAAATTATTTAAACAATAATTGAACTGATGAACTTTTGTAATCAGTTGAACTGAAATCATTTGTTTAGGTATAGTTGAAAATTTGATATAACAAAAAATTGAAAACGAGAAAAGCGTGCTCGATCAGTTCTTTACATGGCCGGCATATGCTTCGTCAACTTGTTAAATTGTTTTGGCATATCAAGTTTTAGCTTTATGGTAATTGGAAAGCATAACATTAGGTTGTCTCTTTACCACATCTAACGGTGGACATTTTTATCCCACCGAACCACAAACGGCTCTATTTGCACTATGTTTTACACCATGACAAACATACTCTTAATAAATTTCCCTCTATTAATATGCATAATCAACATTTTTTTTAAGCTTCAAAATCTAACCCGGTGTATAAACATTAGTTAACTATTGGTCCACCAAGATTTAGACTGTAGAGTCATCGAACTAAATTATTATTTTTTGTCAACATTGTATAAGATCTTGAAAGAAACATAGTACACTAAGAGCATGTGCAATGCACATACCCATATGGGTATGTTCCCACATTTAATATATTAAAAATAATATTATTTTAGTTAAAGATTTTTGGAAGAAACTTGAGAATTATGGCACAACATTGCACATACCATATGGGTTTCTTTAAAAAAAAAAATTATGATTTTTTTTGAAGTATTTATAAAATTGAAGAAAATATTATTATTCATAATAACTATTACGAACACATTATTAAAAAGACAAATACAACATTTATTACATATAAAACGAGGAAAAAAACGCATACAGAGAAAACACAAAGACAAACATACATGTTCTAAACCATATGAAAACATGATTAATGACCAAATTTGTTCCAAATATGCTCAACCAAATCAGCTTTCAATTGGTGATGCTTTTGTTGGTCACGAATATCAGCTCGATTAGCCATAATATTGTGGACATTCGACGGCAAGCGGTCAGGGGGACGTACTCGTGAAGACCCGCTCCCGTCTGCTCCTCCTTGTTGGAATTCCGTTACGTTATCTATAGTTTCAGCGTCTCTTTCATCTTCCACAATCATATTGTGTAATATGATACAAGCCTTCATTATATTCCCTATCTTCTCCTTATCCATGGTAAGAGACGGGTTTTTAACAATTGCAAATCGAGCTTGTAAGACTCCAAAAGCGCGCTCAACTTCTTTGCGGGCAAACGATTGATGGGCACAAAATAATTTTGCTTTCGGTTCTCCTGGCTGAGGAATTGGTTTGACAAAAGTCGACCATTCCGGATATATACCATCTGTGAGATAGTAAGCCTTCTTGTATCGGTGTCCATTAACAGAGAATGACACCTTAGGAGCTCGACCTTCTAATATATCATCAAACACGGGTGAGCGGTGGAGAACATTAATGTCGTTTAAAGTACCTGGAGGTCCGAAAAATGCGTGCCAAATCCACAGATCATACGACGCGACAGCCTCTAAAACGATTGTTGGTTTTGCATGACCCCGTGCATATTGCCCTTTCCATTCCGTGGGACAATTTTTCCACTCCCAATGCATACAGTCAATGCTTCCTATTGAGCCAGGAAATCCACGCGTCTCTCCGAACCTTGAGTAATCGTTTAAGATCTGCTGGTGTAGGCCTTCTGAGATAGTCCTCCTCGTAAAAACCGATGATTGCGTTGGTAAATTTATGCAAGCATTTCAGCGCAGTGCTCGCTCCTAGTCTGAGGTATTCATCGACTGCATCAGCTGCATTGCCATATGCGAGCATACGAATGGCGGCAGTGCATTTTTGTAAGCCGGTCAAACCGGGCTTTCCAGTACCATCCGGTATGTGCTGAAAGAAGGGTAAGTCGGATAGCTTGTTAACTATGCGCATGAACAATGGTCGGTTCATCCGAAAGCGACGTCGGAAAATAGGTCGGGATAGATAGGCATTCTCACTGAAATAATCATTGATCAAGCGGATGTTCCCTTCTTCACGTCTTCGATCTATGACCGCTCGTTTCTTCCTTCTCTTCTCTGGCTCAAGAACTTCATTTATATCATCCAAACACTCTCTCATAGAGCTTGCAAACTCATAATCAATTGCTTGTTGAAACTCATCATCAAATGAGAAAGGATGGTTGGAAGATGATGCCATTTTTAGGTTTCTTTGCAATTATGAAAAGAGTTGGTGTTTGTATGTAGTAAAGATTTTTTTGATAGAGAGTGTATGAGAGATTTGTTTGATAGAGAGTGTATGAGAGATTTGGAATGATAGAGGTTGTGTGAGAGAGTTGGGGTTTCTTTGCAATAAAAGAAGAGAGTGCAATAAAGAACTTGTAAAAGAAGAGAGTGCAATAAAGATTTTTTTGTGTTGCAATAAAAGAAGAGAGTGCAATGAAAGGAGTTTATGATACAACAATACCAAGACGCAAACGTTTTATAGAGTTGGCCGAGAGTCACATGTGACTTGGCCGAGACAAAACACAAACAAAGAGACACAACACAAACAAACGAAAACAGTGGCCGAGTTTGTTTTAATGTGGCCGACCAAACTAAAAAACAAGACTCAAAAAAGAAAAACAGTTGTGTCACACATACGACCAACACTCTTAGGTCGGCAACAACAACCAAACACGTTTTCAGTCACAAGAAGGAGAGAACGAAGATGTCGGCAACAACAACTACACTTCTATTGCTCCATGCTCCTTTTTAGTCTGCATACACGCAAAAACAAGAGCTTATAAACACAGTACATATCATAATCAACAACATTACCTAAGATGTCGGCAAGAACAATACAGTTATGCAAATTGATAAATACTTAGTTATCATAAATACTTGAAAGAACACTTAACCTAATTTCAAGAGTAATTTAAACCACATATGCAAATTGATGGAAGCAGAACACATTACCTAAGTTCAACGAAAATTGAAAGAACACAGGCAAATTGATGGAAGCAGAACACATTACCTAAGTTCAAGGATCGTTTCACCACTTGCGCCTTTTCTCCCATCTTCGCAGAGGTCTCTTTCAGACACCCTAAACAATCCTCCATCTCTCTATCGGCCTCACGGGAAGCTGCTCCACAGTCCAAGCAATCTTGCTCTGCTTCCATCAGTAAGTTTTCACAGGCGGCCATATCTTCCCTCAACTGGAGTGTGTGACGCTGAAGAGACCTAAACCGATCGTAAGATGCCATGAATGCTTTCTGAACATGTTTGTGTTTGATTTGGAGCAAGTCCAACCGGCGCTTTTCCGAGTTGTACATCTCAAGCAGGTCCTGCAAGAACCATATATAGGAAGCAGAGCGTTAAACTTCAAGCCCACGACATACACAACTAACATGACCATCACAGAAGCAAAAACAGCAATATTAACAACAATACGAAAACACGAGTGTAACTAAACTCAGTATTGGCAAATTTGTAGTTTAATGGAACCAATCATGAACCTGAATACCAATATTTGTTTTCCATAAACATTACATGAAGCATTAAACAAGAATAAAACATTACTTTCATAAAACAAGTTTAACATTACCACGAAGCATTAAAACATGATTTTCATATAAGGAAACAGGGAACACAAGGCATTAAGACAAGGCATTAAGAAAAGGCATTAAGACAAGGCATTAGGACATTTCACTTAACGAAACCTAAAGATAAAACCGACTAAATAGCTTATCCTTGACCGCTTTCTCTATATCGTTAAGTGGTTCGGTTTTTCCTAAGAGGTTAGATAGGACTTGTTTATCCGCTAATATCTCTTTGTTAGTGAACTCCTTCTCACTTAGAGCAGCCACGGCTTCGAGGTTCTTCAAAGCAGCCTCCCTGTCTTCGCTGGTTCTCTTCACGGTCTTGGATCCTCTCAACTTTGCAGCCTTTGCTGCCTTCACACCCATCGGTCTCTCTTCTTCTGGTTCCTCCCTCGGACCAACGCCTCCGGAATCATGTGGCTGTGCTCGTTTGCTCTGCCTTTTGCCTTTATCTGTTGTTTGAGAACGCCACTTCTGATCGTTTCTAAGAGCTCTCCACGCATGGGCTAAGACGAAGTTGGTCTTATGATCCTGGTAATAGAACTTGTAAGCCATCTGGAAGATATCATCATCGGATTGGCCACTTGTAGCTTGACGGCTCGCCATGTCAAAGCATCCGCAAAACCACTGCACTTCTTTGTTTATTTTCGTCCATCTCTGCTTGCAAGTATTCCACAGGCGAGGAGGGAAGTCCTTAACCGCAGTACACCCATGATAGTAGATGCAAACCCGTTTCCAAAACGCTTGAGCTTTCTGTTCATTTGCAGTCACGCCATCTTTGCTAGTGTTTAACCACGCGGTCACCAGCGCCCCATCTTCTGCGATTGACCATCTTCTTCTTGCTTCCCGTGTAGCCAATGGTGAGCTCTCGTCTACGTCATCAGCGTCATCTGCTGTGGAGCTGGTTTGGGTACTAAAGTTAGGAGGTTGGTCACCGAAGAGAGGTGTCTGAGTACTAAACAGAGGAGTTTGGGTACCAAAGAGAGGTGTTTGGGTACTAAAGGAAGGTGATTGGGTACTAAACGAAGGTGATTGGGTACAAAATGGAGGTGTTTGAGGTGTACCGGTTTGGTTCATGAGGTATGTGAAGGATCTAGGAAAGCTCGAGGGACTATTGGAACCCATTTCGTAAACAGAAAAGAGATGAGTGAAGAAGAACTCGTGTTTTAGGGTTAGCGATATGAGTGAAGAAGAAGCTCATCAAGTTGTGTTTTTATAGGCAAAGAGGGTTTACTAAAAGCGACAAGACATGAAACTGTTTTTAAATTTTTTTTAACTCATTTAACTCTACACTTTAGTGGTTGACATTGCATTTAACTCAACATGACTCAACATACAAGCAAAATTCCTAATCGCTCACAACCTAAATCAGACCTATGAACCAATTACAAAGCAAACAACAACCGCAACCATTAACACCTCTCTACCTAAACAGCAAACAATAACTACAGCCGCAAGCTAATCTATCACACAAAGGCGGAAACCTAACCTTTACTTTCTCGAGCTGATTTGAGTTGCCATCATCTCCACTAGCTGTCTTCTTCGACGCCATCTCGAGACATGAGGAAAAAGAAGAAAGAATACATGTTAGTTAAAAGAAAAGAGCATTCAAAGCTCTAAGATTAATGCTTTCTAGTTCCGTTTGGATTTGTATGAATCATAAAACACAAGAGACACCAAAAGCATTATAGTATATGTTCCGTTGGATTCAGATATGGTAAGAATCAATGTCACGCAGAAACATTCAACCGTACATGATACAACAAAAGGAATCAACATGAGCTCGCAAACCATTTCCGGGAGATTACAATCACGGTTCATACACAAAAGGAATAAACAGTTTCACACAATTCGATTCACCTCAGATTAAATCAGGACAACCACACATGGCAAATCAATTAAACATTTCCAGCAAACTCAATTTCCTAAATCACAAATCCGATTTACGTTTTCAAACTACTCAACCACCAAAATTCATTTTATACTGACTTTGGATAGAGGTCCATACCTGAGAAACTCGCCGAAATTCAAAATAACTCGCCGGAAATCGCCTGAGATCGAACACGAAAAACAAATGCGAGACGACGAAGAAGATGAAGAAGAACAGAGGACAAGAAGAAATGACGAAGGAGAAGAAGAAATGGACGAAGGAGAGGAAGAACAGAGCATAAACGGGTATCGGAGACAGAATTCGTGTCGCCGATTTTCAGATCGGTGTGAGAGACGGAGAAAGCGAGGAGGCAACTGAAATGAAAAAACAAAAAAAAAATTCGAGACACCGAATTTTTCCACGACGCGACTCCTTCTGCAGCTGACACGTGGCCGCAGCAACCGGTTCTGGACTGCTTCCTGGAGAGACGATTGTTTAAATTGGGCCCGCCACATGTGAATTGTTTTGCAATTTTTCTTTATTTTTGGGCTAAAGCACCGATGCAAACATGTGCGTTGCACTTGCTCTAAGAGCATGTGCAATGGTAAGTTTCACATGAGTTTCTTTAACAATAATAAACAAATGATTCTTGAAATAAAGAAAAATGATTTTCAGAAAAAAAAGGTGATGAATCACATAGTGACACCTGTAGAAATCTTATGCACATGAGTCTCTACAGTCTCTCCACACAGACGGATCTGGGCTGCTTTAATGTCATGTGGGTATTTATTTGTTTTATTTCTTTTCTTTTGGGCTTGAGAGACTATGAAAAACTCTCCGGTGCACTTATCTAAATACTAAACCATTAATGACTTTTGGGCCAGTACCTTTGCCTTAGGTGTCTTTGCGACTACATGACAGGGTTCATTGAAATGGGTTTCCAAATGGGCCATATGAATAGAAGAAATACAGAGTGCAAACCGAAACAAAGAGATACTCGATGTGAGTACCTTCTTATTGATTATCAATGCAAAACCAAAATTTATAACAGAAACAAACGTAAAAAGCAGAAGGAAACACACTTCAAGTGTTTCCAAGAAAAACCAAAACCAAACAAACTTTGGTTCATGATTGACCAAACTTTTGGTTATACACTTATATAGATAAATATAAATTATTCATATAATATCCACATATGAATATCCTCGCCGTACGTCACCGCCGCCTCAATTTACCCTCGGGTAAAGATCCTCCGACAATCTCAATTCTCCGACCACAACTAAAGGCTTTGCAAGAAACATATCATGACTCGATTCCATCAACTCAACACGTGTCTGACCTCCAGCTAGTTTCCAGTCAAACCCTTGCAAAAGCCTAGCTAGCATCATGACGGTTATCGCCGTCCCTAACGCCGGAGCAGCACATCCTCTTTTCCCGGTACTAAACGAGATAAACCGGAGATCGTTCTCGGTTAAAGTCACTTCCAAACACTCGTTGAGATGTCTCTCCGGTTTAAAGCTAAGAGGATCAGACCAAACCTTAGGGTTACGACCAAGACCGTAACGGCTAAGTAAAACTTGACTTCCTTTAGGGATATGGTAACCTGCGACGGTTGTATCGGAGAGTGCAACGTGTGGGAGATTAAAGGCGGCGACGGGATGAAGACGGAAAGCTTCTCGGATAATAGCTTTGAGATAGTTAAGCTTTGGTATGTCGGATTCTTGAACAAGTCTTTGTTTACCGACGACTCTTTCGATCTCTTCCATTGCTAATCTATCACACAAAGGCGGAAACCTAACCTTTACTTTCTCGAGCTGATTTGAGTTGTCATCATCTCCACTAGCTGTCTTCTTCGACGCCATCTCGAAACATGAGGAAAAAGAAGAAAGAATACATGTTAGTTAAAAGAAAAGAGCATTCAAAGTTCTAAGATTAATGCTTTCTAGTTCCGTTTGGATTTGTATGAATCATAAAACACAAGAGACACCAAAAGCATTATAGTATATGTTCCGTTGGATTCAGATATGGTAAGAATCAATGTCACGCAGAAACCATTCAACCGTACATGATACAACAAAAGGAATGAACATGAGCTCGCAAACCATTTCCGGGAGATTACAATCACGGTTCATACACAAAAGGAATAAACAGTTTCACACAATTCGATTCACCTCAAATTAAATTGGACAACCACACATGGCAAATCAATTAAACATTTCCAGCAAACTCAATTTCCTAAATCACAAATCCGATTTACGTTTTCAAACTACTCAACCACCAAAATTCATTTTATACTGACTTTGGATAGAGGTCCATACCTGAGAAACTCGCCGAAATTCAAAATAACTCGCCGGAAATCGCCTGAGATCGAACACGGAAAAACAATATGCGAGACGACGAAGAAGATGAAGAAGAACAGAGGACAAGAAGAAATTGACGAAGGAGAAGAAGAAATGGACGAAGGAGAGGAAGAACAGAGCATAAACGGGTATCGGAGACAGAATTTTCGTGTCGCCGATTTTCAGATCGGTGTGAGAGACGGAGAAAGCGAGGAGGCAACTGAAATGAAAAAACAAAAAAAAAATTCGAGACACCGAATTTTTCCACGACGCGACTCCTTCTGCAGCTGACACGTGGCCGCAGCAACCGGTTCTGGACTGCTTCCTGGAGAGACGATTGTTTAAATTGGGCCCGCCACATGTGAATTGTTTTGCAATTTTTCTTTATTTTTGGGCTAAAGCACCGATGCAAACATGTGCGTTGCACTTGCTCTAAGAGCATGTGCAATGGTAAGTTTCACATGAGTTTCTTTAACAATAATAAACAAATGATTCTTGAAATAAAGAAAAATGATTTTCAGAAAAAAAAGGTGATGAATCACATAGTGACACCTGTAGAAATCTTATGCACATGAGTCTCTACAGTCTCTCCACACAGACGGATCTGGGCTGCTTTAATGTCATGTGGGTATTTATTTGTTTTATTTCTTTTCTTTTGGGCTTGAGAGACTATGAAAAACTCTCCGGTGCACTTATCTAAATACTAAACCATTAATGACTTTTGGGCCAGTACCTTTGCCTTAGGTGTCTTTGCGACTACATGACAGGGTTCATTGAAATGGGTTTCCAAATGGGCCATATGAATAGAAGAAATACAGAGTGCAAACCGAAACAAAGAGATACTCGATGTGAGTACCTTCTTATTGATTATCAATGCAAAACCAAAATTTATAACAGAAACAAACGTAAAAAGCAGAAGGAAACACACTTCAAGTGTTTCCAAGAAAAACCAAAACCAAACAAACTTTGGTTCATGATTGACCAAACTTTTGGTTATACACTTATATAGATAAATATAAATTATTCATATAATATCCACATATGAATATCCTCGCCGTACGTCACCGCCGCCTCAATTTACCCTCGGGTAAAGATCCTCCGACAATCTCAATTCTCCGACCACAACTAAAGGCTTTGCAAGAAACATATCATGACTCGATTCCATCAACTCAACACGTGTCTGACCTCCAGCTAGTTTCCAGTCAAACCCTTGCAAAAGCCTAGCTAGCATCATGACGGTTATCGCCGTCCCTAACGCCGGAGCAGCACATCCTCTTTTCCCGGTACTAAACGAGATAAACCGGAGATCGTTCTCGGTTAAAGTCACTTCCAAACACTCGTTGAGATGTCTCTCCGGTTTAAAGCTAAGAGGATCAGACCAAACCTTAGGGTTACGACCAAGACCGTAACGGCTAAGTAAAACTTGACTTCCTTTAGGGATATGGTAACCTGCGACGGTTGTATCGGAGAGTGCAACGTGTGGGAGATTAAAGGCGGCGACGGGATGAAGACGGAAAGCTTCTCGGATAATAGCTTTGAGATAGTTAAGCTTTGGTATGTCGGATTCTTGAACAAGTCTTTGTTTACCGACGACTCTTTCGATCTCTTCCATTGCTAATCTATCACACAAAGGCGGAAACCTAACCTTTACTTTCTCGAGCTGATTTGAGTTGTCATCATCTCCACTAGCTGTCTTCTTCGACGCCATCTCGAAACATGAGGAAAAAGAAGAAAGAATACATGTTAGTTAAAAGAAAAGAGCATTCAAAGTTCTAAGATTAATGCTTTCTAGTTCCGTTTGGATTTGTATGAATCATAAAACACAAGAGACACCAAAAGCATTATAGTATATGTTCCGTTGGATTCAGATATGGTAAGAATCAATGTCACGCAGAAACCATTCAACCGTACATGATACAACAAAAGGAATGAACATGAGCTCGCAAACCATTTCCGGGAGATTACAATCACGGTTCATACACAAAAGGAATAAACAGTTTCACACAATTCGATTCACCTCAAATTAAATTGGACAACCACACATGGCAAATCAATTAAACATTTCCAGCAAACTCAATTTCCTAAATCACAAATCCGATTTACGTTTTCAAACTACTCAACCACCAAAATTCATTTTATACTGACTTTGGATAGAGGTCCATACCTGAGAAACTCGCCGAAATTCAAAATAACTCGCCGGAAATCGCCTGAGATCGAACACGGAAAAACAATATGCGAGACGACGAAGAAGATGAAGAAGAACAGAGGACAAGAAGAAATTGACGAAGGAGAAGAAGAAATGGACGAAGGAGAGGAAGAACAGAGCATAAACGGGTATCGGAGACAGAATTTTCGTGTCGCCGATTTTCAGATCGGTGTGAGAGACGGAGAAAGCGAGGAGGCAACTGAAATGAAAAAACAAAAAAAAAATTCGAGACACCGAATTTTTCCACGACGCGACTCCTTCTGCAGCTGACACGTGGCCGCAGCAACCGGTTCTGGACTGCTTCCTGGAGAGACGATTGTTTAAATTGGGCCCGCCACATGTGAATTGTTTTGCAATTTTTCTTTATTTTTGGGCTAAAGCACCGATGCAAACATGTGCGTTGCACTTGCTCTAAGAGCATGTGCAATGGTAAGTTTCACATGAGTTTCTTTAACAATAATAAACAAATGATTCTTGAAATAAAGAAAAATGATTTTCAGAAAAAAAAGGTGATGAATCACATAGTGACACCTGTAGAAATCTTATGCACATGAGTCTCTACAGTCTCTCCACACAGACGGATCTGGGCTGCTTTAATGTCATGTGGGTATTTATTTGTTTTATTTCTTTTCTTTTGGGCTTGAGAGACTATGAAAAACTCTCCGGTGCACTTATCTAAATACTAAACCATTAATGACTTTTGGGCCAGTACCTTTGCCTTAGGTGTCTTTGCGACTACATGACAGGGTTCATTGAAATGGGTTTCCAAATGGGCCATATGAATAGAAGAAATACAGAGTGCAAACCGAAACAAAGAGATACTCGATGTGAGTACCTTCTTATTGATTATCAATGCAAAACCAAAATTTATAACAGAAACAAACGTAAAAAGCAGAAGGAAACACACTTCAAGTGTTTCCAAGAAAAACCAAAACCAAACAAACTTTGGTTCATGATTGACCAAACTTTTGGTTATACACTTATATAGATAAATATAAATTATTCATATAATATCCACATATGAATATCCTCGCCGTACGTCACCGCCGCCTCAATTTACCCTCGGGTAAAGATCCTCCGACAATCTCAATTCTCCGACCACAACTAAAGGCTTTGCAAGAAACATATCATGACTCGATTCCATCAACTCAACACGTGTCTGACCTCCAGCTAGTTTCCAGTCAAACCCTTGCAAAAGCCTAGCTAGCATCATGACGGTTATCGCCGTCCCTAACGCCGGAGCAGCACATCCTCTTTTCCCGGTACTAAACGAGATAAACCGGAGATCGTTCTCGGTTAAAGTCACTTCCAAACACTCGTTGAGATGTCTCTCCGGTTTAAAGCTAAGAGGATCAGACCAAACCTTAGGGTTACGACCAAGACCGTAACGGCTAAGTAAAACTTGACTTCCTTTAGGGATATGGTAACCTGCGACGGTTGTATCGGAGAGTGCAACGTGTGGGAGATTAAAGGCGGCGACGGGATGAAGACGGAAAGCTTCTCGGATAATAGCTTTGAGATAGTTAAGCTTTGGTATGTCGGATTCTTGAACAAGTCTTTGTTTACCGACGACTCTTTCGATCTCTTCCATTGCTAATCTATCACACAAAGGCGGAAACCTAACCTTTACTTTCTCGAGCTGATTTGAGTTGTCATCATCTCCACTAGCTGTCTTCTTCGACGCCATCTCGAAACATGAGGAAAAAGAAGAAAGAATACATGTTAGTTAAAAGAAAAGAGCATTCAAAGTTCTAAGATTAATGCTTTCTAGTTCCGTTTGGATTTGTATGAATCATAAAACACAAGAGACACCAAAAGCATTATAGTATATGTTCCGTTGGATTCAGATATGGTAAGAATCAATGTCACGCAGAAACCATTCAACCGTACATGATACAACAAAAGGAATGAACATGAGCTCGCAAACCATTTCCGGGAGATTACAATCACGGTTCATACACAAAAGGAATAAACAGTTTCACACAATTCGATTCACCTCAAATTAAATTGGACAACCACACATGGCAAATCAATTAAACATTTCCAGCAAACTCAATTTCCTAAATCACAAATCCGATTTACGTTTTCAAACTACTCAACCACCAAAATTCATTTTATACTGACTTTGGATAGAGGTCCATACCTGAGAAACTCGCCGAAATTCAAAATAACTCGCCGGAAATCGCCTGAGATCGAACACGGAAAAACAATATGCGAGACGACGAAGAAGATGAAGAAGAACAGAGGACAAGAAGAAATTGACGAAGGAGAAGAAGAAATGGACGAAGGAGAGGAAGAACAGAGCATAAACGGGTAT